CACAACATAGTATTACAAGAGAGTACATTTATGATTCAAATGTTGTCACAGCCTCAGTATAAATACATAAAAAGTAAAAAAAAATCTCACCTGTGTGTCCACATTGGGGAAAGCTTTGTGCACGTTCGCAATTTGTACTGTAATCTTCATCTTTTGATTCCCATAATATGGCGCCGAGCTGAGAGTGATCGTTGTGGTTTGAATCTTCTTACTTCCTGTGTTGTTTTGAAACTGCGCATGTGCAGATATTACTCCACCTATTGACCAAAATGCAGTACTGCAGAAGCAACACAACTCCCTTTCATTCATGTTACATAAGCAAGCTGTTTAAATGTGAAAACTTACTCTTTCAATTTTTTCCAACACAACACATAAGCGAATTGTTTACTTTAAACATAGTTACATTCTTTGGTCCAACTAAAGCCATAATTAATTTTTTTGAGTGTAAGAAACTGCACATTTTTCATTAGAGATGCCTCTACTCTATTATAAATATGTAAACAAAAGATTTTAAAAGCAAAAAATTGTTATTTGTACATTTACACTTACAGTTAGTGAACAGGCCAACCTGTTGCACCACATTCATCAGATTCCTTTCGGCACAATGAACAACAAGTTCTATTTTTTTCAAAAAACTTTTTTCACTGAAAAAAAATAAAGGGATTCTTGCTCATTTCAGAAAATTGGATTACAGTTATTATAATGTACTTCCCTTAACTACAGTTTGCAGATTTTTTTTTCTTAAGGTTAAATCTATCAAGATGAATATGCCTATTGAGAAACAATGGAGTATATGCACAGCTAGTGTTTTTCAGCCAATGATAAACTTAAGGTTAAAGGTTTTTGTGACTATTTTCAATTGTATAAGGTTCCTCTTACTGCATCAACATCGTAATGTAATGAAAATTTAATCAACTAAATAAACTCAAGCATTCATTTAATTGTTCAAGCATAAAACGAGATGAAAGACCACGTAACTGCTAGCGCTGTCAGGACCAGCAGGCTAGCGCAGAAACTCCATTCACAATACTGAGGTAAAATACATTTTCATATACTAAAGAGATGGCAGGGAGCAACTGAATTTAATGCAGTCCTTCTTGTCTGGTCTGAGACCCACTTTTTATCAAATATCTATTAGGCAGTGAAGATCACTTATTTTTTAAAGAAAAAGATCTTAAACGTGGCAATTTTGCATTGGAAAGACACCGGAAAGTTCTCTAGAAGCCATTGGGCGGGCTAAACATTAAAAGTCTGTGTGCATATACACATTTACTAAGAGACAAATGTTAACTATGAAATACAGTGCGTCACAGAGAGGCTGTGACTTAGACTTATTTAGGCAAGTTTGTGAGAGTGCATTAACTCACACAAACAGTTTCTGCTGTACACACAATCTAGATGCAAGCAGAAAAACACCAAGGCCCAGTTTCACTAACAGGGCTTGGATTAAGCCAGGACTAAGCCTTAGTTAAATTAAGCTATTAAGGCCACATTTATAAAAAACGGCCTTAGCAAAATATATTGCTGTGTGCACCTGGAGACAAAAAAATGACACTGACTTATATTTTAAGACACCTCTTGACTAGCCTTAATCCTGGTTTGCGAAACCGGGGGTAAAAGTACTGTTTGTGTGGATACTTTTCTGATTGATTTAAAAATCATTTTTGCTGTTTGCTTATTTTTAATTTCCTTATTTAGTTTGAATTAACTTAACGTTTCATTTTTTAACATTTAAAATAAATCACACCAGACTCTGTTGCAAACATAATAGTTTATTTTTCCTGATTAAAACTAAGAAATGAATAAGACTCTCCTGCTTACATTCTGGGTCACCTCCAAACAACCAAACCTGCTTGCAGGAAAAGCGGCCATTTTAAAACCTCCATTTCCCCAATGATTAGGGTTCCACCATTTTCAATGACATCATGGGGGATAAATTAAGGAATCCATTAATTTTGGTGTGACATATTTATCAGACACTTTTGGAGATATTTGTGAGATACACATGTTGTATGGTACTACCATATGTGTTGTCTCTGAGAATATTTTTGCCTTGCTTTAGAATTTTTATAACTTTTCATATGGTATGTTCTAAAAAAAAATGGGTGGAGGCGCACTCTATAAAATAGCTCCAGCATGGTGGCCATTTTGGAGAACAATATAACTTTTAATAATAAAACTACAACATACCTCATGTAAGTAAATAAAATAAGTGCTCAGTTACAATTCTAGGGATTAAGGAGTTCAGTGTGCAGGGGGGAGGAGCTTAACATGCAACACCGACTGGCACCTGGACTCTGGGGTTTGTGGGATTGGGGCAGAGCAATGACAGCATCTGGTTGCACAACTAACGTTAGCACAATAGGTGGTGAAATGCACAAAAAATGCATTTCGCTAAAAAACTAAAAAGAAAAAAAAGAAGGCCATTTTAGAAAATAATATATATAAAACTATTTTAGGGATACATTGGCAAATATAGAGAGCGTTTATTAGGTATATAGAAGATTTGGGTTTAGGTTCTAGATTATAGGCTAACATTTATGGATGAGAGTATTCTTAATTATGGCCATAAAGACCCTATATGTTAGAGGAGCTGAGCACTGAGATGAGTATGTGGTTGGAATGCAAACATTGGAGAATGTGAAACATCAAAAGTTTATTTTTTCCGTCTCTTTCTCTCCCTCTCTTCTTGTTTCCTTCCCCTTTCTAATATTCAGACTCAGAGTTACATCCGGTACAGTAATGCTTTTTTAATGAGTTACCTGCCATAAAACAAGGAGAAGAAGAAGAAGGAGGAGGAGGCCATTTTAGGAAGATGAAAAATTCATTTAAGGAGCCAAGTGTCAACTTTAGGATAAGTTTGAATAAAGGAGAAGTTAATTGTGCCTGAGTCAAAGATGAGGTGGCAGAACACATGGGACAAAGATGTAAAGGGGAGGCATTTATATAGAATTCAAAGAAAGGTGGGAATGGACAGGACGTAAATGAAGAAAAGGAAAAAGGATGTTATTATGACAACATTGCGAATTGGCCACTCTTCTCTTAATCAGTGTTTAATATCAGAAAGCATCGAAATTGTAAAGATGTGGTCTCCCAGAAACAGTTTCACACACATTAATTGGGTGTATAGAAACAAGTAATGAACACAAATAATGTTGAGCGTATAGAAACAAGTAATGAACACAAATATGTTTGAGGGCTGAATAGAGTCAATTTCTTCCTTAAAGATATAATAGATGGTATGTAATATAGGGTAAATAATGACATTTTTAGATATTTGAGTGACATAGGTTTAATTTTTTTATCCTCTCCATTTCCACTCCTTATCCATAATAAGTTGCACTCCAAACTCCAATACAGTAGGTGGTGGAAAATGCACCGTTAAGTTGGTTTGCCAACCGCCTGATAAAACTCCAGAAGAAGAAAAAAACATTTTAGAAAGTTTTTGCTTTTCAGGATAGTTGTTGTGTTTGTGCCAGACTGTTGGCAAAGCCAGAACACATTAACTCTGTAAATGTTGTATATAATTCTCTAGAAATAAAAAGTATTTAGTTTTTTGGGGATCCACAATTTTTATTTTTTGCTTTGCACTTCAATAAACAGCTTGGACTGAACTTAACATCATTGATTTTGTACAAATGCACTCTGGTACATCCAAACCGGGTGTCATTGATATTCATGTCATTCAATTGAAACATTGTTGAACTTTACTTTCTATCTGTTAACCAAAGAGAGAGAGAGAGAGAGAAAGAGAGAGAGAGAGAGAGAGAGAGAGAGAGAATGTGTTTTAAAATAAAAGCAAATTGAAATTGAAGTTCTATGTAGATTTTAGTAGTTGTTTAAACAATTAAATTATTAGTTAACTTACATGTCAGAGTAAAAGAAAAAGTAAATTTTAAACTATGTAACTTACAATTGAGTAATTTTTTAAGTAACTTAAAGAGATTGTTCCCTAATTCCGAAGTTCTGCCATCATTTTCTCATCTTCAGGTAGTCCCAGTCCTACAAAACCAATAGAACTTGGCACGTTGTTAAGCCAAATGTCCAATTCCTTTTCACTGACAAAAAAGCTGATTTTCCATAACCTAAAAGGAGCAGCGAGTAAATAAGTAAAAAAAAAAAAAAAAAAAGTATCTTTTATCGTGTGTTGTCACATAGCATCCGCTCGGACAAAGTAATAAATCCAAAAAACAGTCAAAACAGTAATTAGCTCATAAAATAGTTCAGCTACCTAGTATAGGCTACAATTTTATTTCAAATTTTTAATTATAACTACATGTAGCAAGTTAACATAGCTACATACAGTACCACTTTTTGTTCTGATGACTTGTATGACCACTGAGACTCTATAAGCCTCAGAGGCATAATATTTTGTCCAAGAAACAGCCTGTTGACTGCATTTGACTAAGTGACAGCCATTTAAAAACTGGTTAAGGAATAAACTGGCACTGAAAGAAAAATAGCCTAGGAAAACACATAAAACAACTTAATACAAACATGTCATTGAAAAATAATATTTTGATAAATGGAAAGTAATGTTTAATACGACAAACAAAAATACCTGATATTCCAATACCTAAACAAAACAAATAAATAAACAAAATCAAACAAACAAACTGACATTCAATCTGGAGTACAATCAATCCATTAATCTGGAATCGGCTTTTTAAAAATCCATGTGGGAACCCCGTGAGAGGGTCTCACTGATGCCTGTGGGGCTAGAGTCCCCATAATAAAAAAAAAAAAAAAAAAAAAAAAAAAAAAAAAAAATATATATATATATATATATATATATATATATATATATATATATATATATATATATATATATATATATATATATACATATAAAATAAAGTAAAAAAAATAACATTTACATAATTCATTAAAAAAACCTAATAATAAAACCAATAAAATGAGTCAAAATGGCGTCCGAAAATAAACCCTTTGAAGTACTGCTTAAAAAGCAAAACAGCGGCAACAATAAATTAAGCAGTTCATGAACTCTCATACAATATTTATTATATAGTTGATAGCAGGACATCATAAAAGTATGTTTAAATTCACAGAAAGACTAGTCAAAAACAGTGCACATGATGGAAACTTTACTCTCATGAGGCCACAGGACTGGATTTATAATAGAAGTGAAGTGATAAAACTGACACTGTTAGATCAATCTCAATAAGACAATGCAAATGTAGTGTGTCCATATGTCATTCATATTTCACACATTAAAACAGACATGCATTTTAGTAGTCACAAAGTAATTCCCAAAAGAACAGCCCAGTTTTCCCTTTTGGATGCAGCCAGTGTATTTCTAACAGAGGACACTTGTATATATGTGAAGGGGTTAATTAAAGCAACAAGACATTTTCTTCATCGAGCACCTCTAAAAACTATAGCATTACTTTTTTAAATGCACTTACTTTTTAACTCAAAGTATTCTCATGACATTTAAAAAATATATTCTAATGAAGGGGGAGGGGGAAAATTGTGAAGTGGGTAAACCTTAGTTAAAAAACCAGACAAGACAATATAATCATGAGCTAAAGTTGATGAATTTGACATGCCAAATCCCAAAAAGAGTAGCCCAGTGTTTCAATGCAAAAAAAAAAAAAAAGCAATTTCTTTTAACCTCTATTATTGATATAGCTTTTAACTTTAGGTAATTCTCACTATTAACTGGTGGCTTCTTACCTGCCAATTATTAACATTTTGGCTGTTTATTTGTACTTATAAAACATATGGTTTGCATGATCTTATTATATCTTAACTAATCCCTAAACCAATTAATACCTTAATTACTATTAATAAAAACCAAATTAGGAGTTTACAGAGGCAAAAGTCATAGTCAGTGGTTTATTAACAGTGAAAACTTTAACTTAAAATAAAGTGTGACCATATATTTTTAACTAAAATCTTTCCAGCTGCAGATTATAATAAAATCTAGCCTTAATTTAATATTAGACCTGTTGATTGTAAGCCATTTTCATTAATATATGAAAACACAAAAACACCTCTTCCCAAAATAACAGACAGTGCAGTTTACATATAGTTGCATTGTAGATTTCTTAATTTTTGTAAAAGGCTGGTTAATGATTGATAAAATAGACTTTGGATAATGCAGTAGCTGATTACGCATTCATAGGATCTGAGCTGTAACTGTTAGGAGATGCAGGTCCTGAGAGGGCACTGGCTTCAGACACGTTGTACATATCTGCAAATAGTTAAGTGTGTGTTACTTGAAGCATTCCTGTATCCGTCAATGATGTTGAATTACAGAATACATGATCATTTTAATCAGTTTTAATTGTACAACTTACGTCTTCTCCTCCTCCTTTGAAAGAAACCCAGTCCACTTGAAGATGATGGTCCTCCACTAGTACTCTGTAATTTAGATTCAAATATATTATCAGTACAGTACATCCATCATTATGAAGAACTCATTAAGATGCATTATTTTGTAGCCATTTACCCTGGTACGGTTAGAGCTGGTAAGGTTCCTTAGTGACAACGTTCCTGCCAGTGCTTCACGAACCTGAAACCATATAGGGCAAAATGGGTTAAAGCTCTGTGGAGAAACGGAAAGCCCCTAATACCAATATTATACAAGAATTCTGGGTAAAATTGCAAAGCAACAAATATGTTATACCTTGCCGTCCAAAAGCACTCCAAACACCAAAATAAAGAATCCCTGTGGAAGTGAAAAAATGTTACAATTAATTTAGACTAGTTGTAATGCTGTTTAATTTTTATGTGCACAACTTTGCATTATCAGGTTAAAACATGAGGCTTTGAATTAAAGATTAGAATAAATATTGCAATTAGGGCTGTGCATTGGCAATGGCCACACAATACGATACATTTAACAATACACGGGTCACGATATGATATATGACACATGTCGTACAATATTACCAGTGTTGGGCAATACAGTGTTTTCTAGTAATGCCTTACTGTAATGACATTACTTTAGACAGTTACTAATACTGTAATGCATTACTTTTTTATTTTAGTAAAACCGTCACCATTACAACATGATGCGTTTGTCTGTTTCTTGTTAAATTAATTAATTTTGACTGCAGTCTTGCAGTCATTTTCCTGCATACAGCGGCGATGAATTGTGGGATTGGTGGATGCCAACCAACCACCGTAAAGACGCATCGTGTATGAGGTGCCAGACTGGACAAAAATTAAGCGAAAGCAGAGAGATCAACTGCACGAGAGACCAAATGCAAGCAAGGTAGGCAGAATGTGCACACGAGAGATACCGAATGCGCTCGAGGCAGGCCGAGTGTGTGCGTGTGAGCACCTAATAAAGTTACTATTTATAATTACTAATACTACTGTGTTTGTTGTTTCAAATAAATAAGCACACATTTGTTCTCTGTATAACAAAATCGATTGGTAGACACAGTGACACAGTTCCGTTATATTTCAGAACAGTTATTTAAAATGTATAGTGTTACACGGTTCAGAAAAAAACTGCTGTGATTTTTGTTTTTTTAACTGTTTTTATTGTTACATATTTATAGCTGTATACAACAGCAGATTTTGCACTTTGAATATACACGACTTACTTTCCATAAGTTGTTAACATACCACATTTAATTTGTTAGTTTGAAAATTGCTCATCGATATCATTTTTAAACAGCTGTTATGTTTTTTATGTGTTTAAAGTGCATAAAACATATGGTTTTCTATAATGGAAGTGTTTCACAGTCCGCCAGATTGAGTCTGAATGATAATTCAGATTATTTTCATTTATTTATTTCATAAAGGTTTTTTGTGTAGTATAATGTTGCTATTTTTCATACTTTTATGATGCTGAAGTGACTTTAACTTTTGCTTTTTTGTTTATGAATAAATTATTCAGCTGGTTTATAAGCCTGTGATATTTTAATTTTTGTGCTGCTGTTCTGACTTAAATAAATAACCATATAAACATACTTTTTTTTCAATTCAAGTTTGTCTTGTGTTTTAGTTTGTGAGAATGCAAATAAATTAAAACTGTGAAGTTGCTCAACAGTGTATTCTCCATGCAGCACTGACGTGACATTATAAGTCCAATAATAGGAGCATTACAAATGTTCTTTGGGAAATCAACTCAAAAGTTAATTAACAGTAATGCATTGGTTTTTGGTGTAAGTAATTGATAAAGTAATTGAGATACTTTTTGAAATAAGTAACTAGTAACTGTAACTACTGTAGTAGCTTTTTTCAGTAACTAGCACAACACTGGACATTAATGTGACGTGTAGAATAATGTACAGCAAAACAGACATGATAAAAATATTTGTTCTAGACTTCCACCTCATCATTAATCTATGTAAACAATACTTTATAATAAAACAAAAATGTATTCATTTGTTAGTGTGCACCTTACACAATCAGGTATTCATCATCGTTCCACAAAAAGTAGCACAAAGGCCCACACTACTTATTTAGTCATTGCTTTCCTGCATCCCTTTTTTGTGATTACAAGACTACAGCAAAACATACTCCATGAGGGCTTTTACTCTAAGTCCAAGATAAATTTTTGATTCTGTTTGGATCACATTTATTTAAAATCAATGATTTTCCATGAAATTATGTAAGCTGAGTGCTTTTTTTGAAAACTGAACTGACACTGTTTCAATGCACTATAATCTTCTATGTGAAGGTGCTTTGACAGTGCACATTGGTAAAGCGCTATAGAAATAAAGATGAATTGAAAATAAAAATGCTTTCTCGCTACTTTAGCAAATACTGTTACTGTTACTACTGTTATCATGTCAGTAAAAGCAACAGAGGGAGCTCATGTGCAGATAAACCATCATTATACATATGCATTACATATATAACTTATGATTGTCTCCTGACTCAGGTAAATTGTGTTCATGACTTTCCTCAAGCCCTACAGAAGGCAACCATAGTTTTAAAGAAATAGTATCAGACACGCAAGTTCATTTAAAATATAATTAATATGTATCAATTCTAGAGGCTAAAATAATAACATAATCCTAAAAAACTGACAGTTAGCCCTATTGATATTTTTACACAGCCCTAATGATAAATATTGCTATACAGTTTGCATGTAAATCAAGCACTCAAATCACAACCATAAAGTCAAAATATATAGGCAGAAAGTCGTACCTGCAGTGAATTAAGAAGTGCGAACACCACATGAACGCCTAATTCACGTGACACCATGGTTCCAATTCCAAATCCCCAAGTTAGACCGAAGATGGGAGTCAAAAAGGCCACACATCTGACAATGACCATCAGTGTATGTTTCTCATCTGGTTGAGTTGCGTCACCAACTCCTCTTCTCAACAGCTTGGACAGAACCACTATTAAAACCACAAGGTTTATGGCTACAATAGTGAGAGCTGGAATCACAAATGCCAGCAGAGCCTTGGATTCATTCCAGTTCAGCCAGCATGCTTGTTTGGAAACATAAACCTGAGGTCCAGCTGTTGATGCAACTGTAATGACTGATATGAGCAAAGGTGCACCATAGCTGACTGAAAAGGCAATGATCATCATTTTGACTCTTGACATATGGGACAAGACCATAATCGTACGGTACAAGAGCAACAGCGCTGAAATTAACATCCAGAAGAAAAGAACCAGGTAAAAAAAGTGCATGAAGAAAACTACTGAACTGCAGCGATCCGCAGGGGTTGGCTGCTCTTTTGAGATCGCAGCTCCAATGATAAAACAGACATCTGCGATCAGCAGGGAGATGGCAATGTTTACTATGGAGACATGTCGCATGTAGGAGGTGTCATTTCTTGTTGTAGACCTCCATACAATAGCTTCAATAATGATGCACAAAATCAAGCTGGCCATTGAAATTGCTACACCAATATAAGTTATATAGTCAAGGACCTTATTGTCAATGGAAAATGGTGACATTAGCATTGAAAAAGAGGTTGTGTGGTTGCATTCACAAGTGATTATGTCTGTTTCGTTCCCATTACTTATGTAAGGCTTTGCTTCACATCCATAGGAATCCCATACGCTGAGATTGAAGTTCCAAAAGACACACTGAGGAATTCCCAGAGTCTCATTATTAAGGCCATAAGCAAACGAAATGTTGTTAACTGTTTGATTAACCTTTACAACAACCACATCTCCAACAATTCTCAAATCTGATTGCCCACTGCTATTATTATTATTAGTAATATTAAAATTAGTAGTAGTATTACGAGCAGGTAAGATACGTTTAAGTGTTGTGAAGACTATTACTGTTAAGGAGGTTGCATTAAAAACTTGCGGTATCAGAATCTCAGTAGTTGAGTTTGGCAAGCTTGATACCCCCATGTATTCAGAAGTTATTACAGTTCTATTCAACTCAACAACTTTTTCACTGATTGTAAAATTGCCTTCGGTGAGACGACTACTTATTTGCTCTACAGCGCTCAAAAGTGTTGCGCTTGTGTCGTTACTGGTAAGGTTTTGCCATGAATTAATGGATTCTTCTGAAACAAGAACATTCACTGTTGTAATAAAATCCTGAAATGAAAAAAAGTAAATTAGATACTGTATAAGATTCTGTCCGATGGGATAACAATAATCTGCAAATATTTTATAGTGATAAAAAAAAAGAAAGTCTGACGGCACATTTTGACATGTCTATCTATTCATAACGTAATTTCATACCTTCATTATAGGCTCACTGATGACAACTGTTTGTGACTGAGCAGCAACATTTGTAAGTATGTTAACAATTGTCTGCACTGTCACAGGAGACTGGGTTATCGTTTGATCATTGTTCACTGTAGCAGCACTGAGCTGAGATACAACATTTGGTATGTCCTGTGGTTTTAAGGCCTAAATCAGAAAGTAAAGAAAAAATGTTAATATCAGAAGTATAATAAATGAGTATCTGCTAACTGTACAGGCATAGATTGCGAAGATTACCTCAGATTGCTTTTCAAGGTCCTTAAATACTTTTAGCACACAGTTTTTATCGGTTTCCACCTCCCACTTATTATTTTGACATTTATAAATTATGGTGCCTTCCATGCCAGGATAACATGGTCCTTCTGTTCTTTCACCATTTGCTCCATCTCCAAGTGTTACATTTTTACACATAAATTCTGAAAAAAAAAAAAAAAAAAAAAAAAACATTTTTTAAACGGCTAAAACTGAGAAAAAAAAACAGAGTGAAGCCCGTTACTTCCCATATCACTGAGAAACTAAAATTACTTCTATTTCAATAGCAAGTTTTTTTGACTGGGAAAGAGAACAAGTTAATATACAAGAGGCATCATTGGGGAAAAATATTTCTTAGACGTTTCTTGGATATAATATTTCTTATTCCCAATGAATCAGGGTAATTGGGATGCTTTATGACATCTTGCAATATTTGGAATGGAGTAAAACTTTGCATTAACTCATAGACTGTGACAGTTTGCAAAGGAAATTAATACTTTTGGACAAGTTTTTTTGTTCCAATGTCAATAAAACCTGACAAATATTTTTCCCCATAATGATGCTTAATGCTTCTTGTACATCTTATTATCTCTTGGGAGAAGCCAATGTCATTTGCAGGTAAACACCAAGTTTCTGGTGAAAGAAAGTAATTTTAAGTAAACATTTTGACAGAATATGAATAAACATATGCTTAAATGTATGTTTGGATTAAACTGAAAGAGTGAAACTGAAAACTGAATGTTCACCTCCTGTTTTCAATGTAACTGTGACACTTTTACTGCCATAGCTGAATCTTTGTAGTGCTGGATTCTTGAGGCTGCATTTAAAGTCTATACTTCCACATTCTCCAGTTTTGATTGCATGCATTAATGTAGCGCATCCATCCACTAATTGCATGAAAAATAATGATTAAGAGCGTTAAAACATACAAAGTGTAAGGTTTTTAACTGGAACTGAAATCTCCAAATTGTGTGCATGTACAACCTGAAGTTGTTACGACGTCATCAGGAGCTTTTGTTGTCCAGTCCACAGTGTTGTTGCTTTGTTCACAGCATGTCAGATTAATATTCTGGTTTACACACCCAAAAGATCGTACATTTGCACCCACGTCGATAACTGGAGTTGGTTTAATACTTATATCTTGCCACTGAATGTATGGTACTGCCCTAGCTATGATACATGCGTATCGACCTGCAAGTGAAATTATACATGTTTGTTTACAAACAAAACAAAACAATCAAAACCAACACAAAAGGAAGACATTTTAAAGAAAGTTTGGAATAACAACAAGTCATACATTTGACAAACTCAGGCATTCATTTCAAGCCTGTATGAGTTTCTTTTATCCAAAGAATATTGTGTGGAAATGTTCTAAAAATGTTCAACAACACAAAAAAGACATTAAAGTATCATCAAAGTATTATTCGGGCCTGGTGCAGCTATTGTTCAGTGAGAGGTATAGCACACTTTCTCAACATTTACAGAATCATTTCATGCTTTCATATTTAGTGAGAATTGTTCTGTTCATTATCTTAATCTAAATTTGGCCATGCTCTCGGACAAAAATTTTTATTAAAAAATCAAGTATACCTCTTATTCTTCTCAATAGCACTCTCTCAGTTAGCATATTTCAAAATATGAAATTTCTTCGAAATACGCCTTTGTTGTAAATAAGCACCCCCTATGGGCAAGAACTACATAATTTGCCTTTAAGCATTTACTTAGTTCAAGTGTGCCACCCAGTTGTTGTCTTCAACCAGGAACAGTCAATATGCAAGGTGTTAATGGGGCAAAGAAATGTGTGACTCACCTCTGTCGTTTTGATTGATGTTTCTCACAATGAGAGTGCTATTGTTGTTTAAAAAGGTGTATTTAGTGGTGTCGGATGTAGGTTTGTCATTAACTGTCCAACTCATTGAACCATCAAAACGACGTGTACATTGCAGCTCCATATCTTGCTGAGGATACCAATCTGCAGTGGAAAATTTCGTTTCTTCTAAAATTTAAAAAACCATTAAAAAAATGTGTCAGACTTCGTATCTTTAATATGGGTTTGTTAATGCAACATTTTTGCAAGAAACACTCACTGTTATAATAAACTGAATATGATATAAATGGATTATTATTATTTTTTTTATTTAATTTTTTTTACAGTTTTAGGTCTAGATACGGACTACACTTACCACTTTGAGAAAAAGCATTGGCAGGTATATTGAATGAAGGATCTCCTGTTCGGAGAGTGGTTGCAACCTGTTGGTTTACTGCTACGAATGCATCAATACTGGGGCTACTGGCAGTTGCTACATCAATTGTGTAGTCTGCTAAAACGCTACCAGGTCTGTGAAGCAACAAACAAAACCACAGCAATGTGAAAACACTGTTTTAACACAACTGTTAAAGTCTGTATGAACCAGAAGCTGCACCCATTTTTTCTGTATTGTGGCGGAGTTCCAAGAGAAACAGAATATTAAGTAAGAAAACAATCGACGTGGGGCTTTTCTTTCAACAGTAAGCTGATTGGATGTAGTAAAGTAGGCATTTTATTTAGAAAAATCAGCTAAAAGGTGTGGGGAGGTTTATTACAGCCTAACAGACACCTCCTCCTTGCCATTTCTGTTTGTTGTCAAAACTGACAGTTGGGGTGTGCGGTAAAGTAGTATGATAGCCATGCCCAAAACCTTGTAATATGAGAATTTCCATAACAACAAACAGGAAGTGTGTTTTCAGGTTTTAATTAAAGTACATTACTAGGACAAACTATTTTTTTTCTCAACAACATGCACAGATGAATTATTCACCACAAAACTAACAATGTGAGCTAAAAAAAATCTACATGGTTTGTTTCATGTGTACTTTAATGACTTTATTTTTGGGCAAATGAGACCCTTCATATACAAGAGGATTAGTCATTATGTTTAAAGTTATCAGTTTCTAGCAAATCAGTGAATCTGTAAGTCAATTTAACGGATCAGTGTATGCACTATCAATATAATAGAATAAAACAAATATATACTGTAGATTTTACTGCAACAAAGGCAGGACCAGGGCGCTTAAATTAGTACTGGATAATTGGTACTTTTATGTTTTACTTGATGTTTTATTCTCAACTGTTCCCTAGCCTGACTGTTAGTACTTCTTAACGTTCACTCCAAAGCATCTTTGAAAAAGGTGTCTAGTATCTCCACAATGTCATTTGCTACTTTAAATATACAAATTAAGGCTACTTTGTACCATTTGTTTTATCATAGATCTGCTACAAAAAATAAATAAATAAATGAATAAATAAATTATAATATAATAATAATTTATATATAATCATATATAATAAAAAAAATTCAATAAAATCAATAAATATCTGTATTATTGTTGTGAGGTTTTATATTCAGATTTGTTTTTTATAAGTCAATCTTTATTGTTTTTGAGATCAACACAGACCTTGTTAGTGAATGTTTAAATTGTAGCCTCACCTGAAGCCAGTGACTTTTACTGAGCCTTTCACAAAGCCAGCCACATTTTTGTAATTGGCCTCAACCTGTAACATGTAAGAGTAACATGTAACAGTGTTTATTAGAAAGTAATGTTAATGATAAACCCATGTTGCCAATGATAAATTAGATCAGTCGTTTTTATTAACAACAAATGGAACAATCAATAAAGTAATTAGCATATTTAACCAAAAATATTCTTAAGTTCAGTCTGCCTCAAATGAAAAATTCCTCACTATTTAAATATTTATTATTATTTTTTTAAGCATAAACAACCAATACTCACCGCTGACTCAATTTTTGCTTTATACAAAATGTATTTTTTATCATCAGGCTTATTGAGGCCAGTATAAAAATCTTCGTCTATTTTTAATGACATTTTGATAGCTGAAAAAAAAAAATTAAAATTAATTTCTTACAGTCACATAATTTTTCATGCAGAATATGAATAACCACAAGATGGGCTAATAAACTACTAAATGAATAAATTTTAGCACATTTAGTGCGCTTTTGTAATTATTTCCCTCTAATAATGTACAAAAATATGTTTGATGCATTAAAAAATCATATGAATGCACATATAATTATGAATTAAACAGTAATAATAATAAAACATCAAATATATATATTTTTTTCTCTACGTACCCGTTACAGCTGTTGTCCCATTTACAATGTTTCAGCAAACAAAAGAAAAAAGAAATTATGAATTATGAAATTGTAACAATACAGTAATAATACAGCAGAAACCATAATAAGAATGGCTATTATAAGTTCCATAATATTCAAATCAATAACTTCAATCAAGATAGCAGACTGTTAAGTAATTGGTTAAATCCTAATATGCAGGAGAGGGAGATATTATTTTTTTATACACTGTTATTTAGCAACTTTAATGCACATTTTCACATTTCTGGATTTCTCAGCAGAGGATGTTTTCATAGATGGGTAAACTTAAAATGCAGTGAATGGGAACATATGAAACATAAGTTACTGAATTGTCTGTTCTTGAATATTCTGTTTATGCATCTTTCAAGCTTGAATTATCTTAAATTAGCTTGTATTGTCTGTGCCTTAATTGTCTGCTCATGAATCGTCTGCACCTGAATCGTCTGCTCATGAATTGTCTCCACTTAAATCATATGCACCTGAATCATCTGCACCTGAATAATCTGCACCTGAATTTTCTGCTCCTGAATTGCCTGCTATAGATTTGTCTGCTCCCGAATTGTCTTTGCCTGAATCATCTGATCCTGAATCGTCAGCTCCTGAATCCTGTGCTCCCAAATTGTCTTTGCCTGAATCATCTGCTCCTGAATCGTCTGCCCCTGAATTATATGCTCATGAATCATCTGTGCATGAAACATCTGCTCCTGAATTGTCTGCTCATGAATTATATGCTCATGAATCATCTGTGCATGAAACATCTGCTCCTGAATTGTCTGCTCATGAATCGTCTGCTCATGAATCGTCTCCACCTGAATTTTCTGCTCCTGAATTGACTGCTCCTGAATCGTTTGCATCTCAATCATCTGTGCCTCAATAGTCTGCTCCTGAATTGTCTGCGTCTAAACCATTTGCACCAGAATAGTCTGCTCCTGAATAATCTGTTATCGGTTAGTCATTGCCCTGCCTACACCTTGGGGCATTACTCCTCAGTCTAAACCGTGTCACTCCATCCGAAACGGGAAGCCGAAACTGTGAAGCAACACACCCCAAAAGCAACGCCCCAACATGACACTTTTGAACACATTATAATAAAAACATCTGAACTGTGTGTTGAACTGAACCTAAACTGGCACACTCAGAAGAACCATAATATTAATATTAAATCATAAAAATGAAGTAAACTATTTGCCCTTTAAACCTTTGCTTTGGATTATTTGCCTCATTAAATTTTTTCATAAAACACAAGCAAATATAACGTTTTCTTTCATTATTTTGGGTGTAATGAATAAATGCATCTAGTGGAAAAACCTAAAGATTAAACGTCTAATGATAATTTGATATCTGAAGACTTCTAATATCTTGCAACATTAATATGTGCCCAGAATAAAGGATTACACTGCTTTCAGATTTACATATATTTGTGCATTTAAAATTAGATTTGTCAGTACCAAAGCCAAATCTAAAGCTAACTAAATGTGTACTCACTTATGCTGTGGTCAATTCATGTATTTATGCACAATATACAATCATTGCATTTCAGAATTTAACTACGGGTAACGATAAACTAATATGAAAATATATTATTAATAACTTGTATATTTTGATTGCTTTACAGCATGTGTGATGTTGTTTTTTGTTGGTTTAAGTTAAATGTACATCAAATCAAATGTGTCAATATAATGTTTGCCCATGCATTTACGATTATGGGTTTCATGCAATATCCATTTTTACTACACATCTTTCCTGTGGTATATGTATGCACAATTATAGGCCAGTAGCTTTTGTTGAAAAGAAACACCAAAATAAATATTCATAATTTCAAAATGTAATGATATATCAGTTCTTTTTATATTAAATACCTGGTGTAGTAGTAGCTGGAATTACAGGTGCAGCAGTAGGTTTTGGAACTACTGTTGAAAGAAAGAAAAAAAAAAAACTTCAATAAAATATTTATCATTTCAAAATGTTATGGTATACCAGTTCCTTTTTATATTACATACTTGGAGTAGTAGATGTAGTTGTAGGTACAGGTACAGTAGTGGTTGTTGGAACAGCTGTTGGCAAATAGAAACACCTAAATATATGAATCATTCCAAGATGAAATAGTATGTCAGTTTCATTTTAATGTACATACGCGTTGGAGTAGTTGTAGTTTCAGGGGTAGTGCTTGATGGAATAGCTGTTGGCAAATAGAAACACCTAAATATATATGCATCATTGCAAAATGTAATGGTTTGTCACATCTTTTTTAATGTACATACGTGTTGGAGTAGTTGTAGTTTCAGGGGTAGTGCTTGTTGGAATAGCTGTTGGCCAATAAAAACACAAATAAATATGAATCATTTCAAGATGTAATGGTATAGCAGTTTTGTTTTAATGAACATACGTGTTGGAGTAGTTGTAGTTTCAGGGGTAGTAGTTGTTGGAGCAGCTGTTGGCAAACAGAAACACCTAAATAAATATGAGCCATTTCAAGATGTAATGGTATAGCAGGTCTTTTTTTTAATGTACTGTACATACGTGTTGTAGTAGTTGTAGTTTCAGGGGTAGTGGTTGTTGGAACAGCTGTTGGCAAACAGAAACACCTGAATAAATATGAGCCATTTCAAGTTGTAATGGTATAGCAGGTCTTTTTTTAATGTACAGTACATACGTGTTGTAGTAGTTGTAGTTTCAGGGGTAGTAGTTGTTGGAGCAGCTGTGGTTAAAACGACAAACATTTGCACATTTTTGCTTTAAAATGTCTATACACCACACTTCTTTAGTATGAAAATGAAATATTATTTTTATTCTATTATTGAAGTATAAACTTATAACTTTTAAATTTTACTCAACAGTATATGCCTGTTGTATTAGATGTAGTGAGAACAATAGTCTGTAAAAATGTATTATGTTTCATTGTAAAATTACATTTCTTGCTTACAAAGATGACTTTTATGGTATGGTGTATGATTGTTTTTGTTTGTTTTGCAGTTTGTACCTGTTGATGTAGAAGTTGTTGTTGAAGGTTCAGTAGTTGTTGAAGTCGTTGTAGATTCTAGAAACACCAAAAGACAGCAGAAAAAGTTAAACAAAACATATCTATCCATCCATCCATCCATCCATCCATCCATCCATCCATCCATCCATCCATCCAGTTGTTTTTGTTTTAATAGTTAGTTGTGAAGTAGTTGTGTATAGTAGGTTGTGAAGTTAAATTTGTGAAGTAAAATGTAAATGAAAAAAAAGCAACTTTTTCAGACATTATTTAAAGGGGTCATGAATTAAAAATCAACTTCTACTTCGACAACCAATTTCTGGTTCAAACAAGACACATTGACTACGTTTCCATGGACATCAGTAATCAAATTATTTGCCTTATTCTGAATAAGACAATGATCATATGATTAAGGTGTTTATATGAGTTGCTTTATGTTCCTGTCATGATCCCATTTTACATGTTATAGCACATAATTCGATTAACGTCATTGCGTCACCATGCTATCCACATTTCCTCCAGAGTTTCATGCAATTTTGGGTGTTTCATTTTTAATTTGTCGACTTTAACTGCAGTCTGGCACTTTCACTTTTATTCAGAAACATTTCATGCATGCCCCCTATGACAAACGAGATATTGGATGCAAGTATGAACTGCTGGAAGAGTGTTGTTTTAATGAAATTTGATATCGTATGAAAAACCTTCACATTTCGTGATGCAGGTGTCTCTGGTCCTTCACTCATTTGGTAGGTGCAGAGAATAGTGTCAAACAGCCATGTGTATAGAATATCCTGTTGCAAATAGTGGCAAAAATTTTTTCACGAAGGTAATAGTTTGGTTGCAGTGTTTACATGTCTGTGCTGCACTTCAATAATGCCACTAAAATCAGCATACTCCACATGTTTTAATTCCATTTCTGTTTAGTTTGATTATGACCTTAATCAGATTAAAAAATCAAAAACTGTAAGCATTAGTTAAGATTTTTATATATTTTTTTTACATATATAAATTTTTTTTAAATTAACAATAGATTGCAGAAACTTAGAACATTAGAAAACACACACACACACACACACACACACACACACACACACACACACACACAATTGAAGGGAAGTTATATAAGGTTATACATTGAAAGCACTTTTTATTTATTTATTTTATTTAACTTGATTTTTTATTAGTTAAACTTATATGAGACTGTCAGTGTTGAACAAACAACTCAAATTCAAAGACGAGATTTTTTTAGTTTTTGTTTTTGTTAATGCAAAATGTCATTTGTTTCAGTTTTTTATTTTCGTTCCTTGAACCGCTTTAGAGCCCTGCTTGTATGTAGTGTTGTGATCAACATTTGGGCTAGTTGTAGATGTATTTGAAACCATCTCATAACATTTTAATGTTATTTTGGAAAAAAATGGAATGAAATGACGCAAAAAAGATTGATTAACGAGAAAGGTCCTAGTCAGTAAAATGATCCAAACGTCCCATCACTATGCAGGTGTAGCAGGTGCAAAACAGAAAGGTAAAAATATTCGCTATTTTGTGATTAAACTTGTCAAGACCATATTTGGCGTTTCCTGTCTCCATGTTGATTTAGGGAGTGCGCGTGCTTTGCTTCTCCCCAGTCTGCATGAGATCCAGCAGCGGTACGTCTCACAAGTGTATGCAGTGACTTAACGAGTGTGATATTTTGTTTAACTAATGAATCCTGATGATGTAACTGTATAATTGTGATCTAGGGCATTTTTGTGATGTATACACAGAGGCTGGTCAATTATTTCTCATTATGTTTTGTTATGTTTCTTATTTTTCTCTAATAGTGCGAGTGAATACATCACTACATGCTGTTAGGATGCACAAGTCCTCTTATATGTTCCTTTGTGTTATCCAGAATAAACGAAGATGTGATATAAAAGCAAGGATTTGTATGATGTGTCAGTGAATTCAACACAACTCAGAAAACATTCGCTACACAGGGGCATGAATGAAATGTTCCTGAATGAAAGTGAAACTGTGAAACTACATGAAACTCTGTAGGAAATGTGAATAGCATTGACGTTAATCAAATTATGTAAAAAGGGATCATGAAAGGAACATTAAAAAAGAAACTCATGTAAACACCTAATAATATTACTGGCTTAATTAGATTAAGGCAAATAATTTGATTACTGATGTCCATGTAAACCTAGTCATTGTCAGCATCCTTAAACACAGCCTCAATGTACTTCACAATAAGTATTACAAAATCTCATAAGAATAAAATATTAAACAACCATGTAGTCAACAAGATAATGTTAAATTGAACTTAATTCAAATCTGTAATGTAAATGTCTTTGACCCATATAAAATACCACTTTCAGGGTACCATTCAAAAGAGCTCTGCGTTGTGTCAAGTGTTCAGTGTAGTCTGATAGACACTTAATTTAAGTTTAAAATTGCAATATTATGTGCAGTGAACTGTTTTAATCAGTGTTTTCTTTTCATCAAGAACATTATTAAAAAGCCTAATATGGAGCCTATTGTCTGTGCAATCTGGCAAAATGATGAACAACCATCAGATTTTTCCATCACAGCAAAATAAATAAATAAGTAAGTAAGTAAATAAATAAATAAATAAATAATCTTCTATTGATGGAACATTAATTTAGCATGACCTCTGGGCTGAAGTATACATGGTTTTTGAGGTGTAGTCTGTTCATCATTATGAAATTCAGGATTTGACCCAAACATTTATGGATGAATTACATTGGTTGCCATTTCTTAATATTTGAAACTTTCAAAACAATTCACCGTGTGAACTGACAGGGGAGTCGAAAGTTAGTTTACTACACAAAAATAGAATTGTTATTTAATCATAATAGTGGCCAGTTTCTTTCAAGTCTTAAACGAGTACCACCCATAAAAATGTGTTTAATGCTTTAGAATGTAAAACTGATATCAAAACAAAACATAACTATACCTGCTGTAGTAGATGTAGGTAGAATAGTTGGTATTGGCACAGCTGTTGATAAAAATTGGGAATATTATGCAATAAGACGTTCGAGGTTACTAAAGTAACCCTTCGTTCCCCGAGGAGGGGAAGCACTATAAGTGGATTTGATGTTCTAAATCCACGTATGGGAGATTCGGTTCAGAAGCTTCTCGTCTGAAAGAGTATTGAACGGGCCAATGAAAGCAATGAATTGGCAGCGCAAGCCTGCGCAGGTGTGCTGCATCGCCAATTAACTGAGCATATAAGCACACCTGGCGCCAGCAGACGCTATCCTTTTTAAGCTGAAGAGACTTTTAACAGCTAAGGGACAGTCATTATGGCGACGGAGTATAGTGCTTCTGTTCCCCTCCTCGGAGAACGAAGGGTTACTTTAGTAACCTTGAACGTTCCCCTTCGGGGGGAACTTCAGCACTATAAGTGGATTTGATGTTCTAAATCCACGTATGGGAGCCCATTGGCTGACCTCTGCTCAAATAAGCACATGAAATGGCCTCCACAATCCAGTGGGATAAACGTTGTTTAGACACGGCACTTCCCTGCTGCCGTCCACTATAACAGACAAAGAGCTGCTCAGAAGATCTAAAGTACTGAGTACGGTCCACATAAACGCGCAAGGCGCGACTGGACAAGTAAAGAAAGGGCTGGGTCTGCCTCCTCCTGGGGCAGCGCTTGCAGGGTCACTACCTGATCTCTAAAGGGAGTGGTAGGAACTTTGGGCACATAACCCGGGCGGGGTCTCAGGATAACGTGAGAAAATCCGGCCCGAATTCCAGGCACGAGTCACTGACCGAAATGCCTCCAGGTCCCCGAGGCCAACGCGACCAGCAGAACTGTCTTCAGGGACAGAATCTTAAGGATACTGAATCGAGCGGCTCGAAGGGATCAAATCGCAAGCTCGTGAGAACTAGGGCAAGATCCCAAGAGGGCGTGAGAGGGGGGCGAGTTGGATTAATTCGCCTAGCGCCTCTGAGGAACCGGATGATGAGGTTATGCTTTCCCATGGTGCCGCCAGACACCGCATCATGGTGAGCGGAGATGGCGGCAACGTAACCTTGAGAGAGGAGGGCGACAGCCTGCTATCCAGCTTCTCTGAAGGAAAGAGAGCACAACATTGATCTGGCAAGATCGGGGGGTCTTCTCTACGAGAGACACACCATTCAGTGAATAGACTCTACTTCAGGGCATAGGCGCGCCTCATGGAGGGGGCTCTAGCCTGAGTGATGGTATTAACCACCGCGGGCGGCAGGTTACCTTAAGTCTTTCTCGCGTCTAGGGACCACACGTGGAGGTTCCAGATCGGGGCGAGGGTGCCAGATGGTGCCTTGTCCCTGAGAAAGTAGGTCCTTTCTCAAAGGGATCTGCCATGGGAGGGCCGTCGCGAGGAGGGAGAGCTCTGATATCCAGGTCCGGTTGGGCCAGAGGGGCGCAACTAACAGAACCTGCTCCTCGTCCTTCCTGACCTTGCACAGTAGCTGTGCGATCAGGCTCACTGGGGGAAATGCATACTTGCGTATGCCCCGAGGCCAGCTGTAGGCCAGTGCGTCCGTGCCGAGAGTGCCCTCGGTCAGGGAATAAAACAACTGGCAATGATCGTTCTCAGGGGAAGCAACAGATCGATGTGGGCCTCCCCGAATCGCGCCCATATCAGCTGCACAGACTTGGGGTGGAGTCTCCATTCTCCAGAGTGAATCTGCTGCCGTGAGAGCACATCGGCTGCACGGTTGAGCATACCTGGGATGTGAATGGCGCGCAGCGACTTCAGCCGCGGGTGACTCCAGAGGAGCAGACGGCAGGCGAGCTGAGACATGCGGCGAGAGTGCATACCCCCCCATGCGGTTGATATACGCTGCCGCCGCCGTACTGTCTGTCCTGACCAGCACGTGTTGCTGCTCCAGCACCGGAGAAAAACGGCGGAGAGCAAGGAACACTGCCAACATCTTTAGGTGATTGATATGCCAATGCAGCTGGGCACCTACCCACAGGCCCGCAGCTGCATGCCCGCGACACACGGCTCCCCAGCCTGTGCTGGAAGCATCTGTTGAGACAACAACATGACTGGACGCCTGTCCCAGAGGCACACCGACCTGCAGGAACGAGGGGTCGTTCCAGGGGCTGAGGGTGCGGCGACACAGCGCAGTAACAGAGACTCGGTGTGTGCCCGCATGCCATGCGCGTCTTGGAACTCGATCTAGAAGCCAGTGCTGAAGTGGTCTCATATGGAGCAGTCCGAGCGGCGTGACAACCGCGGCGGAAGCCATATGCCCCAGGAGCCTCTGAAAATATTTCAGTGGGACCACTAATTTGCTGTCGAGCTCCCTCAGACAGTTCAGCAGCAGGCGAGCGCACTCTCCGGAGAGGCGCGCTACCATGGTGACCGAGTCCAGCTCCATTCCGAGAAAAGAGATCCTCTGCACCGGGGCGAGTTTGCTCTTTTCCCAGTTGACCTGCAACCCCAATAGGCGAAGATGCCGGAGCACCTCGTCTCTGTGCGCAGTCAATTGCTCCCGAGAGTGGCTAAAATTAGCCAATCATCGAGATAATTGAGTACGCTGATGCCCGCGAGCCGAAGGGGCGCTAGGGCACCCTCCGCGAGTTTGGTGAAGACCCGCGGAGACAGAGAGAGCCCGAAGGGGAGGACCTTGTACTGCCACGCTCGACCTTCGAACGCAAACCGCAGAAACTGACGGTGGCGTGGAAGAATGGAGACATGAAAATACGCGTCCTTGTATGGCTGCAAAGGTCTATGGCTGCAAACCAATCCTGAGGGCGGACGCATCGGAGGATGCGCTTCTGCGTAAGCATTCTGAACGACAGTTTGTGAAGGCAGCGATTCAAAAAGCGCAGATCTAGGATTGGCCATGACCCACCGCTCTTTTTGGGTACGATGAAGTACGGGCTGTAAAACCCGCTCTCCATCTCGGCTGGAGGTACCGGCTCGATTGCACCCTTCGCCAGGAGGGCAGCAATCTCCTCTCGCAAGACAGGGGCGGACAGAGGATTGACCCTGGTGAATACACGCCCGTAAACTTGGGAGGCCATTTCGTGAACTGCAGTTCGTAGCCGAGTCTGATCGTGCGTATGAGCCATCGCGAGGGGCTGGCCTGCGCTAACCAGGCAGGCAGAGCCCTCGCTAATGACGTCATCGCAGCAATCGTTGTCGTACCCGCGGAGGGACAGCGCGGAGCAGGTGTGCTAATCCGGGGAGCGCGAGGGTCCCACAGAAGAGCTGGAGAAGAGCGATTCGCTCTGGCTCCGCACCCTGACTCCAGAGGGGGGGCTTGGGGGCTGGGAGAAGGGAGACCGTCCCCCCAGCGCCCGTGAGCCGCTGGCGGAGCATGCAGACCCTGCGAGCTGAGAGGCGGCGCGTCCCAGACTGGCAGGGCCTGCAGTGTTCGTGAGCCACTGGTGGAGTGCACCGAACCTACGAGCTAGAGAGCTGAGCTCAAACTGGCAGATTTCGGGCTGTCACCTCCGGGGGAGTGGAAAAGTGCCCTTTCATTTCATGGCAGTAAAAAGGTGCCGTTAAAAATGGCGCCCCGCCCTCCAGCGGGGAAAGAGCAAGTTCCCTCCTCTCCAGATGACCTGTCCCAGGGACGCTTCGCGGTCCGTTGCCGGACTTAGCGGCGTTCTGGGCAGGGGGAGTTGCCTGCTTCCGAGGTGCTCGACGCGCTCGCTTCGCCAGTGGCGAGTGGCGAGTGCCAAGTCGGTGCAGCTCCTGTAGGCGGGCGCCTTCGGCGAGGAGCAGGTATGGATGGCACGGCGGGCAGAGCGGGCTTACGGGGCCGCCGATTAGACATCACCCATCGGACCGCTCTCTCACTGCCTCGAATTCCTGGGTGAATTCGCTGACTGTGTCGCCGACCAGCTTGGGATATGGGCGAGTCAAGAAAGCGGACTTTGTCAACTTCGCGCATATCAACCAGGTTCTAGTTAGAGGTGGGGCTCCAGGACCACTAGTGTGGACATCGTCCTCCCCAAAGCACACGCAGTGGACTTAGTAGTCAGAAGAGCTTAGTCGGCTGCGGTGCGAAGCTCATAAGCCTGGGTTGGACCCACCCTCGTGCAGCTCGGCCAGGTGGCTATCGCATGCAAGGTGGATGCAGCCTGGTCCGTAGCTTTGTAAGCTCTAGCTCCGAGGGAGCCGAAAACTCACAGGCTTTGGATGGGAGACGAGGCAGACTCCGCCAAGAAGAGGCGCCGCGCGGATTAACCGCCATCGCACACTCAACCTGAGGAATCGCCACATACCCCTTGGCCGCTCCACCACGAAGAGTGGTGAGGGTGGAGGGACACGCAGCACGAGCAGAAAAAAGGTGCTCTTTAAGACCGCGTGAGCCTACTGTGCGTCGCCGGGAAGAAGGGAACGCCCCTCTAGTCAGTCCGGCCGCGGAGCTGGGGGATAAACCATCTCCAACCCACGGCAGAAGCAGCCCAGGAAAGCACGGCTAACACGTCCGTTTCAGTATCCGTTATGACAGAGCTCACCTGCCCGAAGGGGGCGAGCGGGTCTGGATCATCGTCGGACAATGAAAGCCCACCCTCCGATGCCGCGGAGGAAATCTGATCTCCGGTGTCAGCGAGCGTGAGATCTACCATCTGATTAGACGGATCACTCCCAGCGCCCGAAGCTTGGATGGAGTGCTTGGAGGAGCGAGAGGTCCGCGAGCCCTTAGGCGGCGGATTATCTTTCGCTGGAACCCTCAGATCTGCCCGAGCGCTTGCTGCAGAGCAGGAGGCGACTGGGGTGGCTCGCTCTCTCACGAAAGTTAGCTGCGATCTCAACTGCGCGACGGTCATGGCATCGTAGTGACGACATGAACCGCCCACGAGCACCACATTAACATGCTGGACCCCCAAACATGTAATACAGTGAACGTGCCCATCATCCGGAGCCAGGAAACCCCTGCAATCAGAAACGCACAGTCGGTGTGCCGTCCTGAAAAGGACGTGCTGCACGACTGTGTTGCTCTTTTAGGATGCTTTGCAACAATACGCACCACTCTGGAGGACCGGACCCAAAGGGACGCCAGGCAAGGGAGAAACCCAGCTCGACCGTCTGCCGCTGCGTGGACTCGCTCTGGACCGGGAGACACTCGTTCGCTCGATGTGGCTGTAGCTCAGCAAGAGAAACCCTCATGAACTCGATCAGAAAAGTCTCTGAAGCGAAAAGGATAGCGTCTGCTGACACCAGGTGTGCTTATATGCTCAGTTAATTGGCAATCCAGCACACCTGCGCAGGCTTACGCTGCCAATTCATTGCTTTCATTGGCCTGTTCAATACTCTTTCAGACGAGTAGCTTCTGAACCGAATCTCCCATACGTGGATTTAGAACATCAAATCCACTTATAGTGCTGAAGTTCCCCCCGAAGGGGAACAAATCACAGTGATGACAGGAAAATGAAATAAATTTCTTAAACTCCAACAATCAAATTCTACTAAGCAATTAATTATAAAAAATTTACATTTAAATGAATCTAAAACTCAAACTCAAATTATCCCCTTTTATGCAATTCTAAACAAAACAGTAAGAGTTCGACCAAAACACTATTGTCAATTTAAAACATTCATCAATATCTGATATAAAATACTTGAGTAAGTACATGATTTAGAAAATACAAATAGTATTTATATACAAATACGGTACCTGTGCACGTGTTATTGCTGTTTATAGGGAGGGTTGGATCAGTTACATTATATCCACTCATGCATGAGCAATTGTAACTCCCAATAGTGTTGTTGCAGGTTGAGTTTGGACCACAGACTGATGGACTGAAGAGACATTCATCTATATCTACAGGGAGATACAATAGTATTAAAACAAGCCATTATTTATAAAAAGTGGAATTACATTATATTAAAATGGCAGAACTAAGGGTTAGATTTAAATATTGAATGAACAAATTTCTGACAAAATAATTAAAAACGTCAGTTGATCCACTCAGGCATGAGCAATTGTAACTCCCAATAGTGTTGTTGCAGATTGAGTTTGGACCACAGACATCTGACATCTCAAAACATTCATTCACGTCTTTGTTAAAAGAGAATTATGTGGAAAATGTCAATTTAAATGTAATATGGAAAACATAGAGTTTGAGTAAGTTCAATTTCATTTTTTGCAGTTTTACAATAGAATGCTTTCGAAGTACAAATTGAAAGCAAAAAATTACAATTCATTACTAAGTTTTAGACTGAAAAAAATCTGAATTTAAAATGTACCTCTGCAAGTGTTGTTGTTGCTGATGTTAAGACTTGAATTTGTAGTGAATCCAGACAAGCATGAGCAATTGTAACTTCCTATGGCATTTGTGCAGTTGGAGTTTGGACCACAGACTGATGGACTTAACAGACATTCATCGACATCTAATGGGGAAAATATTTTAAAAATATGTAATATTGAGTCTTTTTTTTTTTTTTTTTAAATGCTAATTAAAACCACAAGGAGTTCGGCCAAAACATTGATGGTGTGTCACAATATAGTATCAGACAAATAATAGAAAAAGTTCAAGATTACAGTAATCCGGGAATACAAACAGTAACAAACTGTTCAGTGCTTCATCTGTCAATCATACCTGTGCATGTGTTACTGCTGTTTATAGGGAGGTTTGGCTCTGATACATTATATCCACTCATGCATGAGCAATTGTAACTCCCAATAGTGTTGCTGCAGTTTGAATTTGGTCCACAAACATTTGACATCTCAACACATTCATCCACATCTATATTAATAGATTTAAAATAAAGTTAGAGAAAGTGCAGTCAGTTCGGATTAGTTTAATCAGTTTTTTTTTTTTTGCTGCTTACAAAGTAAAAATGGCTAATTCAAACTAACTAAAGTATAGAGTTACACATATCTAAGCATTAAATGTACCTCTGCATGTGTTGCTGATGCTGATGGTGAGATTCGAGTTTGTTGCAGTGAATCCAGACAAACATGAGCAATTGTAACTTCCTATTAGATTTGTGCAGTTGGAATTTGGACCACAGATTGATGGACTGAACAGACATTCATTTATATCTGAGGGAGCAAATACAATATTTTTTAAAAACATCATCATCATCATCAATATCATTATTTTTAAATATTATTATCATGAAGACAGTAAGAGTTCAGCCAGAATACTGATAATGATGATTCCAAACATTTATGAATATCAGACATAAAATATTTTAAAAAGTACAAAATACAAATAGCAACAAACTTTTCACGGCTTCATCTGTCAATCATACCTGTGCATGTGTTATTGCTGTTTATAGGGAGGTTTGGATCTGATACATTATATCCACTCATGCATGAGCAATTGTAACTCCCAATAGTGTTGCTGCAGTTTGAGTTTGGACCACAGACATTTGACATCTCAACACATTCATCCACATCTTTATTAAAAGTAATTTTGGGGGGGAAAAAGTGTAGTTAGGGTCAGTTTAGGCTGATTCTTTAGGATTTGTAAATTTGAGTTGTATCAAAGTCCAAAGTAAAAACTAACACATTTTAATTATTTAAATTTAAACTAAACACAAAACTGAATATAAAATGTACCTCTGCATATGTTGTTGTTGCTGATGTTAAGACTTGAATTTGTTGTAGTGAATCCAGACAAGCATGAGCAATTGAAACTTCCTATGGCATTTGTGCAGTTGGAGTTTGGACCACAGACTGATGGACTGAACCAACATTCATCGACATCTAATAGGGAAAATATATTAAAATATGTAATAATGAGTCTTTTTTTTAAAATGCTAATTAAAACCACTAGGAGTTCAGCCAAAACACTGATGGTGTGTCACAATATAATATCAGACAAATAAGAGAAAAAGTTCAAGATTACAGTATTCTGGAAAAACAAACAGTAACAAACTGTTCAGTGCTTCATCTGTCAATCATACCTGTGCATGTGTTATTGCTGTTTATAGGGAGGTTTGGATCTGATACATTATATCCACTCCTGCATGAGCAATTGTAACTCCCAATAGTGTTGCTGCAGTTTGAGTTTGGACCACAGACATTTGACATCTCAACACATTCATCCACATCTTTATTAAAAGTAATTTTGGGGGGGAAAAAGTGTAGTTAGGGTCAGTTTAGGCTGATTCTTTAGGATTTGTAAATTTGAGTTGTATCAAAGTCCAAAGTAAAAACTAACACATTTTAATTATTTAAATTTAAACTAAACACAAAACTGAATATAAAATGTACCTCTGCATATGTTGTTGTTGCTGATGTTAAGACTTGAATTTGTTGTAGTGAATCCAGACAAGCATGAGCAATTGAAACTTCCTATGGCATTTGTGCAGTTGGAGTTTGGACCACAGACTGATGGACTGAACCAACATTCATCGACATCTAATAGGGAAAATATATTAAAATATGTAATAATGAGTCTTTTTTTTAAAATGCTAATTAAAACCACTAGGAGTTCAGCCAAAACACTGATGGTGTGTCACAATATAATATCAGACAAATAAGAGAAAAAGTTCAAGATTACAGTATTCTGGAAAAACAAACAGTAACAAACTGTTCAGTGCTTCATCTGTCAATCATACCTGTGCATGTGTTATTGCTGTTTATAGGGAGGTTTGGATCTGATACATTATATCCACTCCTGCATGAGCAATTGTAACTCCCAATAGTGTTGCTGCAGTTTGAATTTGGTCCACAAACATTTGACATCTCAACACATTCATCCACATCTATATTAATAGATTTAAAATAAAGTTAGAGAAAGTGCAGTCAGTTTGGATTAGTTTAATCAGGTTTTTTTTTTTTTTTTTTTTGCTGCTTACAAAGTAAAAATGGCTATTTCAAACTAACTAAAGTATAGAGTTACACATATCTAAGCATTAAATGTACCTCTGCATGTGTTGCTGACGCTGATGGTGAGATTCGAGTTTGTTGCAGTGAATCCAGACAAACATGAGCAATTGTAACTTCCTATTAGATTTGTGCAGTTGGAATTTGGACCACAGATCGATGGACTGAACAGACATTCATTTATATCTGAGGGAGCAAATACAATATTTTTTAAAAACATCATCATCATCATCATCCTCATCATCAATATCATTATTTTTAAATATTATTATCATGAAGACAGTAAGAGTTCAGCCAGAATACTGATAATGATGATTTCAAACATTTATGAATATCAGACATAAAATATTTTAAAAAGTACAAAATACAAATAGCAACAAACTTTTCACGGCTTCATCTGTCAATCATACCTGTGCATGTGTTATTGCTGTTTATAGGGAGGTTTGGATCTGATACATTATATCCACTCATGCATGAGCAATTGTAACTCCCAATAGTGTTGCTGCAGTTTGAGTTGGGACCACAGACATTTGACATCTCAACACATTCATCCACATCTTTATTAAAAGTAATTTTGGGGGAAAAAAAGTGTAGTTAGGGTCAGTTTAGGCTGATTCTTTAGGATTTGTAAATTTGTGTTGTATCAAAGTCCAAAGTAAAAACTAACACATTTTAATTATTTAAATTTAAACTAAACACAAAACTGAATATAAAATGTACCTCTGCATATGTTGTTGTTGCTGATGTTAAGACTTGAATTTGTTGTAGTGAATCCAGACAAGCATGAGCAATTGAAACTTCCTATTTCATTAGTGCAATTGGAGTTTGGACCACAGACTGATGGACTGAACAGACATTCATTGACATCTAATAGGGAAAATATATTAAAATATGTAATAATGAGTTTTTTTTTTTAAAAATGCTAATTAAAACCACTAGGAGTTCAGCCAAAACACTGATGGTGTGTCACAATATAATATCAGACAAATAAGAGAAAAAGTTCAAGATTACAGTATTCTGGAAAAACAAACAGTCACAAACTGTTCAGTGCTTCATCTGTCAATCATACCTGTGCATGTGTTATTGCTGTTTATAGGGAGGTTTGGATCTGATACATTATATCCACTCCTGCATGAGCAATTGTAACTCCCAATAGTGTTGCTGCAGTTTGAATTTGGTCCACAAACATTTGACATCTCAACACATTCATCCACATCTATATTAAAAGAGAATTATGTGGAAAATGCAAATGTTAATGTAATATGTAAAATGTAGAGATTTGGTCAGTTTAACTGCATTTTTTGCAGTTTTACAATAGAATGCTTTCAAAGTACAAATTGAAAACAATAAATTACAATTCATTACTAAATTTTAGACTGAAAACATGTGAATTTAAAATGTACCTCTGCAAGTGTTGTTGTTGCTGAAGTTAAGACTTGAATTTGTTGTAGTGAATCCAGACAAACATGAGCAATTGAAACTTCCTATTTCATTAGTGCAGTTGGAGTATGGGCCACAGATAGATGGACTGAACAGACATTCATCGACATCTGAGGAAGAAAATAAAAAAATTAAAAAGTATATCATAATGATTCTTTTTTTCAAAATGCTAATTAAACCCACTATGAGTTTGGCCAAAACACTAATGGTGTGCCATAATATAATATCAGACAAATAATAGAAAAAGTTCAAGATTACAGTATTCCGGAAATACAAACAGTCACAAACTGTCCAGTGCTTCATCTGTCAATCATACCTGTGCATGTGTTATTGCTGTTTATAGGGAGGTTTGGATCAGATACATTATATCCACTCCTGCATGAGCAATTGTAACTCCCAATAGTGTTGCTGCAGTTTGAGTTGGGACCACAGACATTTGACATCTCAACACATTCATCCACATCTTTATGAAAAGTAATTTTGGGGAAAAAAAAGTGTAGTTAGGGTCAGTTTAGGCTCATTCTTTAGGATTTGTAACATTGTGTTGTATCAAAGTCCAAAGTAAAAACTAACACATTTTAATTATTTAAATTAAAACTAAACACAAAACTGAATATAAAATGTACCTCTGCATATGTTGTTGTTGCTGATGTTAAGACTTGAATTTGTTGTAGTGAATCCAGACAAGCATGAGCAATTGAAACTTCCTATGGCATTTGTGCAATTGGAGTTTGGACCACAGACTGATGGACTGAACCAACATTCATCGACATCTAATAGGGAAAATATATAAAAAATATGTAATAATGAGTCTTTTTTTTAAATGCTAATTAAAACCACAAGGAGTTCAGCCAAAACACTGATGGTGTGTCACAATATAATATCAGACAAATAAAAGAAAAAGTTCAAGATTACAGTATTCCGGAAATACAAACAGTCACAAACTGTTCAGTGCTTCATCTGTCAATCATACCTGTGCATGTGTTATTGCTGTTTATAGGGAGGTTTGGATCTGATACATTATATCCACTCCTGCATGAGCAATTGTAACTCCCAATAGTGTTGCTGCAGTTTGAATTTGGTCCACAAACATTTGACATCTCAACACATTCATCCACATCTTTATGAAAAGAGAATTATGAGGAAAATGCATTTTTAAAATGTAATATGGAAAAAAGTAGAGATCGTATGCGTTAAATTTAATAAAAAAATATTCATTATTAAGTGTTGGACATAAAATATTTAAAATAACCTCTGCATGTGTTGTTGATGCTGATGGTGAGATTAGAGTTTGTTGCAGTGAATCCATCCAAACATGAGCAATTGTAGCTTCCTATGTCATTTGTGCAGTTGGAATATGGACCACAGATTGATGGAATGATCAGACATTCATTTATGTCTGTGGGAAAAATACAACATTTTAAAAAACATATTATTATTATTTTAAGCAATTCTAGAAGACTGTGAGAGTTCTGAGTTCATGACACAATGAGTTCCTATAGGGTTCCCACTCTTTCATGAACAGCAGATTCAAGGACTTTCAATGACTCTAAATTTAAATCAAGCACTAAAATAATTCTCACCCAGCATACTGTATGTAGGGTTCTTACTTTATTTAACTTTTCACTTACACTTCACATTTACATTGAAACATGTGAGCAACGATGATGTTTTGAAAGTGTTCAAAGAACTTTATTAAAATTTGTTGAATTAATAATAGTAATATTCAAATGCGGTTTCTGAAGCTTTAATGAAATATCTGTTATTTGTCAGAGTTCTTGTGCAGGTTTTAAATTTAAGACTTTTGAATGAAGAATTTCTCATTTTTATTCAGTCTTTGTTAAAATACCATATTAAACACATTTCATTTCAAATTTAACTGAAGAACTTTCAAGCTTCTATGTTTGTTTTTAAGTACTTTCCAGGCCTTGAAACCATACAGCATGTCTTAAATTCAGGTACGTTTAAGAAATGTGGGAACCCTGTTCTAACAGGCATCAGGAAGCTCGCACAACAAGAGAGAGTAATGCAAGTATATTTTCATGTGTTTAAGCTGTGCCCCTTTTAAAGTGTTTCATGATCTTGGTGAATCTTGTTAATTGTGGTTTAACTGTGTGAAAAATGGTCATTCTTTACTTGCCTTCTATATTTCTTGAATTTTCTGTGTTTTATGTATCACATGTTTTTGTTTGTTATATATTAGTCGTTAAATATTATATTATACCCAGATAGAATTGCCTTTGATTTGACTCACAGAACGATCACTTTAAATATTACAAATACTTTTGTTATTTGCTTTATTATAACTGCTTTCAAACTTATAAACTATTTCTTTAATTCCCCAAGACATATTATATTTCTTTGAATGAATACAGCAATTAAAGAGTCAGATTAATAGATGAGCATGATGAGATCAGCTGATTGTAATATTTATACAGTTTACTGAATAATAACTTGATATTATTAATTATTAAAATTAATTTCATGACACAGTTTGCTACACATATTTATAAGTTTTGTATTTCACAAGAGTATTTCATATAACCTGGAAAATGAATGTTCCTTAAACACATAAATACTTGACCCAAAGTCATCAAATAAAATTGTTCAGCTTATCTAAATATTATAAATAATTCATAATAATTATGAATAATTATTAGTATTTTCTCTTTGATCTAGATCGCTACACTTAGATTACACTTACACTTTCAGAGTTAACACAAATGAAAATATATAATGTACCTCCACATGTGTTATTGATACTTATGGTGAGATTTGGGTTTGCTGTAGTGAATCCAGACAAACATGAGCAATTGTAACTTCCTATTTCATTTGTGCAGTTGGAATTTGGACCACAGATTGATGGACTGAACAGACATTCATTGATATCTGAGGGGGAAATGCAATATATTTAACAAACATCTTGTATAAGAATGATTTATTTTGTTGAAATTCAACTTATAACACTAAGAGTTTGGCCAAAATACACTGATGGTTTGTCAAAACATTATGTTAGAGATCAAATAAGTGAGTAAGATTACAGTATTTAATAATACAAACAGTAAAAACTGCTTCATCTGTCAATCATACCTGTGCATGTGTTATTGCTGTTTATAGGGAGGTTTGGATCTGATACATTATATCCACTCCTGCATGAGCAATTGTAACTCCCAATAGTGTTGTTGCAGATTGAGTTTGGTCCACAAACATTTGACATCTCAACACATTCATCCACATCTTTATGAAAAGAGAATAATGTGGAAAATGCGTTTTTAAAATGTAATATGTGAAAAGTAGGGATTGGATGATTTTAATTTGATTAAAATTACAAAAACAATTAATTACTAGGTTTTGGACATAGAATATTTAAAATAACCTCTGCATGTGTTGTTAATGCTGATGGTGATATTAGAGTTTGTTGCAGTGAATCCAGACAAACATGAGCAATTGAAACTTCCTATTTCATTAGTGCAGTTGGAATATGGACCACAGATTGGTGGACTGAACAGACATTCATTGATATCTGAGGGGAAAATATTTTAAAATAAAATTATATAAAACCACTAAGAGTTTGGCCAAAACATTGATCCTTCATCTGTCAATCATACCTGTGCATGTGTTATTTCTGTTTATAGGGAGGGTTGGATCTGTTACATTATATCCACTCCTGCATGAGCAATTGTAACTCCCAATAGTGTTGTTGCAGATTGAGTTTGGTCCACAAATATTTGACATCTCAACACATTCATCCACATCTTTGTTAAAGGAAAGTAATGATGAAAAGTAGACTTCAGGTCAGTTTAATCTTATTTTAGCAGCTTTATAATAGGATGGTTTTAAAGTAAAAATCACACATTTCAACTAATTTAATTAGAAAGAAAACACAAATAGAAATATAAAATCTACCTCTGCATGTGTTGTTGATGCTGATGGTGAGATTAGAGTTTGTTGCAGTGAATCCATCCAAACATGAGCAATTGTAGCTTCCTATGTCATTTGTGCAGTTGGAATATGGACCACAGATTGATGGAATGATCAGACATTCATTTATGTCTGTGGGAAAAATACAACATTTTAAAAAACATATTATTATTATTTTAAGCAATTCTAGAAGACTGTGAGAGTTCTGAGTTCATGACACAATGAGTTCCTATAGGGTTCCCACTCTTTCATGAACAGCAGATTCAAGGACTTTCAATGACTCTAAATTTAAATCAAGCACTAAAATAATTCTCACCCAGCATATGTAGGGTTCTTACTGTATTTAACATTTCACTCATGGTTACACGTTTTTAAAATATAAATGTTGAGTAATGATGATGTTCTAAAAGTGTCATTTCCTAAAAACTTAAAAATTAAAAAATTCAACAAATTGCGTGTTTAAACAGTCATGTTCAAAGAACTTTATTAAAAATTTGTTGAATTAATACTAGTAATATTCAAATGCGTTTTCTGAAGCTTTAATGAAATATCTGTTATTTGTCAGAGTTCTTGTGCAGGTTTTAAATTTAAGACTTTTGAATGAAGAATTTTTCATTTTTATTCAGTCTTTGTTAAAATACCATATTAAACACATTTCATTTCAAATTTAACTGAAGAACTTTCAAGCTTCTATGTTTGTTTTTAAGTACTTTCCAGGCCTTGAAACCATACAGCATGTCTGAAATTCAGGTGCATTTAAGAAATGTGGGAACCCTGTTCTAACAGGCATCAGGAAGCTCGCACAACAAGAGAGAGTAATGCAAGTATATTTTCATGTGTTTAAGCTGTGCCCCTTTTAAAGTGTTTCATGATCTTGGTGAATCTTGTTAATTGTGGTTTAACTGTGTGAAAAATGGTCATTCTTTACTTGCCTTCTATATTTCTTAATTTTCTGCGTTTTATGTATCACATGTTTTTGTTTGTTATATGTTAGTCGTTAAATATTATATTACACCCAGATGGAATTGCCATATTTATAAGTTTTGTATTTCACAAGAGTATTTCATATATCCTGGAAAATGTATGTTCCTTAAACACATAAATACTTGGCCCAAAGTCATCAAATAAAATTGTACAGCTTATCTAAATATTATAAATAATTCATAATAATTATGAATAATTATTAGTATTTTCTCTTTGATCTAGATCGCTACACGTAGATTACACTTACACTTTCAGAGTTAACACAAATGAAAATATATAATGTACCTCCACATGTGTTATTGATACTTATGGTGAGATTTGAGTTTGTTGTAGTGAATCCAGACAAACATGAGCAATTGTAACTTCCTATTTCATTTGTGCAGTTGGAATTTGGACCACAGATTGATGGACTGAACAGACATTCATTGATATCTGAGGGGGAAATGCAATATATTTAACAAACATCTTATATAAGAACGATTTATTTTGTTGAAATTCTATTTATAATACTAAGAGTTTGGCCAAAACACTGATGTGGAGTCATAACAATATATTACAGATTAAATAAGTGAGTAAGATTACAGTATTTAATAATACAAACAGTAAAAACTGCTTCATCAGTCAGTCATACCTGTGCATGTGTTATTGCTGTTTATAGGGAGGTTTGGATCTGATACATTATATCCACTCATGCATGAGCAATTGTAACTCCCAATAGTGTTGTTGCAGTTTGAGTTTGGACCACAGACGCCTGACATCTCAACACATTCATCCACATCTTTATTAAAAGAGAATGATGTGGAAAATGCATTTTTAAAATGTAATATGGAAAAAGTAGAGATTGGATGATATTAATTTAATTAAAATGAACAAAAACATTTTATTAAGTTTTGGACATAAAATATTTAAAATAACCTCTGCATGTGTTGTTGATGCTGATGGTGATATTAGAGTTTGTTGCAGTGAATCCAGACAAACATGAGCAATTGTAACTTCCTATTTCATTTGTGCAGTTGGAGTATGGACCACAGATTGGTGGACTGAACAGACATTCATTGATATCTGAGGGGAAAATATTTTAAAACAAAATAATATAAAACCGCTAAGGTTTTTTGGACAAAACACTGATCCTTCATCTGTCAATCATACCTGTGCATGTGTTATTGCTGTTTATAGGGAGGTTTGGATCTGATACATTATATCCACTCATGCATGAGCAATTGTAACTCCCAATAGTGTTGTTGCAGATTGAGTTTGGACCACAGATTTCTGACATCTCTACACATTCCTCTACATCTTTATTAAAAGAGAGCAGTGAGGTAAAGTAGAGTTCAGGTCAATTTAATCTTATTTTTAGCAGCTTTATAATAGGACGGTTTTAAAGTAAAATTCACACATTTCCACTAATTACATTTTAAAGAAAACAAAAAAATATAAGAATAAAATCTACCTCTACATGTGTTATTGATAGTTATGGTGAGATTTGAGTTTGCTGTAGTGAATCCAGACAAACATGTGCAATTGTAACTTCCTATTTCATTTGTGCAGTTGGAATTTGGCCCACAGATTAATGGACTGAACAGACATTCATTGATATCTGAGGGGGAAATGCAATATATTTAACAAACATCTTGTATAAGAATGATTTATTTTGTTAAAATTCTACTTATAACACTAAGAGTTTGACCAAAACACTGATGGGGAGTAAAACATTATCTTAGAGATTAAATAAGTGAGTAAGATTACAGTATTTAAAAAATATAAACAGTAAAAACTGCTTCATCTGTCAGTCATACCTGTGCATGTGTTATTGCTGTTTATAGGGAGGTTTGAATCTGATACATTATATCCACTCCTGCATGAGCAATTGTAACTCCCAATAGTGTTGTTGCAGATTGAGTTTGGTCCACAAACATTTGACATCTCAACACATTCATCCACATCTTTATGGAAAGAGAATAATGTGGAAAATGCGTTTTCAAATGTAACATGTGGAAAGTAGAGATTGGATGCTTTAAATTTAATTAAAATGAACAAAAACAAATTGGTATTAAGTTTTGGGCATAAAAGACGTAAAATAACCTCTGCATGTGTTGTTGATGCTGATGGTGAAATTAGAATTTGTTGCAGTAAATCCAGACAAACATGAGCAATTGTAACTTCCTATTTCATTTGTGCAGTTGGAGTAAGGACCACAGATTGGTGGACTGAACAGACATTCATTGATATCTGAGGGGGAAATATTTAAAAATAAAATTATATAAAACCACTAAAAGTTTGGCCAAAACACTGATCCTTCATCTGTCAATCATACCTGTGCATGTGTTATTGCTGTTTATAGGGAGGTTTGGATCAGTTACATTATATCCACTCCTGCATGAGCAATTGTAACTCCCAATAGTGTTGTTGCAGATTGAGTTTGGACCACAGATTTCTGACATCTCTACACATTCATTCACATCTATATTAGGAGAAAAAGTTTATTCTATTTCTTAAGCTGTTTGACAATAGGATGGTTTCAATGTGAAAATCTGAAATTCTAACTAATTAAATTTTAGACAAAACACAAATGTACATAAATCTAAACATAAAATGTACCTCGGCATGTGTTGTTGATGCTGATGGTGAGATTTGAGATTATTGCAGTGAATCCATCCAAACATGAGCAATTGTACATTCCTATGTCATTTGTACAGTTGGAATTTGGACCACAGACTGGTGGACTGAACAGACATTCGTTTATATCTGGGTAGAAAAACAAATGTAATGTAAAATATACAAATAGAAACAATAGTAGAGCATCGGTAAGCATATAAAGAGTAAAGATTTTTATCTGTAAACTATTTTCTATAGAGAATTTAAAAATATTTCTGCCTTAAGTTAAAAAAAGAAGAAATGTTCACAGCTCTTGCATCATAACATGAACTGGGAAGATTATAATTTTTAGGTAAATGCGGGGAAGGTATTTTGTACACCTTCACTTTACAGACCTCCATAATAGCAAAGTGTTTAGCAAATGCAATGTCAGAGATTTTCAGACTTCAGACTGTTTTTGAATACACAGAATTTTACTGTTCTTACAGTAATTGAAAAACAGAACATACTAACAGCAAAAACTCTAAACCCACATCTAAACGAAGAATGAACCAAAATCCTTTGAACTGACTTTCAGGCAGTATGCTTGGGCATTTTGTCTGAATGGGGAAACATCAAATTCTCCAAAACTGTTTGCTAGGCTTACAACTACATTACATATTTGGAATAGCAAACAACTTACTGACTAACAACTTGGTCTTGTTGGTGAATATCCTCCAGAAATGAAGATGACTCTTTGTTTACATGCTTGTGGGCGTCTAAGTAATTGCTGTCATGCGATGATTGTTTGACAGAATAAACTGTACCCCGCTTTCGATTCATGGAGATTACAAAACCAGAAAACTTTTGTTTTCAAGAATAGTTGGTTCATTTAAAAGTACAGATTTCAAGCTTTCTCTAGAAATGTTTCCTATGTCTGTGAAGTAAGTATTAACTAATATTTAAGTGAGTTTGTTGACCACCAAACTGTTGTAAAAGCAGACATCTGGTGTGAGCTTCTCCGTCAGTCTAGTAATCGATGATTGGCTCTTGTACTAGTAGTTGGGGTTTCATTCACCAAATTGACCATTACACATTTCCCCATTTAAAATTTTGCAAGTGACACATCTTGTGTATTCTAGAGTCTTTGGTTTTATCCACAATTAGATAGGGTTACTGTCTACAGTTTGATAATGGCAACAGAAGAGGGGCAGGGACCTTCAATTTTAAAGGAAGAAATAGCCTCTTTATAGAGCATTTGTGCCATCAGAGAAGAGCCATCACAGCTTTTACTTCTTGTACATTGTCATAAGGCAAGTATACCTGTTGATGTAGTAGTTTTAAACGTTAGCACATTTTACATTAATACAAACTTACCAATGCATGGGTTGTTTTTAGTAACAGCTTTGTTCCCATCTGTGACGTTGTATCCTTCCCAACAAAAGCATGAGAAGCTTCCATTGTAATTGTAACAGTTAGAGTTTGGACCACAAACTGATTCTGAGTCAAGACATTCATAAATATCTGAAATAAAACAATTGATTAAGTGAATGGTTATAGATTAATTCAGTACAATTAAACAAAAAGTTCAGGGTTTTATCTGACAGTCATACCTCTGCATGGGTTACTGCTGCTTATAGGATCAGTTGCATTATATCCACTGAGGCAAGAGCAATTGTAACTCCCAATAGTGTTGTTGCACATTGAGTTTGGACCGCAGATGTCTGACATCTCAACACATTCATTCACATCTTTCATTGACAGAAAATCAAGGATAAAACTTCAGATCACTTGCATAGTATGTAAAGGTCATTTAATTCATTCTTTTTTTTTTCAACTTTACAATCAAGATAATGCAGGGAACATCATTATGTTACCTTACTGTTAGGACAAATTGTATTTAAAAACATCTACTTTATTATTAATCATTGAAGTAATCAGAAATCCAAATATAAAATGTACCTTTGCATGTGTTACTGATGTTGATAGTGAGACTGAGGTTTGTTGCAGTGAATCCATCCAAACAAGAGCAATTGTAGCCTCCTATCACATTTGTGCAGTTGGAATTTGGACCACAAACAGATGAATTGAACAGACATTCATCAATATCTATGGGGGAAAAATAAGGTGATGAATTGAATTACAGTACTTTTTATTAACACAGTCACTTAAAACATAAATGACATCGGTTTTCTCATAACCTTAATCTGTCTATAAAAACTTAAAACATGACTCAAGGGAGTAGAAATTAGAATTGTTAAAGCATAATAAATCAGATAAAATGTACAATATCATTAGGTATTAACCCTTCACTAAGCCACACCTGAAAACCTCCACACGCCAATCGTGGTTTAGCAACCGTAGCTATGTGCGGGAGGTCTGTCAAGCAAAGTAGGAAAACAAGCGAGGAAAACAAGCCAAAGCGTTATGCATATGGATTGTGCAAATCTGATATCCGGTTACTTTTACGTTAAAAGTTTGGATGAGGTAGTGAATTTTTTTCCCTTTCCAAAACCTAAAACCCAAGGATAGAACTGCAAGCATGGATCAAGCTGTGTGAGGAGCTGTAAAAGCAGCACAACCCAGTCATATTTCCATCTGTTTCAAGCTACGGATATTTGGATTACATATGATAGATATGATCACAAACAGACCACTTGCGATCAATATACTTCACCCGCAGGTGTTTTTGGGTAATTTATAACCCTTATATCCATGTCTACAATTCACTGATATTTTCACTGAGATTTGGTCATTGGTTATGACCTTTTAGCAGGTTAGTGTCTGCTTTTATATTTTGTGTCTGATTAATATTTGCTGATAGGGAAAATCTATTTGTTCACTTCTGCTATTTAGACTTTGATTTGCTTTTCAATGTGTTTATCTTTTCCACTGTACTGAAAATTAGAATAGAAACGGTATAAAAAGCATACAAACATACTGACAGTTATAGGTACTGTACATTGTTATGGGTCAATCGTGCTAATATTTGACATGAATCCATAAGTTTCCCCTTTCTGGCTGCTCTTTCTATGAATAATTTATGTAGATCACAGTCCATGTGTGTTTCTTCTCCGGTTATATTTCATTGCACAACAATAGTCTAAAAAAATGTTTTTATTTTTGGCTAAAAATAGAAATAACAGTTTAATTTGTTATTATTTTAGATTATTTTTAAATTTCACCTATTCTGCTTTGCATGAACTAAGCTGTTGAATGGTCAGTGTATGAGGTGGCTAGGCTAGTCTAGCTTCAGTTTTGATTCAAATATTTTCTAATCGGTGTCCTATTATGTGGTGAATATACCCCTGTAATGCATACTGCAGTCCTGTTCTGTCTGGCTTTCTCAGATATCTCACCTGTTCGCCAAAAATGACTAATTATATCCCTGGCGATGTCTGACACCAGAGCATACATATTATAATAGACGTGCTTGACAGGCGTAACAACAGTAAGTAAGAAGGCTGGGGCTTAAAGAAGGGTCAATGGAGTATATGCCGAAGCATGCTAATGAGACTTTTAATTTGCCAGTAACCTGGGTTAACCGCTTCCGGCGAATTGAATGCCAATGCAAAAACCGGTGCGTTTAAGGTCTGTTTTCTTTAAAAATCAGCGATCTCCACTGGCTGAGTGATATCCGATTTAAAGTGGGTCTCAGATTGTACAAGAAGCTCTGTATTAAATTACATTTCCCTCCGCCATGTCCTTATAATATGAGCATTTATTTTACCCCAGTACATTCAATAGAGCTTCTGCGCTAGCCTGCCGATTCTGACGGGCACGTGCGAGTAAACGGCTTTTTGTCTCGTTTTACACTTGAGCAACTAAATAAATGCCAAAGTTTATGTAACTGAATGTTGAATGTCACATTACAACATCGATGCTGTAAAAGGAACCCTATAAAATAGAAAAAAGTTTACAATAACAGATCAACGGAAGTTTATCAGTATGGGAAAAACACTAGCTCGGCATATACCCTATTGTAACAGTTTTTACACGTTTAAGTTGTTTTCAATAAAATTAAGAATAATCAAATTATATACTTAAAAAAATACTGACATTTGACACTATGCAACAATACATTCAAGTTGCTTACAATAAAAAACAATAAATGAAATCCACGACAAAGAATATTACAGAGAAAAAAACTTACCAATGCATTGGTTACTTTTGCTAATATCTTTATTCCCATCTGTGACATTGTATCCTTCCCAGCAAAAGCATGAGAAGCTTCCATTGTAATTGTAACAGTAAGAGTTTGGACCACAAACTGATTCTGAGTCAAGACATTCATAAATATCTGAAATGAAACAGTTGATTAAGTGAATGGTTATAGATTAATTCAATACAATTAAACATAAACAGTTCAGGGTTTTATCTGACAGTCATACCTCTGCATGGGTTACTGCTGCTTATAGGATCAGTTGCATTATATCCGCTGAGGCAAGAGCAATTGTAACTCCCAATAGTGTTGTTGCACATTGAGTTTGGACCGCAGATGTCTGACATCTCAACACATTCATTCACATCTATATTAAAACAAAGTTCAGTTAAAAGATACAGCATGGGTAACATATACATACATCCAGGTTAACTCGTTCTTTAGTATCTTAATAATATAATGCTTTATTGTTTACAGATAATAAAGTAGGCGTTTTTAAGTAAAAGTAACTCTGGCTAATTATTCATATACTTAAATACAAATGCAAATGAACAGTTCACCCAGAAAGTATTTACAGTGTTTCACTTTTTTCATATTTGTTACTCCAAAATGAATCAAATTAATTCTTTTTCTCAAAACTCTAGAAACAACAACCCCTAAATAACATTTTGCAAAGATTTCAAACTTTTCACAATGCCATTGTGGCGAATTGTTTCAAGTTTAAATAATGTAATAAAATGTGGAAAGAGTGAAATGCTGTGAATAATTTGGATTATTTTAGGTTAATCATAACTAACATTCCGTTTCCTTGCAGGTTTAACATTCACATGCATCAGAAAATGAAATGTCTGGTAACATTAGATTAAAGTGAGTTTGTGTAATAAGTTTAGACGGCAATCTAAATATATAACCCCTTGACTTGGGTTGATGTAATCAAAGTCCAGATTTTCCTATATCCAGCATATTCAAATGCATTGCCTGGAGTCTTGTCTAATTCTTACTGCAATAAGGCTTATGGAGCATTAGCATTATTTAAGTGATAGTGCTCAAAGGGGATGAGGTGTCATCTGACTCAGAATAAGTCGTCTGTAGACCTGTCAAGTATCATTTATACAGTAGGTAAGCATTGACAAGGGATGCATTATCAGTAGACGCCACACAGATACTTTAGTCAGGTGCATGAAGAACAAATCTACCACAGTGCACAGTAAAATGTACCTCTACATGTGTTATCGATGCTGATGGTAAGACTTGAATTTGTTGTAGTAAATCCAGACAAACATGAGCAATTGTAGCTTCCTACTTCGTTGGTGCAGTTGGAATATGGACCACAGATTGATGGACTGAACAGACATTCATCAATATCTAGGAGAAGAAAATAAAAGAAATTATTTTTTTAATTCAATTTTCACATTTATTAGAATTCCTTTCTAGTTTTATAACACTTTGAAAAGCAGCGTATTCAATCATGACGTCAATCATTTGCAATTGTAATTTGTGCTTTCGGTGTCATCTGCTTCCACCTACTGTATGTTCAGATTTACAAATAGCATGTAAAGCTCCTTGATATTGGAAACTGTCATCTTAACTTTCATATTTGAACGCATTGCCTTATTTATTTGGAATTATTTAATAAATGCACAAATCAAAAGACATTAGGCTTTTATCATTTTCTTTGCGATATCAACAAATCTCATAGCATCTTAGATTTTAGTTTGATTTGATTTGCAAAGACCTTCCTATAATCTTTCAGCAAGCAACATCTTAAATAAATAACACTTGCAAACACATGAAAACACTTTGTGTTTTATCTGTTTACGTGATGCGATTTGAATTATAACTAAACTTAAAAAAAACACCTTTCACAGAATTTTTTATGATAGAATTTAGTTAAGCTTGCCACAATATTAGTATTTTTTAAAATGATACTAATAAAATATTATTACAACTGCTGCTAGGCTCTTGAGTATTAATCCCATCGTATGTGTTCACTCAAACAGATTTGTAGATTTATTGAAATTATAATAAACGAACAGCAAATAGAATTGCTGCTGATGTATTCTTCTTGCTCTCGATGTTTTTCAGCTTGCTCTTAAAGGCTTAATCATTCCAAACAAACTCATTTGTCATTTGAACAACAAAGAATATGATTTACATGTTTGGTGGGGTATGTAAAACGCTCTTTATTTCTCTGTCTGTGCATGTTTGAGAGAAACACAGTCCTCTGAGCCAGCTGATGAACGAGTAACGACACTTGAATTTATGAAACATCAGCGTGGTATCCTTTTGATTTAATAACTGATTTGGTAATTTGATTTGGTCATTTAAAAAATTTTTTTCTAGTCATTAACAGACATATTGTTTTGACCACAGCACTATATAAATGTGATAAATAATATTTATTATTACGTTGGAAATGTGGAAACCACCAGATGCATTTCAAAAAACAATTAATGGCGACAGGAAGAATTATGTTTTATTACTACTACTACTACTACTACTACTACTACTACTACTACTACTACTACTACTAATAATAATAATAATAATAATAGTAATTATTATTATTATTATTATTATTATTATTATTATTATTATCATTATTATTATTATTATCAATTTAAAAAAAAAACTGTTTTACTCAAGATTTCATGATGCAAAGAATTTACCTTCACAAGTGTTGTTGATGCTGATGGTGAGATTTGAGTTTGATGCAGTGTAACCATCCAAACATGAGCAATTGTAACTTCCTATTTCATTTGTGCAGTTGGAATATGGACCACAGATTGATGGACTGAACAGACATTCATCTATATCTACAGGGAGATACCATAGTATTAAAACAAGCCATTATTTATTAAAAGTTGTATTAGGTGCTATAAAATCGGCAGAGCTAAGGGTTAGATTTAAGTGTTGATTAAACAAATATCTGACAAAATAATTAAAAACTACAGCTGCTAGAGAAAATACACTTGAAAGAGAATAAAAAACCCTTATAAATGAGCAGAGCATCATCTTTCAGTCATACCTTTACACATGTTATTGCTGTTTATAGGGAGGTTTGGATCAGTTTCATTATATCCACTCATGCATGAGCAATTGTAACTCCCGATAGTGTTGTTGCAGATTGAGTTTGGACCACAGACGTCTGACATCTCTACACATTCATCCACATCTTTATAAAAAAAAACAAGTTATGAAAAATTACAGTTTGGATCAGTTTAATCTCATTAATTGCAGTTTTCCAAAATAATATTTCAAAAGTAAATATCTAAAATTCTATTCAATTATAGAAAATTTATAGACAAATTTAAATAAAAAAATGTACCTCTGCATGTGTTATTGATGCTGATGGTAAGATTTGAGTTTGTTGTAGTGAATCCAGACAAACATGAGCAATTGTAACTTCCTATTTCATTTGTGCAGTTGGAATATGGACCACAGATTGATGGACTGAACAGACATTCATTTATGTCTGTGGGAAAAATACATAATTAAAAAAAACATATTATTGTTCATAGTATTAAAACAAGCAATTATATTTACAAACAGTTAAAATTAAATACAGCTCCATTAAATGATATTAGAATTATAGAATTAAACACGCTGATTCAATGAATATCTGACAAAATAGTTTAAAAAGTTGCAGAGCTTCATCTGTCAGTCATACCTGTGCATGTGTTATTGCTGTTTATAGGGAGGTTTGGATCTGATACATTATATCCACTCATGCATGAGCAATTGTAACTCCCAATAGTGTTGTTGCAGATTGAGTTTGGACCACAGACATCTGACATCTCAACACATTCATCCACATCTTTATAAAAAAAATAAAAAAACAAATAGAGTCTAGGTCAGTTTAATTTGATTATTTAGCTTCTATACCAAGGGTGCCCAAACTTGGTCCTGAAGGGCCGGTATCCTGCAAAGTTTAGGTCCAACCCCACCTGAACCGGCTAATCAAGCTCTTTCTAGATATACTAGAAACTTCAAGCAGGGGTGTCGAAGGAAGTTGGAACTAAACTATGCAGGACATCGGCCCTCCAGGATCGAGTTTGCCCACCCCTGGTCTATACAATAGAATGAATTCAAAGTAAAAAAAAAAAAAAAAAAGTTTTCAAATTCTGTCGAATTATTCAATTTTAGAGTAAACCCAAATGAAAATGTAGATCATAAATGTACCTCTGCATGTGTTGTTGATGCTGATGGTGAGATTTGGGTTTGTTGCTGTGAATCCAGACAGACATGAGCAATTGTAACTTCCTATTTCATTTGTGCAGTTGGAGTATGGACCACAGATTGATGGAGTGAACAGACATTCATCTACATCTATTAGGAGAAATACAGTATTATTAAAAAAAGCTATCATATAATTTTTGTTTCATGCAAATATAATTACAGCAAAGTTTGACACACACATTAATGCTGAAACAAAACATGCATCGTGACTGATAAGAAAATAACTATATAAATCAGAGGTCATTTTAATGTATACATAACAATAGAAACTAATAAAATGAAAGGTGATTTTAGTGTATACATTGAAATAGAAACATAAAAGACTTCTGGTAGTTCTTATAATTTATCTACATCTACACAAAGAGAATAAATATTGAAGTTGTACAATAACAGCAGTTTTAAACTCAAAACGAAATTGTATCTGATATAAAAAAAGACCATAAAACGAATCTAACAAAACCATCTGAAACAAAAACAAGCAAAAACGAATTTTTCAAAATCTTATAAGAAAGAGAATCTACCTTCACATGTGTTGTTGATGCTGATGGTGAGATTAGAGTTTGTTACAGTGAATCCAGACAAACATGAGCAATTGTAACTTCCTATTAGATTTGTGCAGTTGGAGTAAGGACCACAGATTGGTGGACTGAACAGACATTCATTGATATCTGAGGGGGGAAAAGAAACTAGTTTTATGAAATTAGGATTATTTGAGTTCAGCCCAAGCAGTGATTCTTGTACATCTGACAAAAATGTATTTGACAAAAATTTACAACTTAAAGTTGCAAAAAAATATGCGAAAAGCATGAAAAGTAATTGCTCAGAGCTTCATCTGTCAGTCATACCTGTGCATGTGTTATTGCTGTTTATAGGGAGGTTTGGCTCTGATACATTATATCCACTCATGCATGAGCAATTGTAACTCCCAATAGTGTTGTTGCAGATTGAGTTTGGACCACAGATGTCTGACATCTCAACACATTCATCCACATCTTTATTAATAGAAAGTAGGAGAAAAAGTACAATTTGGCTTAGTTTAATGTAATACTATTTTTTTTTATTAGAAAGCTTCTAAAGTCTAAAATAAATATCCCCAAATTGACAAACTTTTTAATTTTATATTAAACTCAAATGAAAATATAAAGATGTACCTCTGCATGTGTTGTTGATGCTGATGGTGAGATTTGAGTCTGTTGCAGTAAATCCAGACAAGCATGAGCAATTGTAACTTCCTATTTTATTTGTGCAGTTGGAATTTGGACCACAGACTGATGGACTGAACAGACATTCATCAACATCTACAGGGAAATACCATAGTATAAAAACAGCAATTATTCACCAATTCCATTTCATGATGAAAGAATTACAGAACTAAATGTTAGGCATGTGATGATTCAATGCATATCTGGCAATATCATTAAAAAGTCACACTTTAAAGAGACAATCTCAAAAGGGCCATTAAACTGTTCAGAGCTTCATCTGTCAATCATACCTGTGCATGTGTTATTGCTGTTTATAAGGACGTTTGGATCTGATACATTATATCCACTCATGCATGAGCAATTGTAACTCCCAATAGTGTTGTTGCAGATTGAGTTTGGTCCACAGACATCTGACATCTCAACACATTCATCCACATCTTTATTAATAAAAAAAATAAAAAGAATATATACAGTCCAGGTTCTGTCTAATTATTCAATTTTAGGGTAAACTCAAGTGAAAATGTAGATCATAAATCTACCTCTGCATGTGTTGTTGATGCTGATGGTGAGATTTGAGTTTGTTGCAGTGAATCCATCCAAACATGAGCAATTGTAGCTTCCTATTTCATTAGTGCAGTTGGAGTATGGACCACAGATTGATGGAGTGAACAGACATTCATCTACATCTATTAGGAGAAATACAGTATTATTAAAAAAAGCTATCATATAATTTTTGTTTCATGCAAATATAATTACAGCAGAGTTTGACACACACATTAATGCTGAAACAAAACATGCATCGTGACTGATAAGAAAATAACTATATAAAACAGAGGTCATTTTAATGTATACATAACAATAGAAACATCTAAAACATGAAATACATCTACAAAAAAAGAGAATCAAAACTGGGATTGTACAATAACAGCACTTTTAAACAAACACACATTTCAGTCAGAATACTTTATATACATCCAAACAAAAGCACAGAGAATTTACCCAAAATGCAATTGTATCTGATAAAAAAGGAGAGGAAAACTAATCTTACAAAACCAGCAGATTAAGAAACAGCAAAAACTCATTTTTAAAAGTCAGATTAGACAAAGAATGTACCTCTGCATATGTTGTTGATGCTGATTGTGAGATTTGAGTTTGTTTTAGTGAATCCATCCAAACATGAGCAATTGTAACTCCCTATTTCATTTGTGCAGTTGGAATATGGACCACAAACAGATGGACTGAACAGACATTCATCTATGTCTACAGAGGAGAATACAATAATATTAAAACAAGGAATTTATTTTATGAAATTAGAATTACCATACAACTTTATGAGTTCAGCCCAAACAGTGATTCTTAAACATCTGATAAAATGTATTTTAAAAAGTTACAATTCAAAGTTGCAAGAGAATGCAGAAAAGTAATTGCTCAGAGCTTCTGTCAATCATACCTGTGCATGTGTTACTGCTGTTTATAGGGAGGTTTGGATCAGTTACATTATATCCACTCATGCATGAGCAATTGTAACTCCCAATAGTGTTGTTGCAGATTGAGTTTGGTCCACAAACATTTAACAACTCAACACATTCATCCACATCTTAATTAACAGAAAGTAGGAAAAAAGTACAATTCTGGTTAGTTTAATCTAATTCTATTATTTTATTAGAAAGCTTCCAAAGTCTAAAATAGAAATCTCCAATTTTTGACAAACTCTTTAATTTATATTTAACAAAAATTAAAATATAAAGATGTACCTCTGCATGTGTTGTCGTTGCTGATGGTGAGATTTGAGTTTGTTGCAGTGAATCCAGACAAACATGAGCAATTGTAACTTCCTATGTCATTTGTGCAGTTGGAATCTGGACCACAGATTGATGGACTGAACAGACATTCATCTACATCTACAACAGGAAATACATTATTATTATTGAAAGAGTCGTATAACTAGTTATCATGCAAATACAATAATAAGGCTGATTTATAGTTTTGCATCAAGTGCATACCCCTTGCCATGACTGACACATATCTCTCAAAAAATGTAACTAACGATGTGTAGCACAAACTCTGTAATTGGTCAGCTTGGTTTCGCTGACATATGTGGGCGGGGCCAAGAGCTACGAGAGAGCAGTGAGCCTGTTGGGAGGAAAAGTGTAGAGTCCTATGGAAAAGCTCCATATGGAAACTTTTACTTTTCTGAAACACTAGCAGGCAGTGGGTATTTAGAGTGTTATATGCTGAGCAACACAAACAGAATGCTGAAGTATAAATGCATGTCCATGCGCAAAGCATGTGCCACGGGTTGGTGTTTACTCGATGCAGAACTATAATGCAGTCTTAAAGCTAAAAAAAACATCATGACTGATATAAAATAACAAAGAAAGTAAAAGTTTACTTTGTTGTATATATATATATATATATATACACAACAAAGTAAACTTTTACTTTCTTTGTTATTTTATATCAGTCATGATGTTTATATATATAACTATATATATATACACACACACACACAGTATACAGTATAGTTTGTACCCCTGTAAATACTGTTAATACATCTATACATTTTACAGATTATGAAAATTCACAATTCTCAATATCAAACCAGAATGGGACAAAGTAAAAAAGAATCTACCTCTACATGTGTTGTCGTTGCTGATTGTGAGATTTGAGTTTGTTGCAGTGAATCCAGATAAACATGAGCAATTGTAACTTCCTATTTCATTTGTGCAGTTGGAATATGGACCACAAACAGATGGACTGAACAGACATTCATCTATATCTATAGGGGGGAAATACAATAATATTAAAACAAGCAATTTCATTTATGAAATTAGTTGAACAATAATCTGAGAAAAATCAATTTAAAAAGTTTCAAGTTACCAAAGAACGCAGAAAGTACAAAAAAGTAACAAAAACTGCTTAATCTGTCAATCATACCTGTGCATGTGTTATTGCTGTTTATAGGGAGGTTTGGATCTGATACATTATATCCACTCATGCATGAGCAATTGTAACTCCCGATAGTGTTGTTGCAGATTGAGTTTGGACCACAGACGTCTGACATCTCTACACATTCATCCACATCTTTATTAATAAGAAAGTAAAAGAAAAAGTTTCATTTTGGTTTAGTTTAATCGCATACTTTAGCTGTTTTACAATAGAATGCTTTCAAAGTCTGAAATAAAAACCACCAAATTCTGACAATTTTTTTTTTATCTAAATGATAATATGTAATGTACCTCTACATGTGTTATTGTTACTGATGGTGATATTTGGGTTTGTTGCAGTAAATCCAGACAAGCATGAGCAATTGTAACTTCCTATTTCATTTGTGCAGTTGGAATTTGGACCACAAACAGGTGCACTGAACAGACATTCATTAATATCTGTGGGCAGAAACGCAATACATTATATTTCAATGTCATATGTATTTTAAAAAGACATTATAACCAAGTAAGAGTTTGCCCAACACACTGATGTTAAGTCAAAAAATGTATGAATATCTGACGAGAAATACAGTTGACTGAAAATGTAGGTGCTAATATCAATATATTGTACAAAGCTTATGTCAATCATACCTGTGCATGTGTTACTGCTGTTTATAGGGAGGTTTGGATCTGATACATTATATCCACTCATGCATGAGCAATTGTAACTCCCAATAGTGTTGTTGCAGATTGAGTTTGGACCACAGATGTCTGACATCTCAACACATTCATTCACATCTTTAATAAAAAGAAGCAATTGATTTGTAGTTACTCTTGCATAACTCATTAATTATGTTGTTGTCTTTGCCATTGGCAAAATGGAAAATGTGCAGTTCTGGTCAGTTTAATGTCTTATTTTTTTGCAGCTTTACAAAAAAACTAAACAAAAAAATACAATTTTTAACAAATTTTAGAATTAACAAAAATGAAAATATTTAATGCACCTCTGCATGTGTTGTCGTTGCTGATGGTGAGATTTGAGTTTGTTGCAGTGAATCCAGACAAACATGAACAATTGTAACTTCCTATGTCATTTGTGCAGTTGGAATCTGGACCACAGATTGATGGACTAAACAGACATTCATCAATATCTGTAGGTGGAAACGAAATACATTAAATAACAAATTAGTTAAAAAATAACTACATAATTATACATGCAATTATGATTTTGTAACACTTTGGCCAACACATTGATATCGAGTGAAAACATTCCTGAATATCTATCATAAAACATAGTTGATTGACAACTTAGGAAGTACATATAGAAATATACTGTTCAGAGCTTCAGTCTTACCTGTGCATGTGTTACTGCTGTTTATAGGGAGGTTTGGGTCAGTTACATTATATCCACTCATGCATGAACAATTGTAACTCCCAATAGTGTTGTTGCAGATTGAGTTTGGACCACAGACATCTGACATCTCAACACATTCATCCACATCTTTATTAAAAAGAAACAATTGTTTTGTAATTACTCTTGCATAACTCATTATTGAAGCTGAGGTCTTTGCCATTGTCATCAAACTGCTCTAGTATAGTAAATGTTTTAATGCAATAAACTCTAAATACCATAATATTTATATTTAAATATCAATGGGAACACATTTCATGTATATGACATTCTTGTTGTTGGTTTGTCATTATGTTACACACAAATGTTTTACAATATCAAAAAGCCTCTCACAACTTTTAAAACCACATAAGATCTGGAAACCTCTGTGTACATTATGCAAGAAGATTAATTATAAAAGGAAAACCACCAGTTAGCTTAACAAACTCAGGATTATCAGGAGAATTACAGGATTAGTTTTAAGTCTAGAAAAGCAAACCAGTGCATTCAGGCTTGTTGGTAGCATGATGGTTAACTTTCTACGTTAACTCAAGCTTTGATCTCCAATTTACAGAGCACTCACATATAAAGACACTACATCTGTAGCAAGCAGCCAGTTACAAGCCTTGAAACATAAAGATTAACTTTTCGTGAAAGAATTATTGCAATTCACAGCAAAATATATAAAGGTTTAAAAAAATACTAACAATGTACAAACATTTATACTGAGATATGAAAACAGCTATCTATGAAACAGGACAGCAAAGACATACTGTAACAGCTTATTTTATCTGCGCAAGTTGTAAAGTTAATTTGTACAGTTCACATTATTTAAAAGTTAACAGAAACTCAAAAATATAAGCTCACAATTTTTTTAAGTGTTCTCTAATGATTACATAAAACTTATTTTTTAGCTACGTGTATATTTATGTTTATAAAGGCCCTTAAAACAAAAGTGCTTATGTTTCATGGGTTACGGACACAATTGTATAAATTACCAAACATAAATATAAACATAATCAGCCCATTTTATCTTTAAAAGTGTTTTATTATATAGTGTCCTAATACTGTATATAGTTTAGACTCTTTGCTCACAGTAGATGTTGGTTTGTGATCTCTAAACCTAAACATAACCGCAGATGGTAGCATGAGGTACTATGGTAATATAGAAAGATTAAATCTGTGCTGCAGTATTTTAATGGCACATGATAACCCAGGATAGGTGCAAATAAAACTGAAACTGTATTGGTTATACAGGTAATATAGCTTCATGGTTAAAAAGAAAGATAAAAGGCAAGGTTTTATAATATAAAGATGTACCTCTGCACGTGTTGTTAATGCTGATGGTGAGATTTGGATTTGTTGTAGTAAATCCAGACAAACATGAGCAATTGTAGCTTCCTATTTCATTTGTGCAGTTGGAATTTGGACCACAGACAGATGGACTGAACAGACATTCATCTATATCTGTTGGGGGAAGTATTAATAAAATATCAATGTAATGTAATGTGTAAAAACAGTTAGACTTCAGCCCACAGGCTCAATATCAGAGACAAAACATTCATAAATATGAATATCTGAAAATCAAACCACACACACACCACACACACACACACACACACACACACACACACACACACGCACACACACACAAACACACACACACACACACCACACACACACACACACACACACACACACACACACACACACACACACACATACACACACATATATATAGCTTAAAGGTGCTAATAATATTTTCCTTAAAATGGTGTTTAAAAAAATTAATAACTGCTTTTATTCTAGCCAAAATAAAACACTTTCTTCTGAAGAAAAAATATTTACAGACATACAGTGAAAATTTCCTCACTCTTTTAAACATCATTTGGTAAATATTAAAATTAAAAATAAAAACTCAAAGGGGGGCTAATAATTCTGACTTCATTTAGCCATTATTATCCACATTATGCATCCCCCTTTATGTGCAAAAACATGCACGTCTTGATTTTGCAAAAAACGATGCAATCCTGGATTAACATCTATGTATAATAGTTGGATAACAATCATATAGAAGTGAACAAACCTAACCATAAGCTTAATCTTAACATAATTGGTGATTGTATCCTTTAAATCTGATTGGAATGTTGTTCCAGGATCAACATAAATGTTAATCCAGGAACATGTACTTCTTGGTGAAAACAGGTTGGCGGTAAAAACAGTGTTAGGGCTCGCACTTACCAAATCAGGCTAAACAACTGACCATTTCAAAATAATCTGTGTTTGTTTTGACAGTGGGGTGTATGAACTGTTCTACAGTCAGCAACTAAAAGGTGCTCAAACCAGCAGCAGTTTCCATTTTACTGATGCATTTATAAGGATGTAACGTTAAACAGACGATTTCCTTAGCATGCTGTAGATTTTGATCTCATTTAAACAGTTAATCTAATCTATCTACTCTGCCAGTGAATAAAGCAAACATGGCCAGTGCAGTGGATTAACAATTCATCAACTTCAAAAGAAACAAGACAGTGTTTTGTTACATTGTTTGCTCAAAATAACTTCAATGCAAATTCATTTGCCATTTTAAATGTACAAGCCTTTAAACTATAGTTTGATTAGCTGACTCCTTTATTGTTTATCAGCAGGGTAAGGCAGGATTCTGTAAGTCATCCCAAAGATAATATTGCTCTATATCATTTTGTTGTGGTTATAATGTGAACTGGACTGATCTCATGAATTTATACAGATTTGCTTTGAACTTCAGTTTTATCCTCATATATTATGTTTGGTGAGGATGGCTCTAAACTACTTTGTTGGAATCTTTACACACAAAAGTTTAATTAAAAACAGAACGCAAAACCACAACAAAATGTTTTAAAAGGTTAATATTAACACAGTTGTAAATATAAGATGTACCTAAACATGTGTTGTTGATGCTGATGGTGAGATTTTGGTTTGTTGCTGTGAATCCATCCAAACATGAGCAATTGTAGCTTCCTATTTCATTTGTGCAGTTGGAGTATGGACCACAGACAGGTGGACTGAACAGACATTCATCAATATCTGTGGGTGAAATACATTAGGATTAAAACAAGCAATCATATCGAAAAAAGATTATTGTAATGCAAATATAATTACAATAGAGTTTCACCCACACACTAATGATGAAACAAAACATTATCAATGCCTGACAAAGTGAAAGGTTTTAGATAAAAAGGAAATTCAAAAAGTACACAAAATAACATCCTGTCAGAGCTTCATCTGCCAATTATACCTGTGCATGTGTTATTGCTGTGTATAGGGAGATTTGGATCTGATACATTATATCCACTCAAGCATGAGCAATTGTGACTCCCAATAGTGTTGTTGCAGATTGAGTTTGGACCACAGACATCTGACATCTCAACACATTCATCCACATCTGTAATAAAAGAAAATTAGAAAAAAGTTTGGGTCACTCATTTGTGAAGGCCTAAAATAAGGTCCACTTAAAGAAAACACTGCAATACAACAAAGTTCACAAAATTCCAGTTGTAACTGAGCAAAAAGTGCATTCAAAGTATACAAAACTAAACTAACTTCAGCTTTTTATAATTGCTCTGGAAAACAATGACTAAAGAAGTAATGACTGACTCTAGGTTATGTGTTTAGAAAATTGACATTAGATAACATTGGTAAAAATCAAACAATTAGTTTAGGAGATTTTAAAAAAGTTACCTGAAAGAGAAAAAGGATTGAAAATTCATGAAAGTGTATTCTACAAACATGGTTTAATTAAAGAAATATGTCAATTATTAGGAAAAATTGGCTATAAAATTACAAAAAAAATAAATTTAATTTAACAAATATGACTGTAAAATAAACAAAAGGCAAAAACGCCACTAAAGAGAATGGTTTTAAACAATAATTTAATGTACACTTATAAAAGTTAATTATTTACAATACATTAACAAAATATTGATAAAGAGAATAAAAATGAAAAAAACATGCCATATTAATTTCACAGATTATATAAGAACTCAATTTTAGAATGTACCTTTACAAGTATTATTGATGCTGACGGTGAGATTTAAGTTTTCTGCAGTGAAACCATCCAAACATGAGCAATTGTAACTTCCCAATTGATTTGTGCAGTTGGAATATGGACCACAAACAGGTGGACTATCCAGGCATTCATCAATATCTATGAAGACAAAAAGTTAAGTAATTATTTAAAATGAAAAGTACCAATCTTTATATTATATTTTACATTAAGCTACTTGACAGAAATCAAAACCAGCTGATAATATTTACCATGACAAGAGTTGTTGACGCTCACAGGACTGTCTTCATTAGAGACATTAAATCCATTCCAGCATGAACACATGTAACCCCCAATGCTGTTAGTACAGTCTGAGTATTGACCACACACTGACGCTGCATCTTCACATTCATTGATGTCTGAAAAACAGGAAGATGATACTGTATAAAACATTGTTTCTGAACTATCAGGAGTTACTGAATAAACTCATACTGGTCATGTTACTAAAACTACATTCAGTACAGATGAAATCTAATGGGATTTCTCACCTCTCTGGCAAAGTGACCCCTCTGAAGGGAGAGCCTGAATGCATCCACAAGTGCTTCCCACAATGCTATCACACACCTGATAGGCCTTGCAGGTGTTACTGGGCCAAACATGATCCACCTCACACTTGCACTCATATTCTGTTCCATTCAACCCACACACTGTAAAACAAGGAGATTTATTTATTTGTGCTCAATCTGTGGATTTCTGCTGAAACTAAACTCATCTTAGTAGAGTTTCCCCCTAATAATCCACTAATTATTTGTCAACCAGATTTTTTTTTTTTTTTTGTCGATTGCATTTTTGTTGGTTTGTTGTTCGCAAAAAAAAAAAATAGACAAGTGGTGCAGTCAGGGTGTGTGTTGATCAAAAGAGTTTTTGTGCTGAGAGCTGTGTGTGTTTTAAAAACTATGAATAATTGAAAAAAAAAATATTTTTCATTCATTTTTTTGAAGGCTCATGCTTAGGCTTAGCAGCAGTTACTATTGTCTATAAACAGTGTTTTAGTTCGCCTATATTGTTTACTTTATTTGTTTTTTATTATAGGCTATGCCACATTTTATTTGAGAGCTTCTGGCTGAAACGCTTTCTTTCATTCAATGTTTAATTTTAAGGCTCGTCCTTCAGACTGACTGTGTTTGCAGTTTTCAACATTATTTCTCTGAAGCCTTTTCAGTTTGCTTTATATTTGTTGTGTTTAAATTACTTTAAATTAGTTTATTTTTATATTTGACTTACCAATATTTCATAGTAAAGAAAAGACGTTTTCTTGTTATTTGCAAATTTTCTGGTTCGTGTTTGCAGTCATGTTGCCGATGTAGCAGCTGTATTCTGTGAAACTTTCATACCACTTGGTTTCTAGTTTGGAAAATCTCAGTTTCAAGTGCTATCTAGCCCTTGCCCTTAGCCCTACCTTTTAAAGCTAAAGAGAGTGAGGACACCCCTACTCCTTCTCATAAATGCGCAAAATTAGGGGTATGGGTAAGGGGAAAGGTTAAGAGGTGTAATTGGGATTGGGCCTTGTTCTATATCAAACGGTGTGCTTTATTTTTAACAGGTTCATAAGTTGTAATTTGTGTGATTGTTGTCATTTTATTTTATTAATAAATTCTGAATATTTCTAAAGATTCATGTTGTTTTTCTCAGACACATTTATAATTACAGAATTTGTTGGTGCTGTTTTATGTGCGCAATATCTTAATGTTGAATATTAACACTTATTATTATATTTTTTCGGTACAATGTAAAAAAAAAGACAAATTAAATTCTTTCTCAGTCTATGAACTCAAAGTGTTTCCCACAAAATCGCTTAAATATGCCTAATGAATTAATTGAAAAAACGACTACTGGTCGACTAAGAAAAATTTTTGTCAGTGACAGCCCTACACCTTAATATGTAACACGATGAACAGTTCTGTTCTCACCAGTGTTCATGTCGATATCTGTGATATTTGTGCTGCTGCTCAGAGTCAAAGGCAGGCTGATATTTCTGACAACATTTCGTAAGTAGTCCACCAGGAACAAGTCGAAGAATCTCACATCAATGTCAATCACGTATTTAGATGAAAGAACTGCAGGAACAAAAAGTAGCATCACTAATATTAAAACATAATAACATCTCCTGTATATAGGAAAAACACAAAGTAACAATTAGAGAAAGAAACTGATGATGCTACAGAATGATGTCATCGTCTCACCTTGGCAGAACTGTCCATCAGCTGGAAGGCCATTGATACATGTGCATGAACCATTAGTGATGACATCACAGGCATCATATGCATGACACGTGTCATTTGGCCAAGCAAACAGACCCTCACATTTACACTGATACCGCGTTTCATTCAAAGAACACACTGGAGAGCAGAAGAAGAGTCCAAACATCACATATCTTCATTTATGGAAGTATTCATGATGTATAATTTTAGATAAACAGCATCACAAAGCGGAAACAGAGATCATACCAGTAGTGATGTTGATTTCTGTAATGTTAGTGCTGTCACTGATTGTGTAGGGCAAACTGAAATTCATCAGAAGAGTCCTCAGCTGATCAGTGATCCTACTATCAATGCTGTTGATCTCAATTTCAATCAGATATTCAGTCAGAGGCAGAGACACTGTAGAAAAAGAAAAGAAAATCCACAAAGGATCAATATTCCTTTACATGCATGATAATCAGGGCAAATAACACACAATTATGAACAAACAAAAATGTTTGGACCAACAGGATTTAACAACTACTTTTTAAAACAGTGCTCTTTTATTTACACAACTTTTATCAGAGCTGAAGATGTAAAACACACACAGAACCATTTAATAGATTACTTTCTTTCAAGCAGTCAATATTCCATTTACACTCTTTTAGAATTTTCTACATTCAGCACTCACCATTGCATGGGTTACTGTTGCTGACTGGTTGATTTCGGTCTGTTACAGTAAACGCACTCAAGCAGGAACAGTTGAAACTTCCAATGGAGTTGTTGCAATGAGAGTTTGGACCACAGACCTCTGATGACTTTAGACATTCATTGACATCTTATTAAAGGAACAGATGGAATAGTATTGTTGTTATTAGGAATGATTGTTATGATGTGATGATCAGAGTAAATTAAATAACTTTACTGAATGTTTGAATGCAAAACTATAAATTAGAGAATGAAAAACAACATCAAATTAATAAAACAATAATAATGGAACAATGTAGTAAAGTGTTATCATTAATTCTTTACCGGTATAAAGAAATTATTGTTACAAAAAGAGAAAAAAGGCAAAAGTATGCTTTGTTAACTTGCTACATTATATAATAATTAATTTCCAGAATTTACCTTCACATGTGTTATTGATGCTGATGGAGAGACTTGAGTTTCTGGCAGTGAAACCATCCAAACATGAGCAATTGTAACTTCCTAATTTATTTGTGCAGTTGGAATATGGACCACAAACCGGTGGACTGAACAGACATTCATCAATATCTATTGAGAAAAAAAATGTTTATTAATTATCATACTCATTTTTATATCATATTTTATTTGTAATGTCATACTTTTAAGTGATTTAAATGACCTATTTTAATTTAGACATAAAGGACCTCTAAAATCTGAAAAAATAAAATAAAAAATTGGAATAAAAATTAAAACCAGCTGACAATATTCACCATGACAAGAGTTGTTGACGCTCACAGGACTGTCTTTATTAGAGACATTAAATCCATTCCAGCATGAACACATGTAACCCCCAATGCTGTTAGTACAGTCTGAGTATTGACCACACACTGACGCTGCATCTTCACATTCATTGATGTCTGAAAAACAGGAAGATGATACTGTATAAAAACAGTGTTTCTGAACTATCAGGAGTTACTGAATAAACTCATACTGGTCATGTTACTAAAACTACATTCAGTACAGATGAAATCTAATGGGATTTCTCACCTCTCTGGCAAAGTGACCCCTCTGAAGGAAGAGCCTGAATGCATCCACAAGTGCTTCCCACAATGCTATCACACACCTGATAGGCCTTGCAGGTGTTACTGGGCCAAACATGATCCACCTCACACTTGCACTCATATTCTGTTCCATTCAACCCACACACTGTAAAACAAGGAGATTTATTTATTTGTGCTCAATCTGTGGATTTCTGCTGAAACTAAACTCATCTTAGTTCAGTTTCCCCCTAAAGCCGCCTTTCCGCTGCACACGACATTTAGACACGACTGCCGAATAACGTCCCCTTGTGGCAGTCGCACAGAATTTTCAATTCTGACGTGGATCATTTCATGCCACATAGTTTCTACTGTGGAAAATCTTAGTTTCAAGTGCTATCTAGCTCTTGCCCTTAGCCCTATGCCTTCAAGCTAAAGACAATTAGGACACCCCTACTCCTCCATGTAAATGCACAAAATGAACCCAAACTCACACTAATTGAATAAACCAGCGATAAGGTGACTAATGGCTTCAATAAAAGATAACTGGTTGACAAGAAATTTTTTTTTATCAGAGACAGACCTACACCTTAATATGTAACATGATGAACAGTTCTGTTCTCACCAGTGTTCATGTCGATGTCTGTGATATTTGTGCTGCTGCTCAGAGTCAAAGGCAGGCTGATATTTCTGACAACATTTCGTAAGTAGTCCACCAGGAACATGTCGAAGAATCTCACATCAATGTCAATCACGTATTTAGATGAAAGAACTGCAGGAACAAAAAGTAGCAGGTAAACAAATATTATTGCAAAGAGGAACAAGTTAAAAAATCTGAGACATCACTAATATTAAAACACAATAACATCTCCTGTATGTGGGAAAAACACAAAGTAATTATTAGAGGGAAAAACTGATGATGTTGCAGAATGATGTCATCGTCTCACCTTGGCAGAACTGTCCATCAGCTGGAAGGCCATTGATACATGTACATGAACCATTAGTGATGACATCACAGGCATCATATGCATGACACGTGTCATTTGGCCAAACAAACAGACCCTCACATTTACACTGATACCGCGTTTCATTCAAAGAACACACTGGAGAACAGAAGAAGAGTCCAAACATTACATATCTTCATTTATGGAAGTATTCATGATGTATAATTTTAGATAAACAGCATCACAAAGCAGAAACAGAGATCATACCAGTAGTGATGTTGATTTCTGTAATGTTAGTGCTGTCACTGATTGTGTAGGGCAAACTGAAATTCATCAGAAGAGTCCTCAGCTGATCAGTGATCCTACTATCAATGCTGTTGATCTCAATTTCAATCAGATATTCAGTCAGAGGCAGAGACACTGAAGAAAAAGAGAAGAAAATCCACAAATGATCAATATTCCTTTACATGCATGATAATCAGGGCAAATAACACAAAATTATGAACAAACAAAAATGTTTGGACCAACAGGATTTAACAACTACTTTTTAAAACAGTGCTCTTTTATTTACACAACTTTTATCAGAGCTGAAGATGTAAAAACACACAAAACCATATAATAGACTTCTTTCTTTATTTCTTTATTTACTTACTTGTGTGTTAGTTAGTTTATTTATTTTTATTGTCACAAGCAAACTATACTTTATATACAGGCTTCTAGAATTTTCTACATCCAGCACTTACCATTGCATGGGTTACTGTTGCTGACTGGTTGATTTCGGTCTGTTACAGTAAACGCACTCAAGCAGGAACAGTTGAAACTCCCAATGGAGTTGTTGCAACGAGAATTTGGACCACAGACCTCTGATGACTTTAGACATTCATTCACATCTTTATTAAAGGAACAGATGGAATAGTATTGTTGTTATTAAAAATGATTGTTATGATGTGATGATCAGAGTAAATTAAATAACTTTACTGAATGTTTGAATGCAAAACTATAAATTAGAGAATGAAAAACAACATCAAATTATTAAAACATTAATAATGGAATAATGTAGTAAAGTGTTATCATTAATTCTTTACCGGTATAAAGAAATTATTGTTACAAAAAGAGAAAAAAAGGCAAAAGTATGCTTTGCTAAATTCCCAGATTATATAAGAAATAATTTCTAGAATTTACCTTCACATGTGTTATTAAAGCTGATGGAGAGACTTGAGTTTCTGGCAGTGAAACCATCCAAACATGAGCAATTGTAACTTCCTATTTCATTTGTGCAGTTGGAATATGGACCACAGACCGGTGGACTGAACAGACATTCATCAATATCTATTGAGAAAAAAAGATTTATTAATTATTTAAATCCTATTTCAATTGTAATGTCATACATTTAATTGGTTTAAATTGCTTATTTTTCCAGCTGATGATATTTACCATGACAAGAGTTGTTGACGCTCACAGGACTGTCTTTATTAGAGACATTAAATCCATTCCAGCATGAACACATGTAACCCCCAATGCTGTTAGTACAGTTTGAGTATTGACCACACACTGACGCTGCATCTTCACATTCATTGATGTCTGAAAAACAGGAAGATGATACTGCATAAAAACAGTGTTTCTAAACTATCAGGAGTCACTGAATAAACTCATACTGGTCATGTTACTAAAACTACATTCAGTACAGATGAAATCTAATGGGATTTCTCACCTCTCTGGCAAAGTGACCCCTCTGAAGGGAGAGCCTGAATGCATCCACAAGTGCTTCCCACAATGCTATCACACACCTGAAAGGCCTTGCAGGTGTTACTAGGCCAAACATGATCCACCTCACACTTGCACTCATATTCTGTTCCATTCAACCCACACACTGTAAAACAAGGAGATTTATTTATTTGTGCTCAATCTGTGGATTTCAGCTGAAACTAAACTCATCTTAGTATGTGACATGATGAACAGTTCTGCTCTCACCAGTATTCATGTCAATATCTGTGATATTTGTGCTGCTGCTCAGAGTCAAAGGCAGGCTGATATTTCTGACAACATTTCGCAAGTAGTCCACCAGGAACAAGTCGAAGAATCTCACATCAATGTCAATCACGTATTTAGACGAAAGAACTGCAGGAACAAAAAGTAGCAGGTAAACAAAAATTATTGCAAAGAGGAAAAAGTAAAAAAAATCTGAGACATCACTAATATTAAAACACAATGACATCTCCTGTATGTTGGAAAAACACAAAGTAATTATTACAGAAAGAAAGAAACTGATGATTTTGCAAAATGATGTCATCGTCTCACCTTGGCAGAACTGTCCATCAGCTGGAAGGCCATTGATACATGTACATGAACCATTAGTGATGACATCACAGGCATCGTATGCATGACACGTGTCATTTGGCCAAACAAACAGACCCTCACATTTACACTGATACCGCGTTTCATTCAAAGAACACACTGGAGAGCAGAAGAAGAGTCCAAACATTACATATCTTCATTTATGGAAGTATTCATGATGTATAATTTCAGATAAACAGCATCACAAAGCAGAAACAGAGATCATACCAGTAGTGATGTTGATTTCTGTAATGTTAGTGCTGTCACTGATTGTGTAGGGCAAACTGAAATTCATCAGAAGAGTCCTCAGCTGATCAGTGATCCTACTATCAATGCTGTTGATCTCAATTTCAATCAGATATTCAGTCAGAGGCAGAGACACTGTAGAAAAAGAGAAGAAAACCCACAAAGGATCAATATTCCTTTACATGTATGATTATCAAGGCAAATAACACACAATTATGAACAAACAAAAATGTTTGGACCAACACGATTTAACAACTACTTTTAAAACAGTGCTCTTTTATTTACACAACTTTTATCAGAGCTGAAGATGTAAAAACACACACAGAACCGTTTAATAGATTACTTTCTTTCAAGCAGTCAATACTCCATTTACACTTCTCTATAATTTTCTACATTCAGCACTTACCATTGCATGGGTTACTGTTGCTGACTGGTTGATTTCGGTCTGTTACAGTAAACGCACTCAAGCAGGAACAGTTGAAACTTCCAATGGAGTTGTTGCAACGAGAATTTGGACCACAGACCTCTGATGACTTTAGACATTCATTGACATCTTATTAAAGGAACAGATGGAATAGTATTGTTGTTATTAGGAATGATTGCTATGATGTGATGATCAGAGTAAATTAAATAACTTTACTGAATGTTTAAATGCAAAACTATAAATTAGAGAATGAAAAACAACGTCAAATTATTAAAACATTAATAAAGGAACAATGTAGTAAAGTGTTATCATTAATTCTTTACCGGTATTAAAAAATATTGTTACAAAAAGAGAAAAAAGGCAAAAGTATGCTTTGCTAAATTCCCAGATTATATAAGAAATAATTTCCAGAATTTACCTTCACATGTGTTATTATTGCTGATGGAGAGACTTGAGTTTCTGGCAGTGAAACCATCCAAACATGAGCAATTGTAACTTCCTAATTTATTTGTGCAGTTGGAATATGGACCACAGACCGGTGGACTGAACAGACATTCATCTTTATCTATTGAGAATAAAAATGTTTATTAATTATCATACTCATATTTTTATATCATATTTTATTTGTAATGTCATACTTTTAATTGATTTAAATGACCTATTTTAATTTAGACATAAAAGACCTCTAAAATCTGAAAAAATAAAATAAAAAGTTGGAATAAAAATTAAAACCAGCTGACAATATTCACCATGACAAGAGTTGTTGACGCTCACAGGACTGTCTTCATTAGAGACATTAAATCCATTCCAGCATGAACACATGTAACCCCCAATGCTGTTAGTACAGTCTGAGTATTGACCACACACTGACGCTGCATCTTCACATTCATTGATGTCTGAAAAACAGGAAGATGATACTGTATAAAAACAGTGTTTCTGAACTATCAGGAGTTACTGAATAAACTCATACTGGTCATGTTACTAAAACTACATTCAGTACAGATGAAATCTAATGGGATTTCTCACCTCTCTGGCAAAGTGACCCCTCTGAAGGGAGAGCCTGAATGCATCCACAAGTGCTTCCCACAATGCTATCACACACCTGAAAGGCCTTGCAGGTGTTACTGGGCCAAACATGATCCACCTCACACTTGCACTCATATTCTGTTCCATTCAACCCACACACTGTAAAACAAGGAGATTTATTTATTTGTGCTCAATCTGTGGATTTCTGCTAAAACTAAACTCATCTTAGAGTTTCCCCCGAATAACCCACTAATTATTTGTCAACCAGATATTTTTTTTTGTCGATTGCATTTTTGTTGGTTTGTTGTTCGCAAGAAAAAAATAGACAAGTGGTGCAGTCAGGGTGCGTGTCCATCAAAAGAGTTTTTGTGCTGAGAGCTGTGTGTGTTTTAAAAACTATGAATAATTGAAAAAAAAAAATATATTTTTCATTCATTTTTTTGAAGGCTCATGCTTAGGCTTTGCAGCAGTTACTATTGTCTATAAACAGTGTTTTAGTTCGCCTATATTGTTTACTTTATTTGTTTTTTATTATAGGCTATGCCACATTTTATTTGAGAGCTTCTGGCTGAAACGCTTTCTTTCATTCAATGTTTAATTTTAAGGCTCGTCCTTCAGACTGACTGTGTTTGCAGTTTTTAACATTATTTCTCTGAAGCCTTTTCAGTTTGTTTTATATTTGTTGTGTTTAAATTAGTTTATTTATATATTTGACTTACCAATATTTCATAGCAAAGAAAAGACTGTTTTTTCCTATTTAGATTGCATTGTTTTCTTGTTATTTGCAAATTTTATGGTTCGTGTTTGCAGTCATGTTGCCGATGTAGCAGCTGTATTCTGTGAAACTTTCATACCACTTGGTTTCTAGTTTGGAAAATCTCAGTTTTAAGTGCTATCTAGCCCTTGCCCTTAGCCCTACCTTTTAAAGCTAAAGAGAGTGAGGACACCCCTACTCCTTCTCATAAATGCGCAAAATTAGGGGTATGGGTAAGGGGAAAGGTTAAGAGGTGTAATTGGGATTGGGCCGTGTTCTATATCAAACGGTGTGCTTTATTTTTAACAGGTTCATAAGTTGTAATTTGTGTGAATGTTGTCATTTTATTTTATTAATAAATTCTGAATATCCCTAAAGATTCATGTTGTTTTTTCTCAGACACATTCATAACTACAAAATTTGTTGGTGCAGTTTTATGTGCGCAATTTCTTAATGTTGAATATTAACACTTATTATTAATTTTTTTCAGTCTAATGTAAAAAAAGACAAATTAAATTCTTTCTCAGTCTATGAACTCAAAGTGTTTCCCACAAAATCGCTTAAATATGCCTAATGAATTAATTGAAAAAAACGACTACTGGTCGACTAAGAAAATTTTTTGTCAGTGACAGCCCTACACCTTAATATATAACATGATGAACAGTTCTGTTCTCACCAGTGTTCATGTCGATATCTGTGATGTTTGTGCTGCTGCTCAGAGTCAAAGGCAGGCTGATATTTCTGACAACATTTCGTAAGTAGTCCACCAGGAACAAGTCGAAGAATCTCACATCAATGTCAATCACGTATTTAGATGAAAGAACTGCAGGAACAAAAAGTAGCATCACTAATATTAAAAACACAATAACATCTCCTGTATATAGGAAAAACACAAAGTAACAATTAGAGAAAAAAACTGATGATGTTGCAGAATGATGTCATCAACTCACCTTGGCAGAACTGTCCATAAGCTGGAAGGCCATTGATACATGTACATGAGCCATTAGTGATGACATCACAGGCATCATATGCATGACACGTGTCATTTGGCCAAGCAAACAGACCCTCACATTTACACTGATACCGCGTTTCATTCAAAGAACACACTGGAGAGCAGAAGAAGAGTCCAAACATCACATATCTTCATTTATGGAAGTATTCATGATGTATAATTTTAGATAAACAGCATCACAAAGCAGAAACAGAGATCATACCAGTAGTGATGTTGATTTCTGTAATGTTAGTGCTGTCACTGATTGTGTAGGGCAAACTGAAATTCATCAGAAGAGTCCTCAGCTGATCAGTGATCCTACTATCAATGCTGTTGATCTCAATTTCAATCAGATATTCAGTCAGAGGCAGAGACACTGTAGAAAAAGAGAAGAAAATCCACAAATGATCAATATTCCTTTACATGCATGATAATCAGGGCAAATAACACACAATTATGAACAAACAAAAATGTTTGGACCAACAGGATTTAACAACTACTTTTTAAAACAGTGCTCTTTTATTTACACAACTTTTATCAGAGCTGAAGATGTAAAAACACACACAAAACCATATAATAGATTTCTTTGTTTTAAGCAGTCAATGTTCCATTTACACTTTTCTAGAATTTTCTACATACAGCACTTACCATTGCATGGGTTACTGTTGCTGACTCGTTGATTTCGGTCTGTTACAGTAAACGCACTCAAGCAGGAACAGTTGAAACTCCCAATGGAGTTGTTGCAATGAGAGTTTGGACCACAGACCTCTGATGACTTTAGACATTCATTCACATCTTATTAAAGGAACAGATGGAATAGTATAACATTAATAATGGAATAATGTAGTAAAGTGTTATCATTAATTCTTTACCGGTATTAAGAAATTATTGTTACAAAAAGAGAAAAAAGGCAAAAGTATGCTTTGCTAAATTCCCAGATTATATAACAAATAATTTCCAGAATTTACCTTCACATGTGTTATTATTGCTGATGGAGAGACTTGAGTTTCTGGCAGTGAAACCATCCAAACATGAGCAATTGTAACTTCCTAATTTATTTGTGCAGTTGGAATATGGACCACAGACCGGTGGACTGAACAGACATTCATCTTTATCTATTGAGAAAAAAAGTTTATTAATTATTTAAATCCTATTTCAATTGTAATGTCATACATTTAATTGGTTTAAATTGCTTATTTTTCCAGCTGATGATATTTACCATGACAAGAGTTGTTGACGCTCACAGGACTGTCTTTATTAGAGATATTAAATCCATTCCAGCATGAACACAGGTAACCCCCAATGCTGTTAGTACAGTCTGAGTATTGACCACACACTGACGCTGCATTTTCACATTCATTGATGTCTGAAAAACAGGAAGATGATACTGCATTAAAACAGTGTTTCTGAACTATCAGGAGTTACTGAATAAACTCATACTGGTCATGTTACTAAAACTACATTCAGTACAGATGAAATCTAATGGGATTTCTCACCTCTCTGGCAAAGTGACCCCTCTGAAGGGAGAGCCTGAATGCATCCACAAGTGCTTCCCACAATGCTATCACACACCTGATAGGCCTTGCAGGTGTTACTGGACCAAACATGATCCACCTCACACTTGCACTCATATTCTGTTCCATTTAACCCACACACTGTAAAACAAGGAGATTTATTTATTTGTGCTCAATCTGTGGATTTCTGCTAAAACTAAACTCATCTTAGTAGACTTTCCCCCTAATAATCCACTAATTATTTGTCAACCAGATATTTTTTTTTGTCGATTGCATTTTTGTTGGTTTGTTGTTCGCAGGAAAAAAATAGTCAAGTGGTGCAGTCAGGGTGCGTGTCCATCAAAAGAGTTTTTGTGCTGAGAGCTGTGTGTGTTTTAAAAGCTTTAAATAATTGAATATATTTATTTTTTATTCATTTTTTTGAAGGCTCATGCTTAGGCTTAGCAGCAGTTGTTATTGTCTATAAACAGTGTTTTAGTTCGCCTATATTGTTTACTTTATTTGTTTTTTAATATAGGCTATGCCATATTTATTTGAGAGCTTCTGGATGAAACGCTTTCTTTCATTCAATGTGCAATTTTAAGGCTCATCCTTCAGACTGACTGTGTTTGCCGTTTTCAACATTATTTCTCTGAAGCCTTTTCAGTTTGCTTTATATTTGTTGTTATAACAGTATAAACTGTTTTTAACTAATTAGTTGTATTTTTTTCTTGCTATTTGCGCATTTTCTAGTTCGGTTTGCAGCAATGTTGCCGTTGTAGCAGCTGTTTTCTTTGAAACTTTCATACACCTTTTTTCTAGTATGGAAAATCTCATTTTCAAGTCCTATCTAGCCCTTGCCCTTAGCCCTATGCTTTCAAGCTAAAGAGAATAAGGACACCCCTACTCCTTCATGTGAATGCGCAAAATGAGGGGTATGGGTAGGGGGAAAGTCTAAGGCAGGGGTTGGGAACCTTTTTACAGAAAAGAGACACTTCAGATTTTTTGGCAAATTAAATTTTAGGGGAGACCATTTGGTGTATGTATAAATCTATATATCACTCATTAATGTTGTTTGAATCTATGTGCCAAGGTGCCATAGAAATTTAAGTTTCTTGCCCTTTATTGGTGTCATCATTCAAGTTAATCCATAGCACCACACACACGCTTTGGTTAAAAAGTCATTTTATTTTAAACTGAGTTCTTATTAATTTTGCAGTAAAAAATACAATAAAAATGGAATTGTAATTGTATTTTCAATAGAAAAATGTGTTCTAGTGATAGTTATAATTTTTTTAACTTTATAATAATATTGAAGAGAGACAGCTGGAGAGCCACATTTTTTGGTCAAAAAGCCACACATGCTTCCCGAGCCATAGGTTCCCTACCCCAGGGCTGAGGGGTAGAATTGGGATTGGGCCTTGTTCTATATCAAACGGTGTGCTTTATTTTTTACAAGTTCATAAGTTTCATTAGTGTGAATGTTGTCATTTTATTTTAATAATAAATTCTGAATATTCTTAAAGATTCATGTTGTTGTTTTTTTCTTAGACACATTCATAATAAAAGAATTTGTTGTTGCTTTTATTTTATTTCAGTACAATGTAAAAAAAATGACAAATTACATACTTTCTCAGCCCGTGGACTCAAAATGTTTCCCCCAAAAGTGTTTAAATATCGCCCGTTTATTCAATTAATTCATTAGGCATAAGGTGACTAAAGGCTTCAATAAAAGACTACTGGTCGACTAAAACAATCTTTTGTCAGTGTCAGCCCTACACCTTAATATGTAACATGATGAACAGTTCTGTTCTCACCAGTGTTCATGTCGATATCTGTGATGTTTGTGCTGCTGCTCAGAGTCAAAGGCAGGCTGATATTTCTGACAACATTTCGTAAGTAGTCCACCAGGAACAAGTCGAAGAATCTCACATCAATGTCAATCACGTATTTAGATGAAAGAACTGCAGGAACAAAAAGTAGCAGGTAAACAAATATTATTGCAAAGAGGAACAAGTTAAAAAATCTGAGACATCACTAATATAAAAACACAATAACATCTCCTGTATATAAGAAAAACACAAAGTAATAATGAGAGAAAGAAACTGATGATGTTGCAGAATGATGTCATCGTCTCACCTTGGCAGAACTGTCCATTAGCTGGAAGGCCATTGATACATGTGCATGAACCATTAGTGATGACATCACAGGCATCATATGCATGACACGTGTCATTTGGCCAAACAAACAGACCCTCACATTTACACTGATACCGCGTTTCATTCAAAGAACACACTGGAGAGCAGAAGAAGAGTCCAAACATCACATATCTTCATTTATGGAAGTATTCATGATGTATAATTTTAGATAAACAGCATCACAAAGCAGAAACAGAGATCATACCAGTAGTGATGTTGATTTCTGTAACGTTAGTGCTGTCACTGATTGTGTAGGGCAAACTGAAATTCATCAGAAGAGTCCTCAGCTGATCAGTAATCCTACTATCAATGCTGTTGATCTCAATTTCAATCAGATATTCAGTCAGAGGCAGAGACACTGTAGAAAAAGAGAAGAAAATCCACAAATTATCAATATTCCTTTTACATGCATGATCATCAAGGCAAATAACACACAATTATGTATAGACTATGATGTTTGTATCAACAAGATTTAACACAACTGCATTTTTAAAAACTTTTCCACATATTTAAGTAACATTTACCATAACTGAAAATATAAAGAACAGAAATACACACAATGCCATATAATAGAATGAATTTTCATTTTGTTTCACATTATCTTAAAATAAAAATCCAGTTTAAAATAGTTTACTTAGCCAGGACAATGTATAACACTGTAACAAGTTCAAGCAGACAATGCTCCACAAACAGGCTTCTTGCCAAAGGGTAAAATACAGCCTTGTACACACTGAAATGATTTTCTACATACAGCACTTACCATTGCATGGGTTACTGTTGCTGGCTGGTTGATTTCGGTCTGTTACAGTAAACGCACTCAAGCAGGAACAGTTGAAACTCCCAATTGAGTTGATGCAATGAGAGTTTGGACCACAGACCTCTGATGACTTTAGACATTCATTCACATCTTTTTTTAAAGGAAGAGATAAAAAATATTGTTGCTTTTAGGAATTATTGCTATGATTAGATGATCAGAGTAATTTAAATAACTAAATGTAAGTGTTGAAAACAATTAAGTACAGAATGAAAAAAATTACACATTCTATGCTAATGTTAACTGTAATTAATGCAACAAACCACATATAAAAGTTCTTTTGGTCACACGTTACAATAAGACTTCATCAGTTAATGTTATTCAAAGTATTTACAGTACCAACACAACAATACCTGTACAACATTGATAATAATAATTAAAGATACTAATGTTTTATTAAAATACAAAGTTGTACTTGATAGCATTAGCTATTTCATTGAGTCTACACAATATAACAATGAACAACTTCACTTTCAGAAATGCTAAAAATGTACTGTTAATTCGTTGTTCTTGTTTGTAAATAAATTACCTAACAGTAACTAATGGAACCATATAGTAAGTGTTACAGTTATACAGATAAAAGATCGTAAAGAAATTCAGTAAAATTAACAATTAGTAAGAAATATGCTTTGCAAGCTTCCCGGATTATATAAGAATTAATTTCCAGAATTTACCTTCACATGTGTTATTAATGCTGATGGAGAGACTTGAGTTTCTGGCAGTGAAACCATCCAAACATGAGCAATTGTAACTTCCTAATTCATTTGTGCAGTTGGAATATGGACCACAGACAGGTGGACTGAACAGACATTCATCAATATCTATTGAGAAAAAAAATGTTTATTAATTATATAAATCCTATTTTAATTGTAAAGTCATACATTTACTTGGTTTAAATTGCTTATTTTTCCAGCTGATGATATTTACCATGACAAGAGTTGTTGACGCTCACAGGACTGTCTTTATTAGAGACATTAAATCCATTCCAGCAGGAACACATGTAACCCCCAATGCTGTTAGTACAGTCTGAGTATTGACCACACACTGACGCTGCATCTTCACATTCATTGATGTCTGAAAAACAGGAAGATGATACTGCATAAAAACAGTGTTTCTGAACTATCAGGAGTTACTGAATAAACTCATACTGGTCATGTTACTAAAACTACATTCAGTACAGATGAAATCTAATGGGATTTCTCACCTCTCTGGCAAAGTGACCCCTCTGAAGGGAGAGCCTGAATGCATCCACAAGTGCTTCCCACAATGCTATCACACACCTGAAAGGCCTTGCAGGTGTTACTAGGCCAAACATGATCCACCTCACACTTGCACTCATATTCTGTTCCATTTAACCCACACACTGTAAAACAAGGAGATTTATTTATTTGTGCTCAATCTGTGGATTTCTGCTGAAACTAAACTCATCTTAGTACAGTTTCCCCCTAAAGCCGCTTTTCCGCTGCACACGACATTTAGACACGACTGCCGAATAACGTCCCCTTGTGGCAGTCGCACAGAATTTTCAGTTCTGACGTGGATCATTTCAGGCCACATAGTTTCTAGTGTGGAAAATCTTAGTTTCAAGTGCTATCTAGCTCTTGCCCTTAGCCCTATGACTTCAAGCTAAAGACAATTAGGACACCCCTACTCCTCCATGTAAATGCACAAAATGAACTCAAAATAAACGGAATAAACGGGCGATAAGGTGACTAATGGCTTCAATAAAAGACAACTGGTTGACAAGAAATTTTTTTTATCAGAGACCTACACCTTAATACGTAACATGATGAACAGTTCTGTTCTCACCAGTGTTCATGTCGATATCTGTGATATTTGTGTTGCTGCTCAGAGTCAAAGGCAGGCTGATATTTCTGACAACATTTCGTAAGTAGTCCACCAGGAACAAGTCGAAGAATCTCACATCAATGTCAATCACATATTTAGATGAAAGAACTGCAGGAACAAAAAGTAGCAGGTAAACAAATATTATTGCAAAGAGGAAAAAGTTAAAAAATCTGAGACATCATTAATATAAAAACACAATAACATCTCCTGTATGTGGGAAAAACACAAAGTAATTATTAGAGGGAGAAACTGATGATGTTGCAGAATGATGTCATCGTCTCACCTTGGCAGAACTGTCCATCAGCTGGAAGGCCATTGATACATGTACATGAACCATTAGTGATGACATCACAGGCATCATATGCATGACACGTGTCATTTGGCCAAACAAACAGACCCTCACATTTACACTGATACTGGGTTTCATTCAAAGAACACACTGGAGAACAGAAGAAGAGTCCAAACATTACATATCTTCATTTATGGAAGTATTCATGATGTATAATTTTAGATAAACAGCATCACAAAGCAGAAACAGAGATCATACCAGTAGTGATGTTGATTTCTGTAATGTTAGTGCTGTCACTGATTGTGTAGGGCAAACTGAAATTCATCAGAAGAGTCCTCAGCTGATCAGTGATCCTACTATCAATGCTGTTGATCTCAATTTCAATCAGATATTCAGTCAGAGGCAGAGACACTGAAGAAAAAGAGAAGACAATCCACAAAGGATTAATATTCCTTTACATGTATGATAATCAGGGCAAATAACACACAATTATGAACAAACAAAAATGTTTGGACCAACAGGATTTAACAACTACTTTTTAAAACAGTGCTCTTTTATTTACGCAACTTTTATCAGAGCTGAAGATGTAAAAACACACACAAAACCATATAATAGATTTCTTTATTTATTTACTTATTTGTCAGTTTGTTTATTTATTTTATATTGTCACAAGCAAAGTATACTTTATATACAGGCTTCTAAAATTTTCTACATCCAGCACTTACCATTGCATGGGTTACTGTTGCTGACTGGTTGATTTCGGTCTGTTACAGTAAACGCACTCAAGCAGGAACAGTTGAAACTCCCAATGGAGTTGTTGCAATGAGAGTTTGGACCACAGACCTCTGATGACTTTAGACATTCATTCACATCTTTATTAAAGGAACAGATGGAATAGTATTGTTGTTATTAAAAATTATTGTTATGATGTGATGATCAGAGTAAATTAAATAAATTTACTGAATGTTTGAATGCAAAACTATAAATTAGAGAATGAAAAACAACATCAAATTAGTAAAACATTAATAATGGAATAATGTAGTAAAGTGTTATCATTAATTCTTTACCGGTATAAAGAAATTATTGTTACAAAATGAGAAAAAAGGCAAAAGTATGCTTTGCTAAATTCCCAGATTATATAAGAAATAATTTCCAGAATTTACCTTCACATGTGTTATTATAGCTGATGGAGAGACTTGAGTTTCTGGCAGTGAAACCATCCAAACATGAGCAATTGTAACTTCCTAATTCATTTGTGCAGTTGGAATATGGACCACACACCGGTGGACTGAACAGACATTCGTCAATATCTATTGAGAAAAAAAGGTTTATTAATTATTTAAATCCTATTTCAATTGTAAAGTCATACATTTAATTGGTTTAAATTGCTTATTTTTCCAGCTGATGATATTTACCATGACAAGAGTTGTTGACGCTCACAGGACTGTCTTTATTAGAGACATTAAATCCATTCCAGCATGAACACATGTAACCCCCAATCCTATTAGTACAGTCTGAGTATTGACCACACACTGACGCTGCATCTTCACATTCATTGATGTCTGAAAAACAGGAAGATGATACTGCATAAAAACAGTGTTTCTAAACTATCAGGAGTCACTGAATAAACTCATACTGGTCATGTTACTAAAACTACATTCAGTACAGATGAAATCTAATGGGATTTCTCACCTCTCTGGCAAAGTGACCCCTCTGAAGGAAGAGCCTGAATGCATCCACAAGTGCTTCCCACAATGCTATCACACACCTGATAGGCCTTGCAGGTGTTACTGGGCCAAACATGATCCACCTCACACTTGCACTCATATTCTGTTCCATTCAACCCACACACTGTAAAACAAGGAGATTTATTTATTTGTGTTCAATCTGTGGATTTCTCCTAAAACTAAACTCATCTTAGAGTTTCCCCCTAATAATCCACTAATTATTTGTCAACCAGATATTTTTTTTTGTCGATTGCATTTTTGTTGGTTTGTTGTTCGCAAGAAAAAAATAGACAAGTGGTGCAGTCAGGGTGCGTGTTGATCAAAAGAGTTTTTGTGCTGAGAGCTGTGTGTGTTTTAAAAGCTTTAAATAATTGAATACATTTATTTTTCATTCATTTTTTTGAAGGCTCATGCTTAGGCTTTGCAGCAGTTACTATTGTCTATAAACAGTCTTTTAGTTCGCCTAAATTGTTTACTTTATTTGTTTTTTAACATAGGCTATGCCATATTTATTTGAGAGCTTCTCGATGAAACGCTTTCTTTTATTCAATGTTTAATTTTAAGGCTCGTCCTTCAGACTGACTGTGTTTGCAGTTTTCAACAATATTTCTCTGAAGCCTTTTAAGTTTGCTTTATATTTGTTGTGTTTAAATTAGTTTATTTATTTACATTTACATTTAGTCATTTAGCAGACGCTTTTATCCAAAGCGACTTACAAATGAGGACAAGGAAGCAATTTACACAACTAAGAGCAACAATGAATAAGTGCTATAGGCAAGTTTTAGGTCTGTAAAGTCTAAGAAGGGAAGTATTAGTAGTAATAGGTTTTTTTTTTTTTTTGGGTACAGTTAGTGTGATATTCAGAGAGGCAATTGCAGATTAGGAAGTGTAGTGGAGACTAAATAGTTGAGTTTTATTCGTTTCTTGAAAATAGAGAGTGACTCTGCTGTTCTGATGCAGTTAGGGAGTTCATTCCACCAATTGGGCAGATTGAGCGTGAGCGTTTGCGAAAGTGATTTCTTCCCTCTTTGGGATGGAACCACGAGGCGACGTTCATTCACAGAACGCAAGTTTCTGGAGGGCACATAGATCTGCAGAAGTGAGAGCAGATAAGAAGGAGCAAGGCCAGAAGTCACTTTGCAGGCAAACATCAGAGCTTTGAATTTGATGCGAGCAGCAACTGGCAGCCAGTGCAAACGGACTAGCAGCGGAGTGACATGTGCTCGTTTAGGTTCATTGAAGACCACTCGTGCTGCTGCGTTCTGGAGCAGCTGAAGAGGCTTGATAGAGCCTCTTAGAGATAGATTTATATATTTGACTTACCAATATTTCATAGCAAAGAAAAGATCTTTGACTATTTAGTTTGTATTGTTTTCTTGTTATTTGCGCATTTTCTTGTACGTGTTTGCAGCCATGTTGCCGATGTAAAAGCTGTATTCTGTAAAATATTATACACCTTGGTTTTTTAGTATGGAAAATCTCGGTTTCAACTGCTTACTATATCTTACCCTTAGCCTTACGCTTTTAAGCTAAAGAGAATTAGGTTACCCCTACTGCTTCACTTAAATGCGCAAAATGAGAGGTAGGGGTGAGGGGAAAGGTTAAGGGGTAGAATTGGGATTGGGGTGTGTTCAATATCAAACGGTGTGCTTTATTTTTAACAGGTTCATAAGTTGTAATTTGTGTGAATGTTGTCATTTTATTTTATTAATAAATTCTTAATATCCTTAAAGATTCATGTTGTTTTTTCTCAGACACATTCATAACTACAAAATTTGTTGGTGCTGTTTTATGTAATTTCTTAATGTTGAATATTAACACTTATTATTATATTTTTTCGGTACAATGTAAAAAAAAAAATGACAAATTAAATTCTTTCTCAGTCTATGAACTCAAAGTGTTTCCCACAAAATTGCTTAAATATGCCTAATGAATTAATTGAAAAAAACGACTACTGGTCGACTAAGAAAATTTTTTGTCAGTGACAGCCCTACACCTTAATATATAACATGATGAACAGTTCTGTTCTCACCAGTGTTCATGTCGATATCTGTGATGTTTGTGCTGCTGCTCAGAGTCAAAGGCAGGCTGATATTTCTGACAACATTTCGTAAGTAGTCCACCAGGAACAAGTCGAAGAATCTCACATCAATGTCAATCACGTATTTAGATGAAAGAACTGCAGGAACAAAAAGTAGCAGGTAAACAAATATTATTGCAAAGAGGAACAAGTTAAAAAATCTGAGACATCACTAATATTAAAACACAATGACATCTCCTGTATGTGGGAAAAAACACAAAGTAATTATTAGAGGGGGAAACTGATGATTTTGCAGGATGATGTCATCGTCTCACCTTGGCAGAACTGTCCATCAGCTGGAAGGCCATTGATACATGTGCATGAACCATTAGTGATGACATCACAGGCATCATTTGCATGACACGTGTCATTTGGCCAAACAAACAGACCCTCACATTTACACTGATACCGCGTTTCATTCAAAGAACACACTGGAGAACAGAAGAGGAGTTCAAACATCACATATCTTCATTTATGGAAGTATTCATGATGTATAATTTTAGATAAACAGCATCACAAAGCAGAAACAGAGATCATACCAGTAGTGATGTTGATTTCTGTAATGTTAGTGCTGTCACTGATTGTGTAGGGCAAACTGAAGTTCATCAGAAGAGTCCTCAGCTGATCTGTGATCCTACTATCAATGCTGTTGATCTCAATTTCAATCAGATATTCAGTCAGAGGCAGAGACACTGTAGAAAAAGAGAAGAAAATCCACAAATGATTAATATTCCTTTACATGCATGATCATCAAGGCAAATAACACACAATTATGACTATTATGACAGACTATGATGTTTGTATCAACAAGATTTAACACAACTGCATTTTTAAAAACTTTTCCACATATTTAAGTAACATTTACCATAACTGAAAATGTAAAGAACAGAAATACACACAATGCCATATAATAGAATGAATTGTCATTTTGTTTCACATTATCTTAAAATAAAAATCCAGTTTAAAATAGTTTATTTAGCCAGGACAACGTACGTAGTATAACACTGTAACAAGTTCAAGCAGACAATGCTCCACAAACAGGCTTCTTGCCAAAGGGTAAAATACAGCCTTGTGCACACTGAAATGATTTTCTACATCCAGCACTTACCATTGCATGGGTTACTGTTGCTGACTGGTTGATTTCGGTCTGTTATAGTAAACGCACTCAAGCAGGAACAGTTGAAACTCCCAATTGAGTTGTAGCAACGAGAGTTTGGACCACAGACCTCTGATGACTTTAGACATTCATTCACATCTTTTTTTAAAGCAAGAGATTAAAAATATTGTTGCTTTTAGGAATTATTGCTATGAATAGATGATCAGAGTAATTTAAATAACTAAATGTAAGTGTTGAAAACAATTAAGTACAGAATGAAAAAATTACACATTCTATGCTAATATTAACTGTAATTAATGCAACAAACCACATATAAAAGTTCTTTTGGTCACACGTTACAATAAGACTCCATCAGTTATTGTTATTCAAAGTATTTACAGTACCAACATCAAATAAAACACAACAATACTTGGACAACATTGATAATCATAATTAAAGATACTAATGTTTTATTAAAATACAAAGTTGTACTTGATAGCATTAGCTATTTCATTGAGTCTACACAATATAACAATGAACAACTTCACTTTCAGAAATGCTAAAAATGTACTGTTAATTCGTTGTTCTTGTTTGTAAATACATTACCTAACAGTAACTAATGGAACCATATAGTAAGTGTTACAGTTATACAGATAAAAGATCGTAAAGAAATTCAGTAAAATTAACAATTAGTAAGAAATATGCTTTGCAAGCTTCCCGGATTATATAAGAATTAATTTCCAGAATTTACCTTCACATGTGTTATTAATGCTGATGGAGAGACTTGAGTTTCTTGCAGTGAAACCATCCAAACATGAGCAACTGTAACTTCCTAATTCATTTGTGCAGTTGGAATATGGACCACAGACAGATGGACTGAACAGACATTCATCAATATCTATTGAGAAAAAAAATGTTTATTAATTATTTAAATCCTATTTTAATTGTAAAGTCATACATTTAATTGGTTTAAATTGCTTATTTTTCCAGCTGATGATGTTTACCATGACAAGAGTTGTTGACGCTCACAGGACTGTCTTTATTAGAGACATTAAATCCATTCCAGCATGAACACATGTAACCCCCAACCCTGTTAGTGCAATCTGAGTATTGACCACACACTGACGCTGCATCTTCACATTCATTGATGTCTGAAAAACAGGAAGATGATACTGCATAAAACAGTGTTTCTGAACTATCAGGAGTTACTGAATAAACTCATACTGGTCATGTTACTAAAACTACATTCAGTACAGATGAAATCTAATGGGATTTCTCACCTCTCTGGCAAAGTGACCCCTCTGAAGGGAGAGCCTGAATGCATCCACAAGTGCTTCCCACAATGCTATCACACACCTGAAAGGCCTTGCAGGTGTTACTGGGCCAAACATGATCCACCTCACACTTGCACTCATATTCTGTTCCATTCAACCCACACACTGTAAAACAAGGAGATTTATTTATTTGTGCTCAATCTGTGGATTTCTGCTGAAACTAAACTCATCTTAGTACAGTTTCCCCCTAAAGCCGCCTTTCCGCTGCACACGACATTTAGACACGACTGCCGAATAACGTCCCCTTGTGGCAGTCGCACAGAATTTTCAGTTCTGACGTGGATCATTTCAGGCCACATAGTTTCTAGTGTGGAAAATCTTAGTTTCAAGTGCTATCTAGCTCTTGCCCTTAGCCCTATGACTTCAAGCTAAAGACAATTAGGACACCCCTACTCCTCCATGTAAATGCACAAAATGAACTCAAAATAAACGGAATAAACGGGCGATAAGGTGACTAATGGCTTCAATAAAAGACAACTGGTTGACAAGAAATTTTTTTTATCAGAGACCTACACCTTAATACGTAACATGATGAACAGTTCTGTTCTCACCAGTGTTCATGTCGATATCTGTGATATTTGTGTTGCTGCTCAGAGTCAAAGGCAGGCTGATATTTCTGACAACATTTCGTAAGTAGTCCACCAGGAACAAGTCAAAGAATCTCACATCAATGTCAATCACATATTTAGATGAAAGAACTGCAGGAACAAAAAGTAGCAGGTAAACAAATATTATTGCAAAGAGGAAAAAGTTAAAAAATCTGAGACATCACTAATATTAAAACACAATAACATCTCCTGTATGTGGGAAAAACACAAAGTAATTATTATAGAGAGAAACTGATGATGTTGCAGAATGATGTCATCGTCTCACCTTGGCAGAACTGTCCATCTGCTGGAAGGCCATTGATACATGTGCATGAACCATTAGTGATGACATCACAGGCATCATATGCATGACACGTGTCATTTGGCCAAACAAACAGACCCTCACATTTACACTGATACCGCGTTTCATTCAAAGAACACACTGGAGAGCAGAAGAAGAATCCAAACATCACATATCTTCATTTATGGAAGTATTCATGATGTATAATTTTAGATAAACAGCATCACAAAGCAGAAACAGAGATCATACCAGTAGTGATGTTGATTTCTGTAATGTTAGTGCTGTCACTGATTGTGTAGGGCAAACTGAAATTCATCAGAAGAGTCCTCAGCTGATCAGTGATCCTACTATCAATGCTGTTGATCTCAATTTCAATCAGATATTCAGTCAGAGGCAGAGACACTGAAGAAAAAGAGAAGAAAATCCACAAAGGATTAATATTCCTTTACATGTATGATAATCAGGGCAAATAACACACAATTATGAACAAACAAAAATGTTTGGACCAACAGGATTTAACAACTACTTTTTAAAACAGTGCTCTTTTATTTACGCAACTTTTATCAGAGCTGAAGATGTAAAACACACACAAAACCATATAATAGATTTCTTTATTTATTTACTTATTTGTCAGTTTGTTTATTTATTTAATATTGTCACAAGCAAACTATACTTTATATACAGGCTTCTAGATGTTCTGCATACAGCACTTACCATTGCATGGGTTACTGTTGCTGACTGGTTGATTTCGGTCTGTTACAGTAAACGCACTCAAGCAGGAACAGTTGAAACTCCCAATGGAGTTGTTGCAACGAGAGTTTGGACCACAGACCTCTGATGACTTTAGACATTCATTCACATCTTTATTAAAGGAACAGATGGAATAGTATTGTTGTTATTAAAAATTATTGTTATGATGTGATGATCAGAGTAAATTAAATAAATTTACTGAATGTTTGAATGCAAAACTATAAATTAGAGAATGAAAAACAACATCAAATTAGTAAAACATTAATAATGGAATAATGTAGTAAAGTGTTATCATTAATTCTTTACCGGTATAAAGAAATTATTGTTACAAAAAGAGAAAAAAGGCAAAAGTATGCTTTGCTAAATTCCCAGATTATATAAGAAATAATTTCCAGAATTTACCTTCACATGTGTTATTATAGCTGATGGAGAGACTTGAGTTTCTGGCAGTGAAACCATCCAAACATGAGCAATTGTAACTTCCTAATTCATTTGTGCAGTTGGAATATGGACCACAGACCGGTGGACTGAACAGACATTCATTAATATCTATTGAGAAAAAAAAGTTTATTAATTATTTAAATCCTATTTCAATTGTAAAGTCATACATTTAATTGGTTTAAATTGCTTATTTTTCCAGCTGATGATATTTACCATGACAAGAGTTGTTGACGCTCACAGGACTGTCTTTATTAGAGACATTAAATCCATTCCAGCATGAACACAGGTAACCCCCAATCCTATTAGTACAGTCTGAGTATTGACCACACACTGACGCTGCATCTTCACATTCATTGATGTCTGAAAAACAGGAAGATGATACTGTATAAAAACAGTGTTTCTAAACTATCAGGAGTCACTGAATAAACTCATACTGGTCATGTTACTAAAACTACATTCAGTACAGATGAAATCTAATGGGATTTCTCACCTCTCTGGCAAAGTGACCCCTCTGAAGGGAGAGCCTGAATGCATCCACAAGTGCTTCCCACAATGCTATCACACACCTGATAGACCTTGCAGGTGTTACTGGGCCAAACATGATCCACCTCACACTTGCACTCATATTCTGTTCCATTTAACCCACACACTGTAAAACAAGGAGATTTATTTATTTGAGTTCAATCTGTGGATTTCTGCTGAAACTAAACTCATCTTAGTAGAGTTTCCTTCTAAAGCCGCCTTTCCGCTGCACACGACATTTAGACACGACTGCCGAATAACGTCCCCTTGTGGCAGTCGCACAGAATTTTCAGTTCTGACGTGGATCATTTCATGCCACATAGTTTCTAGTGTGGAAAATCTTAGTTTCAAGTGCTATCTAGCTCTTGCCCTTAGCCCTATGACTTCAAGCTAAAGACAATTAGGACACCCCTACTCCTCCATGTAAATGCACAAAATGAACTCAAAATAAACGGAATAAACGGGCGATAAGGTGACTAATGGCTTCAATAAAAAACAACTGGCTGACAAGAAAAATTTTTTTATCAGAGACAGCCCTACACCTTAATACGTAACATGATAAACAGTTCTGTTCTCACCAGTGTTCATGTCGATATCTGTGATATTTGTGCTGCTGCTCAGAGTCAAAGGCAGGCTGATATTTCTGACAACATTTCGTAAGTAGTCCACCAGGAACAAGTCGAAGAATCTCACATCAATGTCAATCACGTATTTAGATGAAAGAACTGCAGGAACAAAAAGTAGCAGGTAAACAAATATTATTGCAAAGAGGAAAAAGTTAAAAAATCTGAGACATCACTAATATTAAAACACAATAACATCTCCTGTATGTGGGAAAAACACAAAGTAATTATTATAGAGAGAAACTGATGATGTTGCAGGATGATGTCATCGTCTCACCTTGGCAGAACTGTCCATCAGCTGGAAGGCCATTGATACACGTGCATGAACCATTAGTGATGACATCACAGGCATCATACGCATGACACGTGTCATTTGGCCAAACAAACAGACCCTCACATTTACACTGATACCACGTTTCATTCAAAGAACACACTGGAGAGCAGAAGAAGAGTCCAAACATCACATATCTTCATTTATGGAAGTATTCATGATGTATAATTTTAGATAAACAGCATCACAAAGCAGAAACAGAGATCATACCAGTAGTGATGTTGATTTCTGTAATGTTAGTGCTGTCACTGATTGTGTAGGGCAAACTGAAATTCATCAGAAGAGTCCTCAGCTGATCAGTGATCCTACTATCAATGCTGTTGATCTCAATTTCAATCAGATATTCAGTCAGAGGCAGAGACACTGCAGAAAAAGAGAAGAAAATCCACAAATGATCATTATTCCTTTATATGTATGATAATCAAGGCAAATAACTCATAATTATGAACAAACACTAATGTTTGGACAAACGGGATTTAACAACTACTTTTAAAAACAGTGCTCTATGTATTTACGCAACTTTTATTATAGCTGAGAAGATGTAAAACACACAAAACCATATAATACATTTATTTATTTATTTGTTTGTTCATTAATTTTTTTAGTGTCACAAGCAGACTATACTTTATATACAGGCATCTAGATGTTCTACATACAGCACTTACCATTGCATGGGTTACTGTTGCTGACTGGTTGATTTCGGTCTGTTACAGTAAACGCACTCAAGCAGGAACAGTTAAAACTCCCAATTGAGTTGATGCAATGAGAGTTTGGACCACAGACCTCTGATGACTTTAGACATTCATTCACATCTATATTAAAGGAACAGATGCAAAAGTATTGTTGTTATTAGGAATGATTGCTATGATGTGATGATCAGAGTAAATTAAATAACTTTACTGAATGTTTAAATGCAAAACTCTAAATTAGAGAATGAAAAACAACGTCAGAATATTAAAAATTTAATAATGGTACCATGCAGTAACGTGTTATCGTTGATTCCTTAACAGTTATTTAGAAAATATAGTTACAAAAATGAAATGGCAAAAGTATGCTTTGCTAACTTGCAACATTATTTAAGAATTAATTTCCAGTATTTACCTTCACATGTGTTATTGATGCTGATGGATAGATTTGAGTTTCTTGCAGTGAAACCATCCAAACATGAGCAATTGTAACTTCCTATTTCATTTGTGCAGTTGGAATATGGACCACAGACAGGTTGACTGAACAGACATTCATCAATATCTATTGAGAAAAAAAGGTTTATTAAATATCAAACTCATATCTTTATATATTTTTTTATTTGTAATGTCATATTTTTAATTGGTTTAAATGACCTATTTAAATTTTGACATAAAAGACCTCTAAAATCTGAAAAATAAACAAATCTGAACAGAAATCAAACCTAGCTGATAATATTTACCATGACAAGAGTTGTTGAAGCTCACAGGACTGTCTTTATTAGAGACATTAAATCCATTCCAGCATGAACACATGTAACCCCCAATCCTGTTAGTGCAATCTGAGTATTGACCACACACTGACGCTGCATCTTCACATTCATTGATGTCTGAAAAACAGGAAGATGATACTGCATAAAAACAGTGTTTCTGAACTATCAGGAGTTACTGAATAAACTCATACTGGTCATGTTACTAAAACTACATTCAGTACAGATGAAATCTAATGGGATTTCTCACCTCTCTGGCAAAGTGACCCCTCTGAAGGGAGAGCCTGAATGCATCCACAAGTGCTTCCCACAATGCTATCACACACCTGAAAGGCCTTGCAGGTGTTACTGGGCCAAACATGATCCACCTCACACTTGCACTCATATTCTGTTCCATTCAACCCACACACTGTAAAACAAGGAGATTTATTTATTTGAGATCAATCTGTGGATTTCTGCTGAAACTAAACTCATCTTAGTAGAGTTGCCCCCTAATCATCCAATAATTAATAGTCAGACTAAGTTTTTGTGGGTCGATTGTTCGAAAAAAAAAAAAAATAGACAAGTGGTGCAGTCAAGGTACGTATTCACCGAAGTGTTTTTGCGCTGAGAGTTGTGTGTGTTTTAAAAGCTTTGCCAGTTGGAAAAAAATGCTTGTAGCTTACAGAAGCATTTTAGTGCTTGCACCTGAGCTTTTATAAGTGGGTCGGACACCAGATGCGCTGCTCGGCAACGCGCCACGCAGCACACAGTTATTATTGTCCATAGACAGTGCTTTAGTTTGTCTATATTGTTTATATGTGTTTTTTATATAGGCTATAGCAGGGTTCACTAAAATTGTTCCTGGAGGGCCAGTGTCATGCAGATTTTAGCTCCAAACCTAATCAGACACACCTGAACAAGCTAATCAAGGTCTTACTAGGTATACTTGAAACACTCAGGCGAATGTGTTGAGGCAAGTTGAAGCAAAACACTGCAGGGACACCGGCCTTCCACGACCAAGATTGGTGACCCCTGGGCTATAGTATAGTTTATTTATAAGATTCTGAATGAAATGCTGTTTATTTTTCATTCAATGTTTATTTTTTTCCCGGTGATGGGTTGCAACTGGAATGGCATCCGTTGAGTTAAACATGTGCTGGATAAGTTGGCGGTTCATTCTGCTGTGATGAACCTAGATTAATAAAGGGAACAAGCCGACAAGAAAATTATTGATTGTTTAATTTTAAGGCTTGTCCTTCAAACGGACTGTGTTTGGAGTTTTCAACATTATTTCTCTTAAGCCTTTTCTGTTAGCTCTATACTCATTTGTGTTTAAATTAGTTTATTTATATGTTTGACTTGCAAAAATATAACAATATATTTTACTATTTTGTTTCTATTGTTTTCATATGACTTTCCCTGTAGGGCTACAAGGCTGGACTTTGTGATAAATTTGTTTTAGTTTCTTTACCAAACAGTAAGTTTTATTTTTAGCAAGTTCAAAAGTTGTAACTTGTGTGAATGTTATCATTTTATTTTATTAATAAATTATCTATTTTTTTGTCTCCCCAGACACATTCTTAATTATATAATTTGTCAGTTCCATTTTATGTACGTGTGAGTTCTTAATGACGAATATTAACACTTATTCTTATAATATTTCTGTACAATGTTACAAATGACATTCTTTTTCAGCAGATAAGCTCAAATCATTTCCCCCATATTTGCTTAAGTATGCCTAATAAATTACTTTATTAAACATGCAATTGGGTGACTAATGGCTTTAATAAACAACCACTGGTTGACTAAGACAATCTTTTGTCAGTGACAGCCCTACACCTTAATATGTGACATGATGAACAGTTCTGTTCTCACCAGTATTCATGTCAATATCTGTGATATTTGTGCTGCTGCTCAGAGTCAAAGGCAGGCTGATATTTCTGACAACATTTCGTAAGTAGTCCACCAGGAACAAGTCGAAGAATCTCACATCAATGTCAATCACGTATTTAGATGAAAGAACTGCAGGAACAAAAATAAAAGTAGCAGGTAAACAAATATTATTGCAAAGAGGAACAAGTTAAAAAATCTGAGACATCACTAATACTAAAACACAATAACATCTCCTGTATGTGGGAAAAAACACAAAGTAATTATTAGAGGGAGAAACTGATGATGTTGCAGAATGATGTCATCGTCTCACCTTGGCAGAACTGTCCATCAGCTGGAAGGCCATTAATACATGTACATGAACCATTAGAGATGACATCACAGGCCTCGTATGCGTGACACGTGTCATTTGGCCAAACAAACAGACCCTCACATTTACACTGATACCGCGTTTCATTCAAAGAACACACTGGAGAGCAGAAGAAGAATCCAAACATCACATATCTTCATTTATGGAAGTATTCATGATGTATAATTTTAGATAAACAGCATCAAAAAGCAGAAACAGAGATCATACCAGTAGTGATGTTGATTTCTGTAATGTTAGTGCTGTCACTGATTGTGTAGGGCAAACTGAAATTCATCAGAAGAGTCCTCAGCTGATCAGTGATCCTACTATCAATGCTGTTGATCTCAATTTCAATCAGATATTCAGTCAGAGGCAGAGACACTGTAGAAAAAGAGAAGAAAATCCACAAATTATCAATATTCCTTTTAAACGCATGAAGATCAAGGAGGACAACACAGTATTTAAATGTATTATCTACATACTTACCATTGCATGGGTTACTGTTGCTGGCTGGTTGATTTCGGTCTGTTACAGTAAACGCACTCAAGCAGGAACAGTTAAAACTCCCAATTGAGTTGATGCAATGAGAGTTTGGACCACAGACCTCAGGTGACTTTAGACATTCATTCACATCTTTTTTATGGGAAGAGATGGAAAAGTTTATTAGGGGTCAAATTAGGTGTTAATATTAACTGTAATCAATGCAAAAAATATATAAAAAATCACATATAAAAGCTAATTTGGTCACATTTTACAATTTGTCAATTTGGAATTATAAGGTTCTATCTGCGTTCTGAATGATTAAGATATTAAGCTGCAAAGTTGTTGCATTCCATTGCAAACAGTATGTGTGTAACATTTGTTTTTGTAAATAAAAAGTCTTAAATTTTTAACAACTTATAAAAAAACATCCCATAATGTAAATAAGTTGTCATTTAGTGAGAATATATTAATAACTCAATATTGACAAAAATGTCAGATAGAAACTTATAATTCTAAGGTGACGAATTGTTTGAACAATTCTGTACAGCATTTATTTATCATAGTCAAACATTTACTACTGCATTATTAAATTACAAAGTTGTGTTTGTTAACATTAGCTAATGCATTGTGAGTTAACACAATCTACCAACTTTATGTTCAGAAATTTAATGAATGTATTGTTTGTTCTTTGTTTGTGTTTGTAAATGCATTTCCTAATAAAACCATATACAGTCGTTAAGTGTTACCCTTAATTCATATTTAGAAAATTATGTTACAAAAAATAGCATGAAGTATATTTTGTTAGCTTCCTAGATTATGTACTAATTAATTCAGAATTTACCTTCACATGTGTTATTGATGCTAATGGAGAGACTTGAGTTTTCTGCAGTGAAACCATCCAAACATGAGCAATTGTAACTTCCTAATTCATTTGTGCAGTTGGAATACGGACCACAGACAGGCGGACTGAACAGACATTCATCAATATCTATTGAAAAAAAAAGATTTATTAATTATTTAAATCCTATTTCAATTGTAATGTCATATTTTTTCATTTAAATTGCTTATTTTACCAGCTGACAATATTTACCATGACAAGAGTTGTTGACGTTCACAGGACTGTCTTTATTAGAGACATTAAATCCATTCCAGCATGAACACATGTAACCCCCAATCCTGTTAGTACAGTCTGAGTATTGACCACACACTGACGCTGCATCTTCACATTCATTGATGTCTGAAAAACAGGAAGATGATACTGTATAAAACAGTGTTTCTGAACTATCAGGAGTTACTGAATAAACTCATACTGGTCATGTTACTAAAACTACATTCAGTACAGATGAAATCTAATGGGATTTCTCACCTCTCTGGCAAAGTGACCCCTCTGAAGGGAGAGCCTGAATGCATCCACAAGTGCTTCCCACAATGCTATCACACACCTGATAGGCCATGCAGATGTTACTGGGCCAAACATGATCCACCTCACACTTGCACTCATATTCTGTTCCATTCAACCCACACACTGTAAAACAAGGAGATTTATTTATTTGTTCTCAATCTGTGGATTTCTTTTTAAACTAAACTCATCTTAGTAAAGTTGACCACTAATAGTTAGCTAATTAAAAGTCAACCAGAACAGGATTGTCATGGGGCTTAAACTTTTAATTGGATTATTCGATTTAATAACAATAATAATAATAATAGTTCGAATAGTTCAATTACAAAAAAAAATAAGAAAGATTGATTAACTAAAACTGTAGTAATTAAAAATTAATTTAAAAAAATCAATATGGGCATCAATTCTTGGATCAGTAAGCAAAAAGCGTGGTTGTTTAATGGCAAGAAGTCATGGTATCAAACAGATCAAGTAGAAAATTGACAAAGTGAATGAAAAAAGTTAGACAGCCAGAGTAAACTACAGAAATTATCCCAAGCATAACACTAGATAAAAAGCAGTCTAAATGCAAGTGCCATGCCAATTTGGTGAATGATCTTATGGCCGTTATATGCAATAGCCAGACAGCATATTTTTTCATTTCCTTCTTGTTATGTTGCATGTTAAGACTAAAGCTAACATTATGTAAGTGGTCTAATGAAACACTGTAAAGCCTTCATTTCTTCCTTGCTGTTGCGTGTTAAGGCTAAACGCTAACATTGTGGTCTAATGTAACGTTAAAAACCTTTATTATTTTACATGTGTACAACGGACTTTAATTGCAGCTTTTTTAATGGATAACACATTGATAGGTTGTTGTGTTGCATAAAGTACAACAGAATCATCCTATTTGTTGTGGTCGAAAACAGAATTCAGATTTGTTTTTACATGGCTATTATAAATTATACTGTATATGGGAGGTGGAGACTCCCTTAAAAGACAATTAAAAATAGAATTATATTGGTACAGTTACATGAAACTAAAATATTGTTTTCTAGTCAATTCATCCAAATACCCTACAATTTACTATTGCATTTATTTATTGGGCATATTGTAGTTTTATCTGTTAAATCAATTCTTAATCTAAATCTCAATTGACGGTACAATACGTTTTCAAATTAGCTGAGAATGCCATAAAACTTAAAAAACATTTGACTAATTTATTTGATGTATGTATTTGATTAGCTCATTATATTTACTGTCATTAAGCAACATGCAGCTTGATTTATTATATTCTGCATTTATATTATTAGTCAATGTAATTTCTGGTGCAATAAAAAAAGTTTTGCCACTGTTTAAAGGTAGAATGTAGCGCAGTAGCTGCAAATAGTGTTGAATTTATTAATGTATATTGCTACTGTATGAAAAGGCATTGAGGAAAAGAAGGCATAAAGCTCTGCTGATTATTCATAAATATATATATATATATATATATATATATATATAAATATATATATATATATATATATAAATAATCAGCAAAGCTCTATACCTTTTTTTCAGACATATACATAATTCAAATATTTGATGGTGCTGTTTTATGTATGTGCAAATTCTTAATGTCGAACATCAACACTTATTATTAGGTGAATTATTAGAAATAAGGTGACTAATGGCTTAAATGAACAACTTCTGGTCAATTAAGACAATCTTTTGTCAGTGACAGCCCTACACACTAATATGTGACATGATGAACAGTTCTGTTCTCACCAGAATTCATATCGATATCTGTGATATTTGTGCTGCAGCTCAGAGTCAAAGGCAGGCTGATATTTCTGACAACATTTCGTAAGTAGTCCACCAGGAACAAGTCGAAGAATCTAACATCAATGTCAATCAAGTAGTCAGATGAAAGAACTGCAGGAATAAAAATTTGCAGGTAAACTGAGATTATAGCAAACAGAAACAAGCAAAAAACAATCTGAGACATCACTAATATTAAAATACTATAACATCCAAGTAGGAAAAAAAATGCAAAGTAATAATTATATGAAGAATTTAATGATGTTGCAGAATGATGTCATCGTCTCACCTTGGCAGAACTGTCCATCAGCTGGAAGGCCATTGATACATGTACATGAACCATTGGTAATGACATCACAGGCATCATATGCATGACACGTGTCATTTGGCCAAACAAACAGACCCTCACATTTACACTGATACCGCGTTTTATTCAAAGAACACACTGGAGAGCAGAAGAAGAGTCCAAACATCACATATCTTCATTTATGGAAGTATTCATGATGTATAATTTTAGATAAACAGCATCACAAAGCAGAAACAGAGATCATACCAGTAGTGATGTTGATTTCTGTAATGTTAGTGCTGTCACTGATTGTGTAGGGCAAACTGAAATTCATCAGAAGAGTCCTCAGCTGATCAGTGATCCTACTATCAATGCTGTTGATCTCAATTTCAATCAGATATTCAGTCAGAGGCAGAGACACTGAAGAAAAAGAGAAGAAAATCCACAAATGATCGATATTCCTTTTACATGCATGAAGATCAAGGAGGACAACACAAAATTTAAATGTATTATCTACATACTTACCATTGCATGGGTTACTGTTGCTGGCTGGTTGATTTCGGTCTGTTACAGTAAACGCACTCAAGCAGGAACAGTTGAAATTCCCAATTGAGTTGATGCAATGAGAGTTTGGACCACAGACCACAGGCGACTTTAGACATTCATTCACATCTTTTTTTATGGGAAGAGATGGAAAAGTTTATTAGGGGCCAAATTATGTGTTAAAATTAAATGTAATCAATGCAAAAAATAAAAATAAAAAATCACATATAAAAGCTAATTTGGTCACATTTTACAATTTGTCACCTTGGAATTATAAGGTTCTATCTGCGTTCTGAATGATTGAGATATTGAGCTGCAAAGTTGTTGCATTCCATTGCAAACAGTATGTGTGTAACATTTGTTTTTGTAAATAAAAAGTCTTAAATTGTAAACAACTTATAAAAAACATCCCATATGGTAAATAAGTTGTCATTTAATGAGAATATATTAATAACTCAATATTGACAAAAATGTCAGATAGAAACTTAAAAAACTAAGGTGATGAATTGTTTGAACAATTCTGTACAGCATTTATTTATCATAGTCAAACATTTACTACTGCATTATTAAAATACAAAGTTGTGTTTGTTAACATTAGCTAATGCATTGTGAGTTAACACAATCTACCAACTTTATTTTCAGAAATTTAATAAATGTATTGTTTGTTCTTTGTTTGTGTTTGTAAATGCATTACCTAATAAAACCATATACAGTCGTTAAGTGTCACCCTTAATTCATATTAAGAATATTATGTTACAAAAAATGGCATAAAGTATATTTTGTTAGCTTCCTAGATTATGTACTAATTAATTCAGAATTTACCTGCACATGTGTTATTGATGCTGATGGAGAGACTTGAGTTTTCTGCAGTGAAACCATCCAAACATGAGCAATTGTAACTTCCTAATTCATTTGTGCAGTTGGAATACGAACCACAGACAGGTGGACTGAACAGACATTCATCAATATCTATTGAGAAAAAAACATTTATTAATTATTTAAATCCTATTTCAATTGTAATGTCATATTTTTATCCATTTAAATTTTTTTTATTTTACCAGCTGACAATATTTACCATGACAAGAGTTGTTGACGCTCACAGGACTGTCTTTATTAGAGACATTAAATCCATTCCAGCATGAACACATGTAACCCCCAATCCTGTTAGTGCAATTTGAGTATTGACCACACACTGACGCTGCATCTTCACATTCATTGATGTCTGAAAAACGGGAAGATGATACTGTATAAAACAGTGTTTCTGAACTATCAGGAGTTACTGAATAAACTCATACTGGTCATGTTACTAAAACTACATTCAGTACAGATGAAATCTAATGGGATTTCTCACCTCTCTGGCAAAGTGACCCCTCTGAAGGGAGAGCCTGAATGCATCCACAAGTGCTTCCCACAATGCTATCACACACCTGATAGGCCACGCAGGTGTTACTGGGCCAAACATGATCCACCTCACACTTGCACTCATATTCTGTTCCATTCAACCCACACACTGTAAAACAAGGAGATTTATTTATTTGTGCTCAATCTGTGGATTTCTGCTGAAACTAAACTCATCTTAGTAAAGTTGACCACTAATAGTTAGCTAATTAAAAGTCAACCAGAGCAGGATTGTCATGGGGCTTAAACTTTTAATTGGATTATTCGATTTAATTGCAATAATAATAATAATAGTTTGAATAGTTCAATTACACACACACACACACACACACACACACACAAAAAATAAATAAAAAAATATTGATTGATTAAAACTGTAGTAATTAAAAATTAATAAAAAAAAATCCATATGAGGCATCAATTCCTGGACCGGTAAGCAAAAAGCGTGGTTGTTTAATGGCGAGAAGTCATGGTATCAAACAAATCAAGTAGAAAATTGACAAAGTGAATGAAAAAAGTTAGACAGCCAGAGTAAACTACAGAAATTATCCCAAGCATAACACTAGATAAAAAGCAGTCTAAATGCAAGTGCCATGCCAATTTGGTGAATGATCTTATGGTCGCTATATGCAATAGCCAGACAGCATATTTTTTCATTTCCTTCTTGTTATGTTGCATGTCAAGACTAAAGCTAACATTATGTAAGTGGTCTAATGAAACACTGTAAAGCCTTCATTTCTTCCTTGCTGTTGCGTGTTAAGGCTAAACGCTAACATTGTGGTCTAATGTAACGTTAAAAACCTTTATTATTTTACATGTGTACAACGGACTTTAATTGCAGCTTTTTTAATGGATAACACATTGATAGGTTGTTGTGTTGCATAAAGTACAACAGAATCATCCTATTTGTTGTGGTCGAAAACAGAATTCAGATTTGTTTTTACATGGCTATTATAAGTTATACTGTATATGGGAGGTGGAGACTCCCTTAAAAGACAATTAAAAATAGAATTATATTGGTACAGTTACATGAAACTAAAATATTGTTTTCTAGTCAATTCATCCAAATACCCTACAATTTACTATTGCATTTATTTATTGGGCATATTGTAGTTTTATCTATTAAATCAATTCTTTATCTAAATCTCACTTGACGTTACAATACGTTTTCAAATTATCTGAGAATGCCATAAAACTTTAAAAACATTTGATTAATTTATTTGATGTATGTATTTGATTAGCTCATTATATTTACTGTCATTAAGCAACATGCAGCTTGATTTATTATATTCTGCATTTATATTATTAGTCAATGTAATTTCTGGTGCAACAAAAAAAGTTTTGCCACTGTTTAAAGGTAGAATGTAGCGCAGTAGCTGCAAATAGTGTTGAATTTATTAATGTATATTGCTACTGTATGAAAAGGCATTGAGGAAAAGAAGGCATAAAGCTCTGCTGATTATTCATAAATATATATATATATATATATATATATATATATATATGTATATTTATAAATAATCAGCAAAGCTCTATACCTTTTTTTCAGACACATTCAATATTCAAATATTTGATGGTGCTGTTTTATGTATGTGCAAATTCCTAATGTCGAACATCAACACTTATTATTAGGGGAATTATTAGAAATTAGGTGGCTAATGGCTTCAATAAACAACTTCTGGTCAATTAAGACAATCTTTTGTCAGTGACAGCCCTACACACTAATATGTGACATGATGAACAGTTCTGTTCTCACCAGTATTCATGTCGATATCTGTGATATTTGTGCTGCTGCTCAGAGTCAAAGGCAGGCTGATATTTCTGACAACATTTCTTAAGTAGTCCACCAGGAACAAGTCGAAGAATCTCACATCAATGTCAATTACGTAGTCAGATGAAAGAACTGCAGGAATAAAAATTTGCAGGTAAACTGAGATTATAGCAAACAGAAACAAGCAAAAAAAAATAAAAACTATTGGAGACATTACTAATAATAAAATACAATAACATCTAAGTAGGAAAAAAAACACAAAGTAATAATTAGATGGAGAATTTAATGATGCTACAGAATGATGTCATCGTCTCACCTTGGCAGAACTGTCCATCAGCTGGAAGGCCATTGATACATGTACATGAACCATTAGTGATGACATCACAGGTATCGTATGCATGACACGTGTCATTTGGCCAAACAAACAGACCCTCACATTTACACTGATACCGCGTTTCATTCAAAGAACACACTGGAGAGCAGAAGAACAGTCCAAACATCACATATCTTCGTTTATGGAAGTATTCATGATGTATAATTTTAGATAAACAGCATCACAAAGCAGAAACAGAGATCATACCAGTAGTGATGTTGATTTCTGTAATGTTAGTGCTGTCACTGATTGTGTAGGGCAAACTGAAGTTCATCAGAAGAGTCCTCAGCTGATCTGTGATCCTACTATCAATGCTGTTGATCTCAATTTCAATCAGATATTCATTCAGAGGCAGAGACACTGAAGAAAAAGAGAAAAAAATCCACAAATTATCAATATTCCTTTTACATGCATGAAGATCAAGGAGGACAACACAAAATTTAAATGTATTATCTACATACTTACCATTGCATGGGTTACTGTTGCTGACTGGTTGATTTCGGTCTGTTACAGTAAACGCACTCAAGCAGGAACAGTTGAAATTCCCATTTGAGTTGATGCAATGAGAGTTTGGACCACAGACCCCAGGAGACTTTAGACATTCATTCACATCTTTTTTTATGGGAAGAGATGGAAAAGTTTATTAGGGGCCAAATTATGTGTTAATATTAACTGTAATCAATGCAAAATATATATAAAAAATCACATATAAAAGCTAATTTAGTCACATTTTACAATCTGTCAACTTGGAATTATAAGGTTCTATCTGCGTTCTGAATGATTGAGATATTGAGCTTCAAAGTTGTTGCATTCCATTGCAAACAGTATGTGTGTAACATTTGTTTTTGTAAATAAAAAGTCTTAAATTGTAAACAACTTATAAAAAACATCCCATAAATGTAAATAAGTTGTCATTTAATGAGAATATATTAATAACTCAATATTGACAAAAATGTCAGATAGAAACTTATAATTCTAAGGTGACGAATTGTTTGAACAATTCTGTACAGCATTTATTTATCATAGTCAAACATTTACTACTGCATTATTAAAATACAAAGTTGTGTTTGTTAACATTAGCTAATGCATTGTGAGTTAACACAATCTACCAACTTTATTTTCAGAAATTTAATACATTTATAGCTTGTTATTTGTTTGTGTTTGTAAATGCATTACCTAATAAAACCATATACAGTCGTTAAGTGTTACCCTTAATTCATATTAAGAAAATTATGTTACATAAAATGGCATAAAGTATATTTTCTTAGCTTCCTGGATTATATAGTATTTAATTCAGAATTTACCTGCACATGTGTTATTGATGCTGATGGAGAGACTTGAGTTTTCTGCAGTGAAACCATCCAAACATGAGCAATTGTAACTTCCTAATTCATTTGTGCAGTTGGAATATGGACCACAGACAGGTGGACTGAACAGACATTCATCAATATCTATTGAGAGAAAAAGATTTATTAATTATTTAAATCATATTTCAATTGTGATGTCATATTTTATTCATTTAAATTGCTTATTTTACCAGCTGACAATATTTACCATGACAAGAGTTGTTGACGCTCACAGGACTGTCTTTATTAGAGACATTAAATCCATTCCAGCATGAACACATGTAACCACCAATCCTGTTAGTGCAATCTGAGTATTGACCACACACTGACGCTGCATCTTCACATTCATTGATGTCTGAAAAACAGGAAGATGATACTGCATAAAAACAATGTTTCTGAATAATCAGGAGTTACTGAATAAACTCATACTGGTCATGTTACTAAAACTACATTCAGTACAGATGAAATCTAATGGGATTTCTCACCTCTCTGGCAAAGTGACCCCTCTGAAGGGAGAGCCTGAATGCATCCACAAGTGCTTCCCACAATGCTATCACACACCTGATAGGCCTTGCAGGTGTTACTGGACCAAACATGATCCACCTCACACTTGCACTCATATTCTGTTCCATTCAACCCACACACTGTAAAACAAGGAGATTTATTTATTTGTGCTCAATCTGTGGATTTCAGCTAAAACTAAACTCATCTTAGTATGTGACAAGATGAACAGTTCTGTTCTCACCAGTGTTCATGTCGATATCTGTGATATTTGTGCTGCTGCTCAGAGTCAAAGGCAGGCTGATATTTCTGACAACATTTCGTAAGTAGTCCACCAGGAAAAAGTCGAAGAATCTAACATCAATGTCAATCACGTAGTCAGATGAAAGAACTGCAGGAATAAAAATTTGCAGGTAAACTGAGATTATTGCAAACAGGAACAAGCAAAAAAACAATCTGAGACATCACTAATATTAAAATACAATGACATCTAAGTAGTGTAACAAATATGGCCGACCAGACACATAAATATTTTGCATTTTATTCCACAACCAGCCAACTTTGCCCAGAGAAGGCTCGAAACCTGATTCCAAGGTATTTACGACCCAAAGGAATGTGCCATGCGGCATTAAACACAGGAACGACTTAGAAAGGACTCTTTAAACTGCTTGTTTAACACTGACGTTTTCATATAAACTTTACTCTCTTTATGTTTAATAATATGTTTTGCAAAGTTTCCCTTTCTCTTGTATTAATATTTTTGGTTTTAATACCCCTGCATATAATGTTTTAACTGTACCTAGGCTAAACAACCTCTTATACTGTTCAAGTTTGGACTTTTCGAAAAGCTTACTCGCTGTACAAATTGATCGTTGACATTTTATTTTAATATGAGTGCAACATATTAATGTTTTAAGAGACTTAAACATTTTTGTCCCGATTTACATAAAATTTGCCTATGCAAATTATTCTGCCTCGGACAAAGACCCATGAATGTAATATTCCAGGAAGTTAGCTTCTAATTGGTCAACTTTCCATGGAGGGTGGATCCGAACCCGCCCTATAAAAGTTGAAGACCAAGTCAAACTCTCTTGGGACCTGCTCTTCGCCGACCTCTCTGTTCAAACTCTCCTGGGACCTCCCTTGGCTCTCTCTGCTCTGAAACACGCTGCCTGGGAGCTCCCCCTCTCTCTCCCAACTCCAAGCAATCCCCCCCCCCCCCCCTCTCTGCTCCAAAGGCCTCTGTTTTGAAACCTTCTTCAAACTCAGCAACTTCCTCACAAACCCAGACAGAAAGGGTTAATTGCATCGTGCTCTGACATTTCAAGGTTCAGAAACTTTTGCAACGTCAACCTCAAACACTGCAACCCTTGGGAGAACAAAGGATCAGCCAACCAACCACGTGCTCAACAACGGGAGCTCGGACACCACGAACAGCCCGCAAGGATTACCTTCCTCCCAACATCTAAACTGGTGTGAACTAAATTAACCCTAAAGAGACAATAGAAGGGTTATAGTGAATTTGATTACGTTTGGTTTGCTTGGTCTGTGCTTACAAACCCCAAGTTTTTTTTTCCCATCATTACACCTTCTCAACCTCTTACCTCACGTTACTCTCCCCTATGCTTGTATCAATGTGTGTTTGTGTTAGGTGTTAGTTTTTGTTAGATTAGTCAATAAAGTTTAATTTTGTATAAAGAAAGGTGCCTGTGTATATTAATGAATCTAATGTGTTGAACTTTGATCTTGCTACCCTGCTCAACTTTGTTGATTGCATCGCTGAACGATTCGGTTGTTCGGAGCAAAAGAGTGGATTCATTTGAAGCTCAGTTCAAATGAATCTTCCTCCCGCCAAGCTAATCCGCTATATAATGTTCTAGAACAGTGGTCACCAAACTTGTTCCTGGAGGGCCGGTGTCCTGCAGATTTTAGCTCAAACCCTAATCAAACACACCTGAACAAGCTAATCAAGGTCTTACTAGGTATACTTGAAACATTTAGGCAGGTGTGTTGAGGCAAGTTGGAGCTAAATCCTGCAGGGACACCGGCCCTCCAGGACCGAGATTGGTGACCCCTGTTCTAGAAGGTACACGAGCCTTGAAATCTGAATCATAACTCGCAACATTATAACTGCGGAAAAGGCGCGGAAAGAATAACTTTGAGTTAATTTACTACAGTAATAATGGTGTAGATATGCGAGCACTTTAATCTACAGTATAGTTTGTCACAGATTATTAATGTGGATATGCGTGCAGGTTAATCTATATTATTATTATGATGTGTTACCTGTTTATTTGTGGAGAATAAACAAAGCATGAAATATGTAATTTTACAGTAGGAAAAAAATACAAAGTAATAATTAGATGGAGAATTTGATGAAGCTACAGAATGATGTCAACTTCTCACCTTGGCAGAACTGTCCATCAGCTGGAAGGCCATTTATACATGTGCATGAACCATTAGTGATGACATCACAGGCCTCATATGCATGACACGTGTCATTTGGCCAAACAAACAGACCCTCACATTTACACTGATACCGCGTTTCATTCAAAGAACACACTGGAGAGCAGAAGAACAGTCCAAACATCACATATCTTCATTTATGGAAGTATTCATGATGTATAATTTTAGATAAACAGCATCACAAAGCAGAAACAGAGATCATACCAGTAGTGATGTTGATTTCTGTAATGTTAGTGCTGTCACTGATTGTGTAGGGCAAACTGAAATTCATCAGAAGAGTCCTCAGCTGATCAGTGATCCTACTATCAATGCTGTTGATCTCAATTTCAATCAGATATTCAGTCAGAGGCAGAGACACTGTAGAAAAAGAGAAGAAAATCCACAAATTATCAATATTCCTTTTACATGCATGAAGATCAAGGAGGACAACACAAAATTTAAATGTATTATCTACATATTTACCATTGCATGGGTTACTGTTGCTGGCTGGTTGATTTCGGTCTGTTACAGTAAACGCACTCAAGCAGGAACAGTTGAAATTCCCAATTGAGTTGATGCAATGAGAGTTTGGACCACAGACCTCAGGTGACTTTAGACATTCATTCACATCTTTTTTTATGGGAAGAGATGGAAAAGTTTAGTAGGGGTCAAATTATGTGTTAATATTAACTGTAATCAATGCAAAAAATATATAAAAAAATCACATATAAAAGCTAATTTGGTCACATTTTACAATTTGGCAACTTGGAATTATAAGGTTCTATCTGCGTTCTGAATGATTGAGATATTGAGCTTCAAAGTTGTTGCATTCCATTGCAAACAGTATGTGTGTAACATTTGTTTTTGTAAATAAAAAGTCCTAAATTGTAAACAACTTATAAAAACATCCTATTATGTAAATAAGTTGTCATTTAATGAGAATATATTAATAACTCAATATTGACAAAAATGTCAGATAGAAACTTATAAATCTAAGGTGATGAATTGTTTGAACAATTCTGTACAGCATTTATTTATCATAGTCAAACATTTACTAATGCAATAATAAAATACAAAGTTGTGTTTGTTAACATTAGCTAATGCATTGTGAGTTAACACAATCTACCAACTTTATTTTCAGAAATTTAATACATTTATAGCTTGTTATTTGTTTGTGTTTGTAAATGCATTACCTAATAAAACCATATACAGTCGTTAAGTGTTACCCTTAATTCATATTTAGAAAATTATGTTACAAAAAATGGCATAAAGTATATTTTGTTAGCTTCCTAGATTATATACTAATTAATTCAGAATTTACCTGCACATGTGTTATTGATGCTGATGGAGAGACTTGAGTTTTCTGCAGTGAAACCATCCAAACATGAGCAATTGTAACTTCCTAATTCATTTGTGCAGTTGGAATATGGACCACAGACAGGTGGACTGAACAGACATTCATCAATATCTATTGAGAGAAAAAGATTTATTAATTATTTAAATCATATTTCAATTGTGATGTCATATTTTATTCATTTAAATTGCTTATTTTACCAGCTGACAATATTTACCATGACAAGAGTTGTTGACGCTCACAGGACTGTCTTTATTAGAGACATTAAATCCATTCCAGCATGAACACATGTAACCACCAATCCTGTTAGTGCAATCTGAGTATTGACCACACACTGACGCTGCATCTTCACATTCATTGATGTCTGAAAAACAGGAAGATGATACTGCATAAAAACAATGTTTCTGAATAATCAGGAGTTACTGAATAAACTCATACTGGTCATGTTACTAAAACTACATTCAGTACAGATGAAATCTAATGGGATTTCTCACCTCTCTGGCAAAGTGACCCCTCTGAAGGGAGAGCCTGAATGCATCCACAAGTGCTTCCCACAATGCTATCACACACCTGATAGGCCTTGCAGGTGTTACTGGACCAAACATGATCCACCTCACACTTGCACTCATATTCTGTTCCATTCAACCCACACACTGTAAAACAAGGAGATTTATTTATTTGTGCTCAATCTGTGGATTTCAGCTAAAACTAAACTCATCTTAGTATGTGACATGATGAACAGTTCTGTTCTCACCAGTGTTCATGCCGATATCTGTGATATTTGTGCTGCTGCTCAGAGTCAAAGGCAGGCTGATATTTCTGACAACATTTCTTAAGTAGTCCACCAGGAACAAGTCGAAGAATCTAACATCAATGTCAATCACGTAGTCAGATGAAAGAACTGCAGGAATAAAAATTTGCAGGTAAACAGATATTATTGCAAACAGGAACAAGCAAAAAAAAAACAATCTGAGACATCACTAATATTAAAATACAATGACATCTAAGTAGGAAAAAAATACAAAGTAATAATTAGATGGAGAATTTAATGATGCTACAGAATGATGTCATCGTCTCACCTTGGCAGAACTGTCCATCAGCTGGAAGGCCATTGATACATGTGCATGAACCATTAGTGATGACATCACAGGCATCATATGCATGACACGTGTCATTTGGCCAAACAAACAGACCCTCACATTTACACTGATACCGCGTTTCATTCAAAGAACACACTGGAGAGTAAAAGAAGAGTCTAAACATCAGATATCTTGATTTATGGAAGTATTCATGATGTATAATTTTAGATAAACAGCATCACAAAGCAGAAACAGAGATCATACCAGTAGTGATGTTGATTTCTGTAATGTTAGTGCTGTCACTGATTGTGTAGGGCAAACTGAAATTCATCAGAAGAGTCCTCAGCTGATCAGAGATCCTACTATCAATGCTGTTGATCTCAATTTCAATCAGATATTCAGTCAGAGGCAGAGACACTGTAGAAAAAGAAAGAAGAGAGAAAAAACACAATTAAGTGTTTTTTAACAATAATTAATTAATAACATTTGGAAAATGTTATATAAAAAAAAAAAAAAATATATATATATATATATATATATATATATATATAGTACAAATACATTTAGACTAACCATTGCATGGGTTACTGTTGCTGACTGGTTGATTTCGGTCTGTTACAGTAAACGCACTCAAGCAGGAACAGTTGAAACTTCCAATTGAGTTGTTGCAATGAGAGTTTGGACCACAGACCTCAAGTGACTTTAGACATTCATTCACATCTTTATTAAGAGAAGAGATGAAAAAGCAGTGTCGCTTTTAGTAACAGTTATACAAATACTATGATTCGGGTCATGTATATTATTTAAGGTTTGGCTGTGAGAAACTAAATGGAAAAGCAGAGAATGAGCAAAACACAAATGCAGTTGTAAGAAATAATATTTGTGTAATGATCACCAGCAGTGTTGTCTGTAAGTTATCAAGATCCCAAAGTGTGCAAGTGTTTCGAAATACTACAACAAAGCATGATCCAAAACACCCAGCTCACATGACTAAAGTGTTTAAAGATACCAGGTCACATGATTAAAGCGATTCAAAGCATTTGTAATTTCAGAAGCATTTTGAGACTGGTCAAATCAGCGTTTGACCGACGAGGTCAGGTAAAAACCTCTATGCCATGTAGCCTAGTGGACCATGTGTGTACATAGAGAACTTGTGCTGCAAGTTGATTAGCATTGTATGTAATGATCATTGTAATTAATTGATTGTTAAAGTTATCTTTTACCACCAACTTTATTTATATGATCTTTAAAAAATTACAAAACATCAAACATTTTAGAATCTCATTGTACATTTTGACATCTACAGAGAATAAACAAGGATCCTAATTGTTATCTTAAAAAGATAATGAACCTACTGTTAAACACATTTCCTTAACAAAATCAAAACAATAACAAATATAGACATGCAAAGCTATTTTCCAAAACTACATACAAAATCACATGCAAGAATTTACCTTCACATGTGTTGTTGATGCTGACGGAGAAGCTTGAGTTTATTGCAGTGAAACCATTCAAACATGAGCAATTGTAACTTCCTAATTCATTTGTGCAGTTGGAATATGGACCACAGACAGGTGGACTGAACAGACATTCATCTTTATCTATTGAGAAAAAAGTTGTATTAATTGTTTTAATCACTTTCAATTGTGATGCCATTATTGTAATGCTGCATTTTATTTAGTTTAAATTACTAGTTTTAATTCACACACAAAAGATCTCTAAAATGCTAAAGTGAAAAAACAGAACAGAAATCAAAACCAGCTGATGATATTTACCATGACAAGAGTTGTTGACGCTCACAGGACTGTCTTCATTAGAGACATTAAATCCATTCCAGCATGAACACATGTAACCCCCAATTCTGTTAGTACAGTCTGAGTATTGACCACACACTGACGCTGCATCTTCACATTCATTGATGTCTGAAAAACAGGAAGATTATACTGCATAAAACAGTTTTTCTGAACTATCAGGAGTTACTGAATAAACTCATACTGGTCATGTTACTAAAACTACATTCAGTACAGATGAAATCTAATGGGATTTCTCACCTCTCTGGCAAAGTGACCCCTCTGAAGGCAGAGCCTGAATGCATCCACAAGTGCTTCCCACAATGCTATCACACACCTGAAAGGCCTTGCAGGTGTTACTGGGCCAAACATGATCCACCTCACACTTGCACTCATATTCTGTTCCATTCAACCCACACACTGTAAAACAAGGAGATTTATTTATTTGTGCTCAATCTGTGGATTTCTGCTGAAACAAACTCATCTAAGTATATGACATGATGAACAGTTCTGTTCTCACCGGTATTCATGTCGATGTCTGTGATATTTGTGCTGCTGCTCAGAGTCAAAGGCAGGCTGATATTTCTGACAATATTTCGTAAGTAGTCCACCAGGAGCAAGTCAAAGAATTTCATATCAATGTCAATCACGTAGTCTGACAAAAGAACTACAAAAACAAACAAAAACAAGCACAAAATCTGTGACAAAACTAATATTAAAACACAATAACATCCAAGTAGGAAAAAAAACAAAAGCAATTATTAGAGGGAGAAATTGATGATGTTGCAGAATGATGTCATCGTCTCACCTTGGCAGAACTGTCCATCAGCTGGAAGGCCATTGATACATGTGCATGAACCATTAGTGATGACATCACAGGCATCGTATGCATGACACGTGTCATTTGGCCAAACAAACAGACCCTCACATTTACACTGATACCGCGTTTCATTCAAAGAACACACTGGAGAGCAGAAGAAGAGTCCAAACATCAGATATCTTCAATTATGGAAGTATTCATGATGTATAATTTTAGACAAACAGCATCAAAAAGCAGAAACGGAGATCATACCAGTAGTGATGTTGATTTCTGTAATGTTAGTGCTGTCACTGATTGTGTAGGGCAAACTGAAATTCATCAGAAGAGTCCTCAACTGATCAGTGATCCAACTATCAATGCTGTTGATCACAATTTCAATCACATATTCAGTCAGAGGCAGAGACACTGTAGAAAAAGAGAAAAAAATAGATAAATTTCAGCATATTTTTGAAAAACTATTAAATATATAGTTTTTAAGTATAAAAGTATTAATAGATCATTAATTTTAAGCTACAATAATTAAATACAACTTTATTTTATTTATTCTTAACATGTGTTTAAGCAGATTTTATCAAAGCTAATAATCAAGTATTAAACATCAAGTCAAATATTAATCAAAATCAATATTTCTGTCATGTTTACTCAAAAAAATGAATAAAAAGATGATGCAATATATTTTGACATACCATTGCATGGGTTACTGTTGCTGACTGGTTGATTTCTGTCTGTTACAGTAAACGCACTCAAGCAGGAACAGTTGAAACTCCCAATTGAGTTGATGCAATGAGAGTTTGGACCACAGACCTCTGATGACTTTAGACATTCATTCACATCTTTATAACAAATTGAAAAAATAAAAAATGTTGATATTAAATTACTTTTTAATGAATAAGTGTAATTCAATAAATTAGGATATTAATGAACTTCCACATGCAGCTGTAAGAAATACTAAATTTAATAATTTTAACAAACTGATAAAAAAAACACCAGGGGGATAGTTCACACAATACTGAAAATTTGGCCTTTTTTATTGACTTTTTACTTGGTCCAAACCTGTTTGACTTTCATTATTCTGTTAAACACAAAAAGCTATTTTGAAGAAGGTTGGAAACCTGTAACTATTTACTTTCATTGTATTTGTTTGCCCAATATGCAAGTCATAGGTTACAGGCTTTCAGCTTGCTTCAAATATCTTATTTTCTGTTCAACAGAGTAAAGAAACTCAATTCTTTAGAACAACTTAAGGGAGAGTAAACAGTTAGTACATTTTCATACTTGGATGAACTATGCCATTTAGATAAAGCATATAATGTTATAAGACCAAATCGCAAAGAGCTTAAAATCAAAAGCACAAAAAGACAAACTTATAGACAAAATTAATTCAGAATTTACCTTCACATGTGTTATTGATGCTGATGGAAAGACTTGAGTTTCTTGCAGTGAAACCATCCAAACATGAGCAATTGTAACTTCCTAATTCATTTGTGCAGTTGGAATATGGACCACAGACAGGTGGACTGAACAGACATTCATCAATATCTATTGAGAAAAAAGTTATAATTTTTTTAAATAAAACTTGAATTGTAATACCAATATTGCAATGTTACATTATAATTAGTTTAAATTACTTATTTTAATTTAGACATAAAACGACCTCTGGAATCTAAAGAAAAACATCATAAAAGACATCAAAACCAGCTGACAAAATTTACCACGACAAGAGTTGTTGACGCTCACAGGACTGTCTTTATAAGAGACATTAAATCCATTCCAGCATGAACACATGTAACCCCCAATCCTGTTAGTACAATCTGAGTATTGACCACACACTGACGCTGCATCTTCACATTCATTGATGTCTGAAAAACAGGAAGATTATACTGCATAAAACAGTTTTTCTGAACTATCAGGAGTTACTGAATAAACTCATACTGGTCATGTTACTAAAACTACATTCAGTACAGATGAAATCTAATGGGATTTCTCACCTCTCTGGCAAAGTGACCCCTCTGAAGGCAGAGCCTGAATGCATCCACAAGTGCTTCCCACAATGCTATCACACACCTGATAGGCCTTGCAGGTGTTACTGGGCCAAACATGATCCACCTCACACTTGCACTCATATTCTGTTCCATTCAACCCACACACTGTAAAACAAGGAGATTTATTTATTTGTGCTCAATCTGTGGATTTCTGCTGAAACTAAACTCATCTTAGTATGTGACATGATGAACAGTTCTGTTCTCACCAGTGTTCATGCCGATATCTGTGATATTTGTGCTGCTGCTCAGAGTCAAAGGCAGGCTGATATTTCTGACAATATTTCGTAAGTTGTCAACCAGGACCAAGTCGAAGAATCTCACATCAATGTCAATCACGTAGTCAGAAGTAAGAACTGAAGGAAAAAAAATTCTGGTTAACAAAATCTACACAATTATTTTCCTGTTTTGTTATATATATTAAAAAAATCTGTAGTTTGTTTCCAATGATTTTGTTTTCCAACAAAAATGTGTCTGATAACATGCACCTCAAAGCCTGATATTAATACAAAAGTTGTGTTGATTGTATATTAATGCAACACAATCTCAGGGCAATTTGTAAGTTATTGATTTACTGGCTAATTTGTACAATTTAGCATTTGCTTATCCCCTAATGATGGTTGGGCTTAGGGGTGAGGCTGTGTGTGATGCCTCCTTTTTAAAATCGTACATTTTTGAATGAGTAAACTCAATCATATCCAATCAGCTACTTAACAGACAAAACGTAAAATAGTAACTTTTTCTCATGAGATCAGGCTGATTAATGACACAGCTTCAATAGAACATGTGTTTTATACAAAGCTCTTTGCAAAAAACAAACAAATAAAGCGAGCACATAATCTGTCTACTGCAACAGTAGTAATATAATCTAATAAAAACAAGGCAGGAAAACATAAAAAATCAAGAAAAAGATTCACCTTGGCAGAACTGTCCATCAGCTGGAAGGCCATTGATACATGTACATGAACCATTAGTGATGACATCACAGGCCACGTATGCGTGACACGTGTCATTTGGCCAAACAAACAGACCCTCACATTTACACTGATACCGAGTTTCATTCAAAGAACACACTGGAGAGCAGAAGAGTCCAAACATCACATATCTTCATTTATGGAAGTATTCATGATGTATAATTTTAGACAAACAGCATCAAAAAGCAGAAACAGAGATCATACCAGTAGTGATGTTGATTTCTGTAATGTTAGTGCTGTCACTGATTGTGTAGGGCAAACTGAAGTTCATCAGAAGAGTCCTCAGCTGATCAGTGATCCTACTATCAATGCTGTTGATCTCAATTTCAATCAGATATTCAGTCAGAGGCAGAGACACTGTAGAAAAAGAGAAAAGGGAGAAAAACACAATGGAATGTTTTTTTTAACAATAATTAATTAATAACATTTAATAATTTAACACATATTTAGGAATAATAACAGCATTTTGGATCAATTTGTCTGCATGGTTTACTTGCAAAAAAAAAAAAATGAATACTAGTAAAAATACATTTAGATATATACCATTGCATGGGTTACTGTTGCTGACTGGTTGATTTCGGTCTGTTACAGTAAACGCACTCAAGCAGGAACAGTTGAAACTCCCAATTGAGTTGATGCAATAAGAGTTTGGACCACAGACCTCTGATGACTTTAGACATTCATTCACATCTTTTTTAAGGGAAGAGACGAAAAAAGCAGTGTAACTTTTAGTAACAGTTATACAAATACTATGACTCGGGTCATGTACATTATTTAAGGTTTGGCTGTGAGAAACTAAATGGAAAAGCAGAGAATGAGCAAAACACAAATGCAGTTTAAAGAAATAATATTTGTGTAATGATCACCAGCAGTGTTGTCTGTAAGTTATCGAGATCACAAAGTGTGCAAGTGTTTAAAGACACCAGTTCACATGACTAATGTGTTTAAAGACACCAGGTCACATGACTAAAGTGTTTAAAGACACCAGGTCACATGATTAAAGTGTTTAAAGACACCTGGGGCCTCATGTATGAAGACTTGCGTTAAAATCATACTAAAACATTGCGTACGCACAAAGCTGTAAATGTAAAAAATTCAGATGTATGAAACACTGCTTTTGCGAAATCCCACGCATATTCTCTTTGTACATGCAAATTAACATGAAACTGAGCGCACATGCATGAGCGCAAATCCCCTCCCTGCCTCCTCCCCCATATGAATATGCTAATGACTCTACTTTGGCAAAACCAAATGAAAAAGCAATGGCAAAAGCAGGCAAAAAGAGTAAATTTGTACAGAATGTGAATTGGAGGTGCTCCTATCGGAGGTAGACGGGAGAAAAACTGTTATTTGCAAGTTTGTCCTCCGGAATTAATAACAAAAGAACAAATAGAGTGGGAAAGTTTAGCTGATGCGGTTAACGCAGTTGGGTCTGAACATCGCACTGTGAGTAATTAAAAAAGAAATGGTCCAGTGTAAAGGTGTAATACTTTGTAGTGTCTATAGCAGTGTGAGTGGCGTAGCTCGTAAAGCGCATGGCAACATGTTTTGACACGTTTGAGCATGAACTCGGTTCAGATCCAGCATCTGATCTGACTCATTCTTCTTTTTTTCCCCAATACATACTGTGTCAAATGTTGCCTACTCTTCATCACGAGGAAGACAAGTAGGAATCATTAATAAGTGTGTGCATTATGTTAGGCGCATTTGAGCATCACATATTATTTGCACATTTATCGAATGGAAATGTTTCTGATTCACATGTGCAAATTTGTTTTCAGATGGTGCCTTTATAGCAATGTGTGTGCAGTGGATCACTCTGATTACATTGGTAAAACCGCCCGGCGACCGCTGCAAATTGAGCTTTCATATTTGGCTGGTCAACTGCACAGTATAAAAACCTTATTAACCTGCTAGACATGCGGATGATCCCATCACATACAGCTGTCATTGCACGACTCAAATATACTTTGTAGTGTGCAATTTAACATAATTGTCTCTAGGAGTGGCAAACGGAAATAAAACAAATGTAACTCCGCCGGTCCTACGCCACCCACCCCACTCCGAGCTGGTATCGAACCGGCGACCTTTCGCATGGGAGTCGGTTGCTCTACCAAGGAGGCTAAAGACCATAGCCTCTAGTGTCTGTCGCTAGAGCACCTTTAGAGGTCAGAGGAGTGAGGTTTACCTGCACAGCAGTTACTAGCTGGCCTACATTACACACACACACACACAAAAAAAATGCTTGTACGCCATACATGAAGTTGCTGTGGAGCAACGCACATTCTCAAGTTTATTTAATTGTTAGTAAATCCAAACGTAAGCGTGAAATCTGGCGCACGCAAAGTTTTTGTGCCTACACAGCATTGACACATGAGGCCCCAGATTAATTGATTATTAAAGTTATCTTTTACCACCAACTTTATTTATATGATCTTTAAAAAATTACAAAACATCAAACATTTTAGAATCTCATTGTACATATTGACATCTATAGAGAATATACAAGGATCCTAATTGTTATCTTAAAAAGATAATGAACCTACTGTTAAACACATTTCCTTAACAAAATCAAAACAATAACAAATATAGACATGCAAAGCTATTTTCCAAAACTACATACAAAATCACATGCAAGAATTTACCTTCACATGTGTTGTTGATGCTGACGGAGAAGCTTGAGTTTATTGCAGTGAAACCATCCAAACATGAGCAATTGTAACTTCCTAATTCATTTGTGCAGTTGGAATATGGACCACAGACAGGTGGACTGAACAGACATTCATCTTTATCTATTGAGAAAAAAGTTGTATTAATTGTTTTAATCACTTTTAATTGTGATGTAATTATTGTAATGCTGCATTTTATTTAGTTTAAATTACTAGTTTTAATTCTCACACAAAAGATCTCTAAAATGCTAAAGTGAAAAAACAGAACAGAAATCAAAACCAGCTGATGATATTTACCATGACAAGAGTTGTTGACGCTCACAGGACTGTCTTCATTAGAGACATTAAATCCATTCCAGCAGGAACACATGTAACCCCCAATCCTGTTAGTACAGTCTGAGTATTGACCACACACTGACGCTGCATCTTCACATTCATTGATGTCTGAAAAACAGGAAGATGATACTGTATAAAACAGTGTTTCTGAACTATCAGGAGTTACTGAATAAACTCATACTGGTCATGTTACTAAAACTACATTCAGTACAGATGAAATCTAATGTGATTTCTCACCTCTCTGGCAAAGTGACCCCTCTGAAGGGAGAGCCTGAATGCATCCACAAGTGCTTCCCACAATGCTATCACACACCTGATAGGCCATGCAGGTGTTACTGGGCCAAACATGATCCACCTCACACTTGCACTCATATTCTGTTCCATTCAACCCACACACTGTAAAACAAGGAGATTTATTTATTTGTGCTTAATCTGTGGATTTCTGCTGAAACTAAACTCATCTTAGTATGTGACATGATGAACAGTTCTGTTCTCACCAGTGTTCATGTCGATATCTGTGATATTTGTGCTGCTGCTCAGAGTCAAAGGCAGGCTGATATTTCTGACAATATTTCGTAAGTTGTCAACCAGGACCAAGTCGAAGAATCTCACATCAATGTCAATCACGTAGTCTGACAAAAGAACTACAAGAACAAACAAAAACAAGCACAAAATCTGTGACAAAACTAATATTAAAACACAATAACATCCAAGTAGGAAAAAAAACAAAAGCAATTATTAGAGGGAGAAATTGATGATGTTGCAGAATGATGTCATCGTCTCACCGTGGCAGAACTGTCCATCAGCTGGAAGGCCATTAATACATGTACATGAACCATTAGTGATGACATCACAGGCATCATATGCATGACACGTGTCATTTGGCCAAACAAACAGACCCTCACATTTACACTGATACCGAGTTTCATTAAAAGAACACACTGGAGAGCAGAAGAAGAATCCAAACATCAGATATCTTCGTTTATGGAAGTATTCATGATGTATAATTTTAGATAAACAGCATCACAAAGCAGAAACAGAGATCATACCAGTAGTGATGTTGATTTCTGTAATGTTAGTGCTGTCACTGATTGTGTAGGGCAAACTGAAATTCATCAGAAGAGTCCTCAGCTGATCAGTGATCCTACTATCAATGCTGTTGATCTCAATTTCAATCACATATTCAGTCAGAGGCAGAGACACTGTAGAAAAAGAGAAAAAAATAGATAAATTTCAGCATATTTTTGAAAAACTATTAAATATATAGTTTTTAAGTATAAAAGTATTAATAGATCATTAATTTTAAGCTACAATAATTAAATACAACTTTATTTTATTTATTCTTAACATGTGTTTAAGCAGATTTTATCAAAGCTAATAATCAAGTATTAAACATCAAGTCAAATATTAATCAAAATCAATATTTCTGTCATGTTTACTCAAAAAATGAATAAAAAGATGATGCAATATATTTTGACATACCATTGCATGGGTTACTGTTGCTGACTGGTTGATTTCTGTCTGTTACAGTAAACGCACTCAAGCAGGAACAGTTGAAACTCCCAATTGAGTTGAAGCAATGAGAGTTTGGACCACAGACCTCTGATGACTTTAGACATTCATTCACATCTTTATAACAAATTGAAAAAATAAGAAATGTTGATATTAAATTACTTTTTAATGAACGAGTGTAATTCAATAAATTAGGATATTAATGAACTTCCACATGCAGCTGTAAGAAATACTAAATTTAATAATTTTAACAAACTGATAAAAAAAACACCAGGGGGATAGTTCACACAATACTGAAAATTTGGCCTTTTTTATTGACTTTTTACTTGGTCCAAACCTGTTTGACTTTCATTATTCTGTTAAACACAAAAAGCTATTTTGAAGAAGGTTGGAAACCTGTAACTATTTACTTTCATTGTATTTGTTTGCCCAATATGCAAGTCATAGGTTACAGGCTTTCAGCTTGCTTCAAATATCTTATTTTCTGTTCAACAGAGTAAAGGAACTCAATGCTTTGGGACAACTTAAGGGAGAGTAAACAGTTAGTACATTTTCATACTTGGATGAACTATGCCATTTAGATAAAGCATATAATGTTATAAGACCAAATCGCAAAGAGCTTAAAATCAAAAGCACAAAAAGACAAACTTATAGACAAAATTAATTCAGAATTTACCTTCACATGTGTTATTGATGCTGATGGAGAGACTTGAGTTTCTTGCAGTGAAACCATCCAAACATGAGCAATTGTAACTTCCTAATTTATTTGTGCAGTTGGAATATGGACCACAGACAGGTGGACTGAACAGACATTCATCAATATCTATTGAGAAAAAAGTTATAATTTTTTAAATAAAACTTGAATTGTAATACCAATATTGCAATGTTACATTATAATTAGTTTAAATTACTTATTTTAATTTAGACATAAAACGAACTCTGGGATCTAAAGAAAAACATCATAAAAGACATCAAAACCAGCTGACAAAATTTACCATGACAAGAGTTGTTGACGCTCACAGGACTGTCTTTATAAGAGACATTAAATCCATTCCAGCATGAACACATGTAACCCCCAATCCTGTTAGTACAATCTGAGTATTGACCACACACTGACGCTGCATCTTCACATTCATTGATGTCTGAAAAACAGGAAGATGATTCTGCATAAAACAGTTTTTCTGAACTATCAGGAGTTACTGAATAAACTCATACTGGTCATGTTACTAAAACTACATTCAGTACAGATGAAATCTAATGTGATTTCTCACCTCTCTGGCAAAGTGACCCCTCTGAAGGGAGAGCCTGAATGCATCCACAAGTGCTTCCCACAATGCTATCACACACCTGATAGGCCTTGCAGGTGTTACTGGGCCAAACATGATCCACCTCACACTTGCACTCATATTCTGTTCCATTCAACCCACACACTGTAAAACAAGGAGATTTATTTATTTGTGTTCAATCTGTGGATTTCTGCTGAAACTAAACTCATCTTAGTATGTGACATGATGAACAGTTCTGTTCTCACCAGTGTTCATGTCGATATCTGTGATATTTGTGCTGCTGCTCAGAGTCAAAGGCAGGCTGATATTTCTGACAATATTTCGTAAGTTGTCAACCAGGACCAAGTCGAAGAATCTCACATCAATGTCAATCACGTAGTCAGAAGTAAGAACTGAAGGAAAAAAAAATTCTGGTTAACAAAATCTACACAATTATTTTCCTGTTTTGTTATATATATTAAAAAAATCTGTAGTTTGTTTTCAATGATTTTGTTTTCCAACAAAAATGTGTCTAATAACATGCACGTCAAAGCCTGATATTAATACAAAAGTTGTGTTGATTGTATATTAATGCAACACAATCTCAGGGCAATTTGTAAGTTATTGATTTACTGGCTAATTTGTACAATTTAGCATTTGCTTATCCCCTAATGATGGTTGGGCTTAGGGGTGAGGCTGTGTGTGATGCCTCCTTTTTAAAATCGTACATTTTTGAATGAGTAAACTCAATCATATCCAATCAGCTACTTAACAGACAAAACGTAAAATAATAACTTTTTCTCATGAGATCAGGCTGATTAATGACACAGCTTCAATAGAACATGTGTTTTATACAAAGTTCTTTGCAAAAAACAAACAAATAAAGCGAGCACATAATCTGTCTACTGCAACAGTAGTAATATAATCTAATAAAAACAAGGCAGGAAAACATAAAAAATCAAGAAAAAGATTCACCTTGGCAGAACTGTCCATCAGCTGGAAGGCCATTGATACATGTACATGAACCATTAGAGATGACATCACAGGCCACGTATGCGTGACACGTGTCATTTGGCCAAACAAACAGACCCTCACATTTACACTGATACCGAGTTTCATTCAAAGAACACACTGGAGAGCAGAAGAGTCCAAGCATCACATATCTTCATTTATGGAAGTATTCATGATGTATAATTTTAGATAAACAGCATCAAAAAGCAGAAACAGAGATCATACCAGTAGTGATGTTGATTTCTGTAATGTTAGTGCTGTCACTGATTGTGTAGGGCAAACTGAAATTCATCAGAAGAGTCCTCAGCTGATCAGAGATCCTACTATCAATGCTGTTGATCTCAATTTCAATCAGATATTCAGTCAGAGGTAGAGACACTGTAGAAACATAGAAAAAAACATCTTGAAATTATGACTGCTTTAAAAAATCACTAATTCAAAACCTTTATTAATTTTAATATGTATTAAGCATAATAATAGATTGAATAAACATTTTTAGCTAGGATTACTTAAAAAAATAAACAACAACAACAACAACAAAAACAACAAAAACATCACAAATAATAAATAAACAATGATAAAAACTTTTTGATATACTTACCATTGCATGGGTTACTGTTGCTGACTGGTTGATTTCGGTCTGTTACAGTAAACGCACTCAAGCAGGAACAGTTGAAACTCCCAATTGAGTTGTTGCAATGAGAGTTTGGACCACAGACCTCTGATGTACTTAGACATTCATTCACATCTTTTTTTATAGGAAGAGTTGGAAAAAAGTGTTGTCAATTTTAGTAACAACTAAGCAAACATGAAGATTCAGGACATGTAAAGTAGTTTATAGTTTGGCATACTTAAATGGAAAAATAGAGTAGGAATAAAAGTACAAATGCAGTTGTAAGAAACAGCACTTGCTGTAATCATTGTCATTAATTGATTATCAAACCTGTTATTTTCAAAAGACAACAAACAATGTTAAATACATTTTGTTCAAAAATTAAAACCATTAAAAAAAATGCAAAGTTAGTTTCCAAATCTACAAAATCACATGAAAGAATTTACCTTCACAGGTGTTGTTGATGCTGATGGTGAAACTTGAGTTTGCTGCAGTGAAACCATCCAAACATGAGCAATTGTAACTTCCTATTTCATTTGTGCAGTTGGAATATGGACCACAGACAGGTGGACTGAACAGACATTCATCAATATCTATTGAGAAAAATAAATTATATACCTAAAACTCACAGAAACGATAACAAGAACTGCAAAAAACATCAGCACTGGACAATACATTTTATAACATAAAATATTGAAATCAAATTCAGCTGATGATATTTACCATGACAAGAGTTGTTGACGCTCACAGGACTGTCTTTATTAGAGACATTAAATCCATTCCAGCATGAACACATGTAACCCCCAATGCTGTTAGTACAGTCTGAGTATTGACCACACACTGACGCTGCATCTTCACATTCATTGATGTCTGAAAAAGAAAAAGCACAAATGCAAAAATTAAAGGTTTTATAACAATCTAAGTTTTAGTTTTGTCCACCAGAGGAAGACGCTGTAGCTCTGTATTCTGCACGTTGGTTTGTTTGTCTTGTAGAGTTTTGCTCTCTAATACTTTGTAATTGTGTTGTGCTTTTAGAGTTTATTTTGGTTCACTTTTAAAGAATGTTTAAACGCTGTTTGCAATGAACTAACACTATTCCTCAAATTATAATTATAAAATATAATAAAATCCACTTTAACCATCATTTTTATATATGAATATATATATATATATATATATATATATATATATATATATATATATATATATATGTTTCTGGTTGTGAAGTAACAAAGTGAGGTACAATAGCTGAAGGATGCTTGTCAAAACAGAACGAGGTCAAAACTATTTTGCATTATATTTTTAGTTTTTGCAAACTATTTTTTGCATTGTAGTTCTGCTTTCCAGTCAGTCAGCCAGCCCAGTTTAGAGCTTAAATGATTTCCTAATGGTAACATAAATCCCATTCACTGATGTTTTATTCATAGCCTCTCAATTAAATACAGAATTGCATATAAAGAAACTGAAGAACAGACAGTTAAAAAAGATTCATAAATTGTTCCTCACCTCTCTGGCAAAGTGACCCCTCTGAAGGCAGAGCCTGAATGCATCCACAAGTGCTTCCCACAATGCTATCACACACCTGATAGGCCTTGCAGGTGTTACTGGGCCAAACATGATCCACCTCACACTTGCACTCATATTCTGTTCCATTCAAATCACACACTGTAAAACAAGGAGATTTATTTATTTGTGCTCAATCTGTGGATTTCTGCCGAAAGTAAACTCATCTTAGTATGTGAAATGATGAACAGTTCTGTTCTCACCAGTGTTCATGTCGATATCTGTGATATTTGTGCTGCTGCTCAGAGTCAAAGGCAGGCTGATATTTCTGACAATATTTCGTAGGATGTCCACCAGGACCAAGTCGAAGAATCTCACATCAATGTCAATCAAGTAGTCAGATAAAAGAACTGGAGGACAACAACAAACAATAAAAGCAGGTAAACAGAAATCTTTTCCAACAAAAACTATATAAAACAACGCATTTATTAAAACACAAGAACATAAAAGTAAGAAAACAGAAAGTAATATTTAAAGGAGAAATAATTGATTTTGCAGAATGATGTCATCGTCTCACCTTGGCAGAACTGTCCATCAGCTGGAAGGCCATTAATACATGTGCATGAACCATTAGTGATGACATCACAGGCATCATATGCATGACACGTGTCATTTGGCCAAACAAACAGACCCTCACATTTACACTGATACCGCGTTTCATTCAAAGAACACACTGCAGAGCAGAAGAAGAGTCCAAACATCACATATCTTCATTTATGGAAGTATTCATGATGTATAATTTTAGATAAACAGCATCACAAAGCAGAAACAGAGATCATACCAGTAGTGATGTTGATTTCTGTAATGTTAGTGCTGTCACTGATTGTGTAGGGCAAACTGAAATTCATCAGAAGAGTCCTCAGCTGATCAGTGATCCTACTATCAATGCTGTTGATCTCAATTTCAATCAGATATTCAGTCAGAGGCAAAGACACTGAAGAAAAAGAGAAGTAAATCCACAAATGATCGATATTCCTTTTACATGCATGAAGATCAAGGAGGACAACACAAAATTTAAATGTATTATCTACATACTTACCATTGCATGGGTTACTGTTGCTGACTGGTTGATTTCGGTCTGTTACAGTAAACGCACTCAAGCAGGAACAGTTGAAACTCCCAATTGAGTTGATGCAATGAGAGTTTGGACCACAGACCTCTGATGACTTTAGACATTCATTCACATCTTTTTTTTATAGGAAGAGTTGGAAAAAAGTGTTGTCAATTTTAGTAACAACTAAGCAAACAAGAAGATTCAGGACATGTAAAGTAGTTTATAGTTTGGCATACTTAAATGGAAAAATAGAGTAGGAATAAAAGTACAAATGCAGTTGTAAGAAACAGCACTTGCTGTAATCATTGTCATTAATTGATTATCAAACCTTTTATTTTCAAAAGACAATAAACAATGTTAAATACATTTTGTTCAAAAATCAAAACCATTAAAAAAATGCAAAGTTAGTTTCCAAATCTACAAAACCACATGAAAGAATTTACCTTCACATGTGTTGTTGATGCTGACGGAGAAACTTGAGTTTGCTGCAGTGAAACCATCCAAACATGAGCAATTGTAACTTCCTATTTCATTTGTGCAGTTGGAATATGGACCACAGACAGGTGGACTGAACAGACATTCATCAATATCTATTGAGAAAAATAAATTATATACCTAAAACTCATAAAAACGATAACAAAAACTGCAAAAACACATCAGCACTGGACAATACATTTTATAACATGACAAATAGAATTAATTTTAGCTGAAAATATTTACCATGACAAGAGTTGTTGACGCTCACAGGACTGTCTTTATTAGAGACATTAAATCCATTCCAGCATGAACACATGTAACCCCCAATGCTGTTAGTACAGTCTGAGTATTGACCACACACTGACGCTGCATCTTCACATTCATTGATGTCTGAAAAACAGGAAGATGATACTGCATAAAAACAGTGTTTCTGAACTTTCAGGAGTTACTGAATAAACTCATACTGGTCATGTTACTAAAACTACATTCAGTACAGATGAACTACAATGGGATTTCTCACCTTTCTGGCAAAGTGACCCCTCTGAAGGGAGAGACTGAATGCATCCACAAGTGCTTCCCACAATGCTATCACACACCTGATAGGCCTTGCAAGTGTTACTGGGCCAAACATGATCCACCTCACACTTGCACTCATATTCTGTTCCATTCAACCCACACACTGTAAAACAAGGAGATTTATTTATTTGTGCTCAATCTGTGGATTTCTGCTGAAACTAAACTCATCTTAGTATGTGACATGATGAACAGTTCTGTTCTCACCAGTGTTCATGTCGATATCTGTGATATTTGTGCTGCTGCTCAGAGTCAAAGGCAGGCTGATATTTTTGACAATATTTCGTAAGTTGTCCACCAGGACCAAGTCAAAGAATCTCACATCAATGTCAATCACGAAATCAGACAAAAGAACTAAAAGAACAAACAAAAACAAGCACAAAATCTGTGACAACACTAATAATAAAACACAATAACATCCAAGTAGAAAAAAACTCAAAGTAATTATTAAATGGAGAAACTGATGATTTTGCAGAATGATGTCATCGTCTTACTTTGGCAGAACTGTCCATCAGCTGGAAGGCCATTGATACATGTACATGAACCATTAGTGATGACATCACAGGCATCATATGCATGACACGTGTCATTTGGCCAAACAAACAGACCCTCACATTTACACTGATACCGAGTTTCATTCAAAGAACACACTGGAGAGCAGAAGAAGAGTCCAAACATCACATATCTTCATTAATGGAAGTATTCATGATGTATAATTTTAGATAAACAGCATCACAAAGCAGAAACAGAGATCATACCAGTAGTGATGTTGATTTCTGTAATGTTAGTGCTGTCACTGATTGTGTAGGGCAAACTGAAATTCATCAGAAGAGTCCTCAGCTGATCAGTGATCCTACTATCAATGCTGTTGATCTCAATTTCAATCAGATATTCAGTCAGAGGCAGAGACACTGTAGAAAAATAGAAGAAAACCCACAAATGATCAATATTCCTTTACATGCATGATCATCAATGCAAATAACACACAATTATGAACAGACAATGATGTTTGGACCAACATGTTAACGCAACATCTTAAAAAAAAAAATAAATAAATAACCTTCTCTATGTGGTTAAGCAAGTTTTATCATAGCTGACATTGTAAAGAACAGAAACACATACCATTAAATAGAATGACAGAATGTTACATTATGACTGTTACTTTTATAGAATGTTACATTCTCTTAAAATAAAAAACAACTTATAATAATTTAACAGAAACAATGCATTATAACATTGCTACAAGTTCAAGAGGACAATGCTCCACATACAGGCTTCTAGCCAAAGGCTAATTTACAGCCTTGGTCACAGAAAATTTTAGTTTCTACATACAGCACTTACCAATGCATGGGTTACTGTTGCTGACTGGTTGATTTCGGTCTGTTACAGTAAACGCACTCAAGCAGGAACAGTTGAAACTCCCAATTGAGTTGTTGCAACGAGAGTTTGGACCACAGACCTCTGGTGACTTTAGACATTCATTCACATCTATATTAAAGGTAAAGATGAAAATAGCATTGTCTACTTTAGTAACAGTTACACAAATTTTAAGATTTGGGTCATGTAAATTAATTTATAGTTTTGCACGTTTTAAGAGGAAAAGAGGAGAATGAAAAAAGTACAAATGCAGTTGTAAGAAACAGCACTTGTAACCATTAATTAATTGATTATTAAAGCTGTTTGTTTTGTAAAAGTAATAAAACATACTGTTAGATACATTTTGTTCAGGAATCAAAGAAAATTTTTTTTTAAATATGCTTAATTAATTTCCAAAACTACATACAAATCCCATGCAAGAATTTACCTTCACATGTGTTGTTGATGCTGATGGTCAAATTTGAGTTTGCTGTAGTGAAACCATCCAAACATGAGCAATTGTAACTTCCTATTTCATTTGTGCAGTTGGAATATGGACCACAGACAGGCGGACTGAACAGACATTCATCTACATCTATTAGAGAAACAAATGAAATATAATTTACTGAAAGCTCACAGAAGAGTTTACTCAAACTACAAAGACACATCAGCACTGGACAATACATGTTATTACAAAAACAATTGAAATCAAGTTCAGCTGATAATATTTACCATGACAAGAGTTGTTGACGCTCACAGGACTGTCTTTATTAGAGACATTAAATCCATTCCAGCATGAACACATGTAATCCCCAATGCTGTTAGTACAGTCTGAGTATTGACCACACACTGACGCTGCATCTTCACATTCATTGATGTCTGAAAAAGAAAAAGCACAAATGCAAAAATCGAAGGATTTAAAAACATCAAGAGTAGGTGTATTTTTAGTGGTTTTGGTTACATTTAATCAATCATATGTAGCCTATACTGAGTAAAATCCATATTAAACATACAACTTCCAGTTGAAAATAAGGAAAATATTTAAAATGTCAATAAGAGCTAAAAACGAATCATGTCTATTGTTATTATTATTACTATTATTATTATTATTATTTTGCTATTCTACACATGCATGGTAGTTCATCATTTAGTGTGATGGCTGTTCTGCTGCTGCAATGGCAGGAAGTTCACCTAAACACGTCTTGTGTAGAAAGTTATTGAAAGTATTTTCTGTCCCTCTCACTTGTTTAGCCTGTGCATTTCAGACTCCTAGAAAGTTTTAGTTTTGCCCACCAGAGGGAGACGCTGTAGCTTGGTATTCTGCAAGTTGGTTTGTTTGTTTTGCGGAGTTTTTCTTTCTTCTTTTTTATCTGTGTAAAGCTTTTCTTTTTTTTCTTTTTAAGAATGTTTAATGATGTTTGCCATGAACTAACACTATTCTATAAACCCTTGTTATGGAATGGAATAAAATCTATTTTACCCAACGTTTATAAGAAAATTGAGCCATTGAAAAAAATATCCTCCACATCTGTTAGTGGAAAATTAGTTTCTGGTTGTGAAGTAACACAGTGAGGTACAATAGCTGAAAGATGCTTGTAAAAACAGAACCAGGTCAAAACTATTTTTTATTATTTGAAACTCCATTTCATTTTAAGCTAATTTAGTCCAATTGTCAGAAAATTAAGTACTGTAAATCTGCTTTCCAGTCAGTCAGTCCAGTTTAACACTTATTCGTTTCCCATGAATGACATCGCATATGAAGCTAAAGAGTAATAGACACTAAAGAACAGACGGTTCAAAACTCTTCATGAATTGTTTCTTACCTCTCTGGCAAAGTGACCCCTCTGAAGGCAGAGCCTGAATGCATCCACAAGTGTTTCCCACAATGCTATCACACACCTGATAGGCCATGCAGATGTTACTGGGCCAAACATGATCCACCTCACACTTGCACTCATATTCTGTTCCATTCAACCCACACACTGTAAAACAAGGAGATTTAGTTATTTGTGTTCAATCTGTGGATTTCTGCTGAAACTAAACTCATCTTAGTATGTGACATGATGAACAGTTCTGCTCTCACCAGTATTCATGTCGATATCTGTGATATTTGTGCTGCTGTTAAGAGTCAAAGGCAGGCTGATATTTCTGACAATATCTCGTAAGATGTCCACCAGGAACAAGTCAAAGAATCTCACATCAAGGTCAATCAAGTAGTCAGATAAAAGAACTGGAGGACAACAATAAACAACAAAAGCACGTAAACAGAAATCTTTGCCAACAAAAACTATATGAAACAACACTATTATTAAAACACAAGAACATAAAAGTAAGAAAACAGAAAGTAATACTTAAAGGAGAAATAAGTGATGTTGCAGAATGGTGTCATCGTCTCACCTTGGCAGAACTGTCCATCAGCTGGAAGGCCATTGATACATGTGCATGAACCATTAGTGATGACATCACAGGCATCATATGCATGACACGTGTCATTTGGCCAAACAAACAGACCCTCACATTTACACTGATACCGCGTTTCATTCAAAGAACATACTGGAGAGCAGAAGAAGAGTCCAAACATCACATATCTTCATTTACGGAAATATTCTTGATGTATAATTTTAGATAAACAGCATCACAAAGCAGAAACAGAGATCATACCAGTAGTGATGTTGATTTCTGTAATGTTAGTGCTGTCACTGATTGTGTAGGGCAAACTGAAATTCATCAGAAGAGTCCTCAGCTGATCAGTGATCCTACTATCAATGCTGTTGATCTCAATTTCAATCAGATATTCAGTCAGTGGTAGAGACACTGTAGAAACATAGAAAATAAAAAACATCTTGAAATTATGACTGCTTTAAAAAATAACTAATTCAAAACCTTTATTAATTTTAATATGTATTAAGCATAATAATAGATTGAATAAACATTTTTAGCTAGGATTACTTAAAAAAATAAACAACAACAACAACCAAAACAACAAAAACACCACAAATAATAACTAAACAATGATAAAAACATTTTGATATACTTACCATTGCATGGGTTACTGTTGCTGACTGGTTGATTTCTGTCTGTTACAGTAAACGCACTCAAGCAGGAACAGTTGAAACTCCCAAATGAGTTGATGCAATGAGAGTTTGGACCACAGACCTCTGATGACTTTAGACATTCATTCACATCTTTTTTTATAGGAAGAGTTGGAAAAAAGTGTTGTCAATTTTAGTAACAACTAAGCAAACATGAAGATTTAGGACATGTAAATTAGTTTATAGTTTGGCACACTTAAATAGAAAAAAATAGAGTAGGAATAAAAGTACACATGCAGATGTAAGAAACAGCAGTTGCTGTAATCATTGTCATTAATTGATTATCAAACCTGTTATTTTCAAAGGACAATAAACAATGTTAAATACATTTTGTTCAAAAATCAAAACCATTAAAAAAATGCAAAGTTATTTTCCAAATCTACAAAACCACATGGAAGAATTTACCTTCACAGGTGTTGTTGATGCTGATGGTGAAACTTGAGTTTGCTGAAGTGAAACCATCCAAACATGAGCAATTGTAACTTCCTATTTCATTTGTGCAGTTGGAATATGGACCACAGACAGATGAACTGAACAGACATTCATCAATATCTATTGAGAAAAATAAATTATATACCTAAAACTCATAGAAACCATAACAAAAACTGCAAAAACACATCAGCACTGGACAAAACATTTTATAACATGACAAAAAGAATCGATTTTAGCTGAAAATATTCACCATGACAAGAGTTGTTGACGCTCACAGGACTGTCTTTATTAGAGACATTAAATCCATTCCAGCATGAACACATGTAACCCCCAATGCTGTTAGTACAGTCTGAGTATTGACCACACACTGACGCTGCATCTTCACATTCATTGATGTCTGAAAAACAGGAAGATGATACTGCATAAAAACAGTGTTTCTGAACTATCAGGAGTTACTGAATAAACTCATACTGGTCATGTTACTAAAACTACATTCAGTACAGATGAAATCTAATGGGATTTCTCACCTCTCTGGCAAAGTGACCCCTCTGAAGGGAGAGCCTGAATGCATCCACAAGTGCTTCCCACAATGCTATCACACACCTGATAGGCCATGCAGGTGTTACTGGGCCAAACATGATCCACCTCACACTTGCACTCATATTCTGTTCCATTCAACCCACACACTGTAAAACAAGGAGATTTATTTATTTGTGTTCAATCTGTGGATTTCTGCTGAAACTAAACTCATCTTAGTATGTGACATGATGAACAGTTCTGTTCTCACCAGTGTTCATGTCGATATCTGTGATATTTGTGCTGCTGTTAAGAGTCAAAGGCAGGCTGATATTTCTGACAATATTTCGTAAGTTGTCAACCAGGAACAAGTCAAAGAATCTTACATCAATGTCAATCAAGTAGTCAGATAAAAGAACTGGAGAAAAAAAAACAATAAAAGCAGGTAAACAGAGATCTTTGCCAACAAAAACTATATAAAAAAACGCTATTATTAAAACACAATAACATAAAAGTAAGAAAACAGAAAGAAATACTTAAAGGAGAAATAAGTGATGTTGCAGAATGATGTCATCGTCTCACCTTGGCAGAACTGTCCATCAGCTGGAAGGCCATTGATACATGTACATGAACCATTAGTGATGACATCACAGGCATCATATGCATGACACGTGTCATTTGGCCAAACAAACAGACCCTCACATTTACACTGATACCGAGTTTCATTCAAAGAACACACTGGAGAGCAGAAGAAGAGTCCAAACATCATATATCTTCATTAATGGAAGTATTCATGATGTATAATTTTAGATAAACAGCATCACAAAGCAGAAACAGAGATCATACCAGTAGTGATGTTGATTTCTGTAATGTTAGTGCTGTCACTGATTGTGTAGGGCAAACTGAAGTTCATAAGAATAGTCCTCAGCTGATCAGTGATCCTACTATCAATGCTGTTGATCTCAATTTCAATCAGATATTCAGTCAGAGGCAGAGACACTGCAGAAATAAAGAAGAAAACTCACAAATGATCAATATTCCATTTACATGTATGATCATAAAGGCATATAACACACAATTATGAACAGACAATGATGTTTGGACCAACATGTTAACGCAACATCTTAAAAAAAAATAAATAAATAACCTTCTCTATGTATTTAAGCAAGTTTTATCATAGCTGACATTGTAAAGAACAGAAACACATACCATTAAATAGAATGACAGAATGTTACATTATGACTGTTACTTTTATAGAATGTTACATTCTCTTAAAATAAAAAACAACTTATAATAATTTAACAGAAACAATGCATTATAACATTGCTACAAGTTCAAGAGGACAATGCTCCACATACAGGCTTCTAGCCAAAGGCTAATTTACAGCCTTGGTCACAGAAAATTTTAGTTTCTACATACAGCCCTTACCATTGCATGGGTTACTGTTGCTGACTGGTTGATTTCGGTCTGTTACAGTAAACGCACTCAAGCAGGAACAGTTGAAACTCCCAATTGAGTTGAAGCAACGAGAGTTTGGACCACAGACCTCTGATGACTTTAGACATTCATTCACATCTATATTAAAGGTAAAGATGAAAATAGCATTGTCTACTTTAGTAACAGTTACACAAATTTTAAGATTTGGGTCATGTAAATTAATTTATAGTTTTGCACGTTTTAAGAGGAAAAGAGGAGAATGAAAAAAGTACAAATGCAGTTGTAAGAAACAGCACTTGTAACCATTAATTAATTGATTATTAAAGCTGTTTGTTTTGTAAAAGTAATAAAACATACTGTTAGATACATTTTGTTCAGGAATCAAAGCATTTTTTTTAAAATATGCTAAATTAATTTCCAAAACTACATACAAATCCCATGCAAGAATTTACCTTCACATGTGTTGTTGATGCTGATGGTCAAATTTGAGTTTGCTGTAGTGAAACCATCCAAACATGAGCAATTGTAACTTCCTATTTCATTTGTGCAGTTGGAATATGGACCACAGACAGGCGGACTGAACAGACATTCATCTACATCTATTAGAGAAACAAATGAAATATAATTTACTGAAAGCTCACAGAAGAGTTTACTCAAACTACAAAGACACATCAGCACTGGACAATACATGTTATTACAAAAACAATTGAAATCAAGTTCAGCTGATAATATTTACCATGACAAGAGTTGTTGACGCTCACAGGACTGTCTTTATTAGAGACATTAAATCCATTCCAGCATGAACACATGTAACCCCCAATGCTGTTAGTACAGTCTGAGTATTGACCACACACTGACGCTGCATCTTCACATTCATTGATGTCTGAAAAAGAAAAAGCACAAATGCAAAAATCGAAGGATTTAAAAACATCAAGAGTAGGTGTATTTTTAGTGGTTTTTGGTTACATTTAATCAATCATATGTAGCCTATACTGAGTAAAATCCATATTAAACATACAACTTCCAGTTGAAAATAAGGAAAATATTAAAAATGTCAATAAGAGCTAAAAACGAATCATGTCTATTGTTATTATTATTACTATTATTATTATTATTATTTTGCTATTCTACACATGCATGGTAGTTCATCATTTAGTGTGATGGCTGTTCTGCTGCTGCAGAATGGCAGGAAGTTCACTTAAACACGTCTTGTGTAGAAAGTTATTGAAAGTATTTTCTGTCCCTCTCACTTGTTTAGCCTGTGCATTTCAGACTCCTAGAAAGTTTTAGTTTTGCCCACCAGAGGGAGACGTTGTAGCTTGGTATTCTGCAAGTTGGTTTGTTTGTTTTGCGGAGTTTTTCTTTCTTCTTTTTTATCTGTGTAAAGCTTTTCTTTTTTTTTCTTTTTAAGAATGTTTAATGATGTTTGCCATGAACTAACACTATTCTATAAACCCTTGTTATGAATTGGAATAAAATCCATTTTACCCAACGTTTATAAGAAAATTGAGGCATTGAAAAAAATATCCTCCACATCTGTTAGTGGAAAATTAGTTTCTGGTTGTGAAGTAACACAGTGAGGTACAATAGCTGAAAGATGCTTGTAAAAACAGAACCAGGTCAAAACTATTTTTTATTATTTGAAACTCCATTTCATTTTAAGCTAATTTAGTCCAATTGTCAGAAAATTAAGTACTGTAAATCTGCTTTCCAGTCAGTCAGTCCAGTTTAACACTTATTCGTTTCCCATGAATGACATCGCATTTGAAGCTAAAGAGTAATAGACACTAAAGAACAGACAGTTCAAAACTCTTCATGAATTGTTTCTCACCTCTCTGGCAAAGTGACCCCTCTGAAGGCAGAGCCTGAATGCATCCACAAGTGTTTCCCACAATGCTATCACACACCTGATAGGCCATGCAGATGTTACTGGGCCAAACATGATCCACCTCACACTTGCACTCATATTCTGTTCCATTCAACCCACACACTGTAAAACAAGGAGATTTATTTATTTGTGCTCAATCTGTGGATTTCTGCTGAAACTAAACTCATCTTAGTATGTGACATGATGAACAGTTCTGCTCTCACCAGTGTTCATGTCGATATCTGTGATATTTGTGCTGCTGCTCAGAGTCAAAGGCAGGCTGATATTTCTGACAATATTTCGTAAGTTGTCCACCAGGAACAAGTCAAAGAATGTCACATCAATGTCAATCAAGTAGTCAGATAAAAGAACTGGAGAAAAACAAAAAACAAAAAAAGCAGGTAAACAGAAATCTTTGCCAACAACAACTATATGAAACAACGCTATTATTAAAACACAATAACATAAAAGTAAGAAAACAGAAAGTAATACTTAAAGGAGAAATAAGTGATGTTGCAGAATGGTGTCATCGTCTCACCTTGGCAGAACTGTCCATCAGCTGGAAGGCCATTGATACATGTGCATGAACCATTAGTGATGACATCACAGGCATCATATGCATGACACGTGTCATTTGGCCAAACAAACAGACCCTCACATTTACACTGATACCGCGTTTCATTCAAAGAACACACTGCAGAGCAGAAGAAGAGTCCAAACATCACATATCTTCATTTATGGAAGTATTCATGATGTATAATTTTAGATAAACAGCATCACAAAGCAGAAACAGAGATCATACCAGTAGTGATGTTGATTTCTGTAATGTTAGTGCTGTCACTGATTGTGTAGGGCAAACTGAAGTTCATAAGAATAGTCCTCAGCTGATCAGTGATCCTACTATCAATGCTGTTGATCTCAATTTCAATCAGATATTCAGTCAGAGGCAGAGACACTGCAGAAATAAAGAAGAAAACTCACAAATGATCAATATTCCTTTACATGTATGATCATAAAGGCATATAACACACAATTATGAACAGACAATGATGTTTGGACCAACATGTTAACGCAACATCTTAAAAAAATAATAATAATAACCTTCTCTATGTATTTAAGCAAGTTTTATCATAGCTGACATTGTAAAGAACAGAAACACATACCATTAAATAGAATGACAAAATGTTACATTATGAATGTTACTTTTATAGAATGTTACATTCTCTTAAAATAAAAAACAACTTATAATAATTTAACAGAAACAATGCATTATAACATTGCTACAAGTTCAAGAGGACAATGCTCCACATACAGGCTTCTAGCCAAAGGCTAATTTACAGCCTTGGTCACAGAAAATTGTAGTTTCTACATACAGCACTTACCATTGCATGGGTTACTGTTGCTGACTGGTTGATTTCGGTCTGTTACAGTAAACGCACTCAAGCAGGAACAGTTGAAACTCCCAATTGAGTTGAAGCAACGAGAGTTTGGACCACAGACCTCTGATGACTTTAGACATTCATTCACATCTATATTAAAGGTAAAGATGAAAATAGCATTGTCTACTTTAGTAACAGTTACACAAATTTTAAGATTTGGGTCATGTAAATTAATTTATAGTTTTGCACGTTTTAAGAGGAAAAGAGGAGAATGAAAAAAGTACAAATGCAGTTGTAAGAAACAGCACTTGTAACCATTAATTAATTGATTATTAAAGCTGTTTGTTTTGTAAAAGTAATAAAACATACTGTTAGATACATTTTGTTCAGGAATCAAAGCATTTTTTTTAAAATATGCTAAATTAATTTCCAAAACTACATACAAATCCCATGCAAGAATTTACCTTCACATGTGTTGTTGATGCTGATGGTGAAATTGGAGTTTGCTGTAGTGAAACCATCCAAACATGAGCAATTGTAACTTCCTATTTCATTTGTGCAGTTGGAATATGGACCACAGACAGGCAGACTGAACAGACATTCATCTACATCTATTAGAGAAACAAATGAAATATAATTTACTGAAAGCTCACAGAAGTGTTTACTTAAACTACAAAGACACATCAGCACTGGACAATACATGTTATTACAAAAACAATTGAAATCAAGTTCAGCTGATAATATTTACCATGACAAGAGTTGTTGACGCTCACAGGACTGTCTTTATTAGAGACATTAAATCCATTCCAGCATGAACACATGTAACCCCCAATGCTGTTAGTACAGTCTGAGTATTGACCACACACTGACGCTGCATCTTCACATTCATTGATGTCTGAAAAACAGGAAGATGATACTGCATAAAAACAGTGTTTCTGAATAATCAGGAGTTACTGAATAAACTCATACTGGTCATGTTACTCAAACTACATTCAGTACAGATGAAATCTAATGGGATTTCTCACCTCTCTGGCAAAGTGACCCCTCTGAAGGGAGAGCCTGAATGCATCCACAAGTGCTTCCCACAATGCTATCACACACCTGATAGGCCTTGCAGGTGTTACTGGGCCAAACATGATCCACCTCACACTTGCACTCATATTCTGTTCCATTCAACCCACACACTGTAAAACAAGGAGATTTATTTATTTGTGCTCAATCTGTGGATTTCTGCTGAAACTAAACTCATCTTAGTATGTGACATGATGAACAGTTCTGTTCTCACCAGTGTTCATGTCGATATCTGTGATATTTGTGCTGCTGCTCAGAGTCAAAGGCAGGCTGATATTTCTTACAATATTTCGTAAGTTGTCCACCAGGACCAAGTCAAAGAATCTCACATCAATGTCAATCAAGTAGTCAGATAAAAGAACTGGAGGAAAAAAACAAACAACACAAGCAGGTAAACAGAAATCTTTCCCAACAAAAACTATATAAAACAACTGTTTTATATTATATGCTATTATTAAAACACAAAACCTTAAAAATAAGAAAACAGAAAGTAATTTCTTAAAGGAGAAATAAGTGATGTTGCAGAATGATGTCATCCTCTCACCTTGGCAGAGCTGTCCATCAGCTGGAAGGCCATTGATACATGTGCATGAACCATTAGTGATGACATCACAGGCATCATATGCATGACACGTGTCATTTGGCCAAACAAACAGACCCTCACATTTACACTGATACCGCGTTTCATACAAAGAACACACTGGAGAGCAGAAGAAGAGTCCAAACATCACGTATCTTCATTTATAGAAGTATTCATGATGTATAATTTTAGATAAACAGCATCACAAAGCAGAAACAGAGATCATACCAGTAGTGATGTTGATTTCTGTAATGTTAGTGCTGTCACTGATTGTGTAGGGCAAACTGAAATTCATCAGAAGAGTCCTCAGCTGATCAGTGATCCTACTATCAATGCTGTTGATCTCAATTTCAATCAGATATTCAGTCAGAGGAAGAGACACTGAAGAAAAAGAGAAGAAAATCCACAAATGATCAATAATCATTTTATATGCATAATAATCAAAGTGAACAACACAAAATTATGAATAGATAATGATGTTTGGACAACCAGGATTTATCACAATTATTTAAAAAACACATTTATGCATTTAAGAACCTTGTATCGTAGTTGAAAATGTAAAGAGTAGAAATACACACAATACCATATAATAGAATGAATTGTTATTTTGTTTCACATTCTCTTAACATATAAATCAAATTTATAATAATTTATTCGTGACAATGCAGTATACCATTGTGACAAGTTCAAGCAGACAATGCTAGCAAAGGCTAATTTTAAGCCTCAGTAACACTGAGATGCATTATCTACATACTTACCATTGCATGGGTTACTGTTGCTGACTGGTTGATTTCGGTCTGTTACAGTAAACGCACTCAAGCAGGAACAGTTGAAACTCCCAATTGAGTTGATGCAATGAGAGTTTGGACCACAGACCTCTGATGACTTTAGACATTCATTCACATCTTTATTAAGGGAAGAGATGAAAAAATTATTATCAATTTTAGTAACAATTATGCAGATATTAGGATTTGAGCCATGTAAATTAATTTATAAAAAAAAATAAAGAATAAATAATAGCACAAATGCAGTTGTAGGAAACAACACTTGTTGTAATCATCAATTGATTAATTGATTATTAAAGCTGTTCATTTTAACAGGTAATAAATATTCAGTTGAATACATTTGATTAAAGTATCAAAACTATTTTAAAAATATGCAAAGTTATTTTCCAAATCTACAAAATCACATGCAGGAACCTACCTTCACATGTGTTGTTGATGCTGATGGTGAAATTTGAGTTTTCTGCAGTGAAACCATCCAAACATGAGCAATTGTAACTTCCTATTTCATTTGTGCAGTTGGAATATGGACCACAGACCGGTGGACTGAACAGACATTCATCTACATCTATTAGACAAACAAATGAAAAATTATATACCTAAACCTCACAAAAGTGTTTTCAAAAACTGCAAAGACAGAGCAGCACAGGACAATTAATTTTTCATTCATTCATTTTCTTGTCGGCTTAGTCCCTTTATTAATCTGGGGTCGCCATAGCAGAATGAACCGCCAACTTATCCAGCAAGTTTTTACGCAGCAAATGCTATTCCAGCCGCAACCCATCTCAGGGAAACACACACACACACACACACATTCACACACACACACACACATTCACACACACACTCACACTACGGACAATTTAGCCTACCCAATTCACCTGTACCGCATGTCTTTGGACTGTGGGGGAAACCGGAGCACCCGGAGGAAACCCACATGAAGGCAGGGAGAACATGCAAACTCCACACAGAAACGCCAACTGAGCCGAGGTTCGAACCAGCAACCTTCTTGCTGTGAGGCGACAGCACTACCTACTGCGCCACTGCCTCGCCCCACAATACATTTTATAACACAAAAAATAGAAATCAAATTCAGCTAATAATATTTACCACGACAAGAGTTGTTGACGCTCACAGGACTGTCTTTATTAGAGACATTAAATCCATTCCAGCATGAACACATGTAACCACCAATCCTGTTAGTACAGTCTGAGTATTGACCACACACTGACGCTGCATCTTCACATTCATTGATGTCTGAAAAACAGGAAGATGATACTGCATAAAAACAGTGTTTCTGAACTATCAGGAGTTACTGAATAAACTCATACTGGTCATGTTACTAAAACTACATTCAGTACAGATGAACTATAATGGGATTTCTCACCTTTCTGGCAAAGTGACCCCTCTGAAGGGAGAGCCTGAATGCATCCACAAGTGTTTCCCACAATGCTATCACACACCTGATAGGCCATGCAGGTGTTACTGGGCCAAACATGATCCACCTCACACTTGCACTCATATTCTGTTCCATTAAACCCACACACTGTAAAACAAGGAGATTTATTTATTTGTGTTCAATCTGTGGATTTCTGCTGAAACTAAACTCATCTTAGTATGTGACATGATGAACAGTTCTGTTCTCACCAGTGTTCATGTCGATATCTGTGATATTTGTGCTGCTGCTCAGAGTCAAAGGCAGGCTGATATTTCTGACAAAATTTCGTAAGTAGTCCACCATGACAAAGTCAAAGAATCTCACATCAATGTCAATCAAGTAGTCAGATAAAAGAACTGGAGGAAAAAAACAAACAACACAAGCAGGTAAACAGAAATCTTTCCCAACAAAAACTATATAAAACAACTGTTTTATATTATATGCTATTATTAAAAGGAAGGACTGCGAGAAAAAAAAAAAAAAAAAAAGCAGATAAACAGAAATCTATGCAAACAAAAACGAGTACAAAAACTGTATAAAACAACAATAATATTAAAACAAATTAACATAGAAGTAAGCAAACAGAAAGAAATACTTAAAGGAGAAATGAGTGATGTTGCAGAATGATGTCATCATCTCACCTTGGCAGAACTGTCCATCAGCTGGAATGCCATTGATACATGTACATGAACCATTAGTGATGACATCACAGGCATCATATGCATGACACGTGTCATTTGGCCAAACAAACAGACCCTCACATTTACACTGATACCGCGTTTCATTCAAAGAACACACTGGAGAACAGAAGAAGAGTCCAAACATCACATATCTTCATTTATGGAAGTATTCATGATGTATAATTTTAGATAAACAGCATCACAAAGCAGAAACAGAGATCATACCAGTAGTGATGTTGATTTCTGTAATGTTAGTGCTGTCACTGATTGTGTAGGGCAAACTGAAATTCATCAGAAGAGTCCTCAGCTGATCAGTGATCCTACTATCAATGCTGTTGATCTCAATTTCAATTAGATATTCAGTCAGAGGCAGAGACACTGTAGAAAGAGAGAAGAAAAAACATCCTGAAATTATGACTGCTTTAAAAAATAACTAATTCAGTCAGAGGTAGAGACACTGTAGCAAAAAGAGAAGAAAATCAACAAATGATCAATATTCCTTTCCATGCATGATATTCAAAATTAACTGCACAATACTATAAACAGACAATGATGTTTGGACCAACAGGATTTGACACAATTACGAAAAAAAACCAAAAAAAAAAAAACACCTCCATGTTTTTAAACAACTCTCAGCATAGCTAAAAATCTAAAAAGCAAAAACACACACAATGCAATATAATAGAATGAATTGTCATTTTGTTTCACATTCTTTTAAAATAAAAATCCAATTCATAATAATTCAACCTGGACAATGTAGTATAACATTGTCTCAAGTTCAAGAAGACAATGCTCCACATAACGGCTTCAAGAAAAAGGCTAATATACAGCCTCAGTCACACTGAGATACATTTAATACATACAACATTTAATACATACAGCCCTTACCATTGCATGGGTTACTGTTGCTGACTGGTTGATTTCTGTCTGTTACAGTAAACGCACTCAAGCAGGAACAGTTGAAACTCCCAATTGAGTTGTTGCAATGAGAGTTTGGACCACAGACCTCTGATGACTTTAGACATTCATTCACATCTTTATTATAAGAGGAGTTGGAAAATTATAAAAAAAAAAAGTACAAACTCAGTTGTAAGAAACAACACTTGCTGAAATCATTAATTAAATAATTATTAAAGCTGTTATTTTTAACAGACAATGCAAATAGAGTTGAAAACATTTTCTAAATGAATCAAAACCATTTAAAAAATATGAAAAATTAGTTTCCAAAACTACAAAATCACATGCAAGAATTTACCTTCACATGTGTTGTTGATGCTGATATAGAGACTTGAGTTTATTGCAGTAAAACCATCCAAACATGAGCAATTATAACTTCCTATTTCATTTGTGCAGTTGGAATATGAACCACAGACAGATGGACTGAACAGACATTCATCAATATCTATTAGAGAAACAAATGAAAAAAATGATGTACTAAAAGCTTACAGTAGTAATTACACAATATGTAAAGACAAAGCAGCACTGGACAATACATTTTAAAACATGTAAATCTAAATCAAAGTCAACTGATAATATTTACCACGACAAGAGTTGTTGACGCTCACAGGACTGTCTTTATTAGAGACATTAAATCCATTCCAGCATGAACACATGTAACCCCCAATGCTGTTAGTACAGTCTGAGTATTGACCACACACTGACGCTGCATCTTCACATTCATTGATGTCTGAAAAACAGAAGATGATACTGTATAAAAACAGTGTTTCTGAACTATCAGGAGTTACTGAATAAACTCATACTGGTCATGTTACTAAAACTACATTCAGTACAGATGAAATCTAATGTGATTTCTCACCTCTCTGGCAAAGTGACCCCTCTGAAGGGAGAGCCTGAATGCATCCACAAGTGCTTCCCACAATGCTATCACACACCTGATAGGCCTTGCAGGTGTTACTGGGCCAAACATGATCCACCTCACACTTGCACTCATATTCTGTTTCATTCAATCCACACACTGTAGTAGAAAGATAAACAGGATACATTCATTAGTATCAATTAAAAAGGTGAAATGACAAGATAAGTTACACAAATGAATAATTTTAAAGAAACTGTTTTAATGTGGGTTGATGTGACAGCTTCATGTTCTCACCAGTAGTGATGTCGATATCTGTGATATTTGTGCTGCTGCTCAGAGTCAAAGGCAGACTGATATTTGTAAAGAGATGTCGCAAGTATTCCACCAGGAACACGTCAAAGGAGCTCACATCAAAATCAATCACGTAGTCAGAAGGCAGATCTACAACGATAATCAAAGGCATTTGAGCAGAATAAAAAGTGAAACAATGTACTCTTAATCTAAAAAAAAAAAAAAAAGAAAAAACAGGTTTTTCTTGATGTCACTGCTGCCTTGACTTCTAGAACATTTTTGTGATGCAACAAAGATCAACCGATATAGATTCATATTATTTTTATAGTCATATACAATTACTGATATGCTGAAATGTAATTTGTGCAATTTTCACTGACCCCCATAATAACTGGATGATTATCAGATTAAAATATAAATATAATATCAAGAATATTTGTAATTTTTTTCTGTTACATACAGTATGTATGCTTTTATATGTCATACAAATTGTCTTTTTTGTTTAAACATATCAAGTTTATTAATCAATATCGTTGCCTTTGGGAGTGATGAATGCAATTGCTGACCTTCTTTTAACTGGCAGAACTGTCCATCAGCTGGAAGGCCATTGATACATGTGCATGAACCATTAGTGATGACATCACAGGCATCGTATGCGTGACACGTTTCATTTGGCCAAACATACAGACCCTCACATTTACACTGATACCGAGTTTCATTCAAAGAACACACTGGAGAGCAGAAGAAGAGTCCAAACATCACATATCTTCATTTATGGGAGTACTCATGATGTATAATTTTATAAAAACATAATCGCAAAGCAGAAACAGAAATCATACCAGTAGTAATGTTGATTTCTGTAATGTTAGTGCTGTCACTGATTGGGTGGGGCAAACTGAAATTCATCAGATAGTTTGTCAGCTGATCAATGACGGCAGTATTCCCAGCATTTATCTGGATTTCAGTTATATATTCAATCGAAACTGGAGTCACTGCAAGAAAGACATAAGAGTTATAAATATTTACTCTTCGTTTAATCCGCATGAAATTACTGCAGTGATCTGAACACTGAGATTGACAACAGACATTTGTATGTACCTGTTGGTGGTTGTGCACATGCTGTGGTATCTTTTAGAAAAATAAGAGAATAGATTAGAATAAAGTACTTCTACCCAGTTCACGTCCGGTAACTGACCCACAACCCTTCTTTATGACTACAAACATGAACTGCGTTAAATTCTTACTTGTAATCTCGTTGGCTGTTTGACAGAACTGTCTGTCACTTGGGATAGCACTGATGCAGCTGCATGTGTTGTTAATGATGATGTCACAGCTCCCATATTCTTTGCACTTTTCACATGGCCAGAAATACTGATCCTCACAGACGCACTTATATCCACCGTCACTGAAATTGCACACTAAAAAAAAAGAAATTGTATATGTAAATACCCAGCAAGCCTTTGTTTGTGTTTAAAAGAAATATAATAGACATCTAAACGTATATATATTTCTTCGTTAAGTAAATCTTTACAAACTAATTTTGCGAGGAGCATGTGATATGATTGATCGCGTAATCAGCAATAATCCAATCAGATTGATTCAAGTTTACAATAAATAGACCAATTTCGCCGTACTACCTAGGACTGTGCAATTAATCAAAAATTCGGTTATGATTTCGGCTTTTCGGATTTCGGATTTTCGGCTGCAAAGCTCAGTTTCACTAGAACATTACTAAAAGCATGTACTGTAATGTAGCTTTTGTAGCATGGGATGCGCATCATTTACTGATGTTTATCCGAATCCTTCATGTTTTTAAAAGCGCGAATGAGACCGCATGCTGTTGTGTGTGCGCGCGCTCAGCCTCTGAGATGAGCAGAGCACACGCATCTAAAGTCATCTTAATGTAAGCGTTTTAATGGCCAAATAGGTGTTAAAACGCAGTTTTTAGTGGTTATTCATAATAACCCTCATTTGAGTAACAAACAAACGAGTTGAGAATCAAAATACATGTGAAAGAGAAACCATTTTGCAGAACTGCACTGCTCTTAAAGTAACCTTGAGCAATATTCCTGCTGCCGACTGTTTTTATTATTAATCAAACAACAAAAGGAGAAAATCCCTGACTGCTCTTGACTGAAGGACTTTTGTAGCTATAATTAAAGTTTTAACCTTACAGTTTATTTCATATTTTTATTCTATTGTATTTGTTTCTCTTTCCTTATTTACAGGAGGAAAATAACTGTATGTATACAGTTGAAGTCAGAATTATTCGCCCTCCTGAATTATTAGTGAACGTCTTCCCCTCAACTTCTGTTTAATAGAAAGAAGTTTTTTTTTCAACCCATTTCTGAACATAATAGTTTTATTAACTCATTTCAAATAACTGATTTATTTTATATTTGTTATGATGACAGCACATAACATTTTACCCAATATTTTTCAAAATACAAGCATTCAGATTAAAGTGCGATTTAAAGGTTTATTTAAGGTAATTAGGCAAGTCATTGTATAACAGTAGTTTATTCTGCAGACAATCACAAAATATATTTCTTAAGGGGGCTAATAATGTTGACATTATAATAGGTTTTAAAATATTTAAACCTGCTTTTATTCTAGCCAAAGTAAAATAAATTAGCCTTTCTTCAGAAAAAAAAAAATAAATAAATTATAGGAAATACTGTGAAAAATTCCTTGCTCTGTTAAACATCATTTGGGAAATATTTATAAAAAAAATTCAGGAGGTAAATAATTTGGACTTCAACTAATAATCGATTTGAATAAACGTGACTACAATTATCACCAAAACAATCATGATTATGATTTTTCCCATAATCAAGCAGCCCTACTACTACCCTATCTTTGTTTTGGAAGAATCGCCCTTTCCTCCCCATCTCCTCCTTTTCTTCCCTTTACCAGGGGGAGCTCTCGAAACCTACTTGGTCTCGGACCCCCTTTTATGCTTATTGACCAGATGGGAGCCCTGGGCTCAATCATCTCCGAGCTCAGGATTCTCCCCGGGGACAGCATGCCAAACCTGCTATTAGCGTCAAACATATCTAAGCGTGAACTGTTGAAAATAATGCTACATTTGTGCAGTCAGTAAGAATGTAATAGACATCTAACAATATTTCAAAAATAGACTAGTTTTCAATTAGACAGAAATGTCTAATATGTCTATTTTTGTTATATGTCTATTAGATTTTCATGGACAGCCCATAATAAAAAATTGCCTTGTTTTAGCTGAGATGTCAACATTTAGATTTGTATTAGGTGAGGATTATTTATAGGATTATTTATAAACTAATTTCAAGAGGACCAACATGCTTATGATTGACCACAGCTGGTCCTGCATTGGCTAACACATGCTTTACCAATCAGATGGTTTCTGACATACTATAAATAACCAAAGTTTTGGTCACCTTTGTCTTGAAGAATCCCTCCCCCCCCTCCCACTTCTACTATTTCTCCCTTTTTCTGGATAGGGTGACACGGCGGCCCAGTTATTAACACTGTTGCCTCACAGCAAAAATGACACTGGTTCAAGTCCTTACTAGGCCAGTGGACGTTTCTGTGTGGATTTTACATGTCCTCACTGTGCTCGTATGGATTTCCCCCAGGTTTCCTAGATTTCTCCCACGGTCTAAAGACATGCGGCATAATTTAATTGACCAAACGAAATTGGCACCATAGATGAGCTCCTAGTCAGCAGTGAATATCTCTATAGCAATCCCTATAATTTGTTATTAGACATAAATAAGCCAGGGGAGTTATCGAGATCTACCTGAGCCCAAACTCCTCTCTCATCCTGCAAACGAGAGGAAACCCCGGGCTGGAGGATCTTTTAAGCACAGGGCTCTCTCCCGGGACAGCATGCCAAACAAGCTTTATAATCAATAATCAGCTATGTGTGAACTCTTGAAAGATGTTTAAAACACAAAATTGACTCGCAGGTATGAGAACGTTTTTAACCAATCGCTGTTATTGTTTTTGTGTTTGCAGGGTCCTATGATGTCCTTTACCTGTTGTGATGTCCACATTTAATACTTCAACCAATTCATCCAACTGCAGTGGAAATGCAGTGTTCTGCAGATATCGCCTCATCTCATCAATCACTGAGATACTTGTCGATTCCATCTCAATTTCAAACAGGAAGTCTGTGAAGGGTAATTCTGTAAAAATAAAAAAAAGAGTAAATATTTTGTACTTTTTTATTACAACATATACAGATAAGTGTAAAATTATTAACCCTCTTAATAAATTTGTATTCTTTTTTAAATATTTCCGAGGTGATGTTTAACAGAGATTTTTCACAATAATGCCTACAATATGTCTTCTTCGGGACAAAGTCTTATTCCTTTTAATGTGTATTTTATATAGCACATTTATTGTGTATGGCCATACACCCAAAGCGCTTGAATCCTGAGGGGGGTCTCTCCACACCACTACCAGTGTGCAGCATCCACATGACAACGGCGCCAGTGCTTCACCAGGCATCAGCTATTGGTGTATTAGAGAGAAAGTGATGGAGCTAATTCAGTGGATGGGAATGATTGGGAGGCCATGATGTGTATGGGCTGATGGAGGGAATTTGGCCAGAACTCTTTACAAGAAGTGCCATGGGATATTTAATGACCGCGGAGAAACACAACATCAGTTTAACGTCTCATCCGAAAGACAGTGCTCACTGACAGTATAGTGTCAGGTTAAGCGCCCCTGGCTGACCTCACTAATATTAGCAACCTAGTGGTTCCCATGTGGTCTCCAATCCAGGTGCTGACTAGGCTTAGGCCTGCTTAGCCTCTGTGACTGGTCTTAAGCTGCAGAGTGATATGACTGCAACCTTCTCTCCATTTAACAGCACTTGGGAGATACTTTTAAAATAAAATAGAAATTTCACAGGTGGTCGAAACATTTTGTCTTCATCTGTATGCATAGTTATATACAAATACATAAAAAGTAGTATTTATTATTATCCAATATTTTTTGTCAGTTGTAACAAAGGTAGAAACATTGTACACAAAAATGAAAAAACAACAAAATGAAGAAATAAATTAACTTTTTAAGTGCATTTAAAGTTTTTTTCATGACTCTTACCGCTCTTCAGCACACACATCTCTCCATCACCCGGAACACCACCAATACATCCACATGAGCCGACAATGATGTCATCACAGGCCTCGTATGTCTTACAGTTGTTGTAGGACCATGCATAACCATCTTCACATACACACTGGTATTCGGTCACATTTGGCTGGCACACTGATGGATATATAATAGTTATTGCACAGATTGTTTAAACCTTATTAAAGACAAAGAAGTAAGAATGACGTAAATTGTTTTGATCACTGGTTTAACCAGCTCACCTGTAGTAATATTTGCAGCAGTAACCTCAGTATTGTTATCCAATTGAAGAGGAAACGAAATGGAGGCCAGTGACGCTCTGATCTGTTCAATCACCACAGCTTGAGATGCATTTACTTCAATCACCACAATGAACTCTTGCAGTTCTATAGACATGGGGAAAACAATGAGATTTTAATAATCAAGTAGGGCTGTTGAAGAACAAGACAAAAACTGCCTGAAATCAGTGCCAAATAATAATAAGTAAATAAATATTGATTCTTTACGGCTATATTATTACAAAAGTAGTCAAAAAAAGAGATTCAGACCTGTGCTTCTTGGCATTCTGTGATGAAGTTGCCCATCTATGTAGTCAAACTGGGAAAGATACAACATGCATTGATTTACTTGTTAATCATGTGAGTTGGTTGTGGCCAATAAATTATACATTTTTCAATAATTCGTTTTTATTCCTAGAAAATGTGAAGACACTTCTAATATCTTTTTTGGAAGTGAATCTAAAAATGTCAGGAATCTGAATGTTTTATGTTCTTACAGTATAAATAAACCATCCCCTACCTGTAAATTAAAACTTGTTTCTGGGATGTCAACTGTTGCCAGAACACACACATGACTCAGCAGGACTGACAAGATGATTCCCGCAAAGTACTGTAATATTTGTCCTGTATCTGAAGAATTGAAAAAATTAACACAGGATGTGTATCATGCAAACGGTAAACAAAACAAAAAAATATTCATGAGCACTTATTTTCAAGACAGATGGTCTTGAAAAAGAAATTGAAAGAAAAATAGAATATTTGGACTGTGAAGAAAATAATATCTGTCCCTATATCGGAGCTATATTATATTTTAGGCTGATGTAAACTGTGGCAAAAAGTAGCTACAGTGAGACAAAAATATGCAGATTGTTGTACCTTGACTGGCCATGTTTCTCATCGAAGTCACTCAAAATCCCATAATATTATATCCTCCGAGCAAAAGGTTATTGCATGGCTCATCCTGAGACCTTAAAACTGTAAAATAAAATAAAAACCTTCATATAAGTTTTTTTTTTTTTTTTTACAATAAAACACTGGTTAACAGGTTCCTTAAAGTTTAGTGACCAGAAAAAAAACTTGAAAAAAAATGTCTATGTGTTATTAAAGGTTCCATATAATTTAAAGAAAACATGTGGACCATGTTATCCAATTTAAAGATCACATAGCAACCTTCTTTACTTATTTTAAAATAATTATAAAATAACAAAAACAAAGATTTAAGGTTATCTGTGATCAAACCATTCATAGTCTCACATCATATTACAAATACAACATAGAATACGTTGTATAACCTTAAAAACATACTGTAATTTCTTTAAATAGCATGTCAAACCCAACAATCAGTAAAACATTTATTTAATAGTGAATTAAAAAATACAAACTGCAATCACAAATAAGTGCGTAACACACTTGTCAACTGCAATCGCTCACCTAAATTGAGATGTAATATCTGCTCTTTTACAATAATAACAAACTCCAGCAAGGACAACTTCTAAAGGGACTACACATTTTCAAATCAAGTTTTTTGTTTTCAAAAATATACTTCAAAAGGCAGTCTAAAACATTTTTACGTTAAAAAGAATAAGCATGCAGGCTTGTCACTCTTACCTTGCCTCTGGAAATAACCACAGAGATGCCAAACTTGTTTCTCAAGGTCTGAGATTTTGTTTCCTTGTTAATTCTGAGAAGATTTTGTAGGTGGATCATTTGACGTGTCTTTGTGCAGGTCACCACAATAACATGACTGCGTGTGGGTCACCTGCTAAACAAGTTTGATTCGCTCTATTATTTCCTTGTTCTCTTGTGTAAAGAGAACATAGAAGAGCAGTGATTCAAATAAAACAAAGTATAGGCCATATTACTAAGAGGTAAATCACATCTTATAAAAAAACTTGCATCTTATGGATACAGACAGAATAAACTTAATAGCAAACTTCTTCCGGCTTTGTCTATATTTGTCTCTATAAATTCAACAAAATGCTGCCATATTTGAACTGCTATTAAAAACTTGCTGTTTGTATAGTATACAAGTACAAAAAAGCATTTCATGCATTTAGGAGGAGTATAAAAGCTGTTATTGTCATTGCATGCTTGTATGTTCACGCTTATCAGTATCTGTGAAAGGGATCATTTCATAATTGTTCAACAGAATTCATCAGATTCCTTTGTGCTGAGAAAATTCACGTAAAGTCAGAAGAGGATTGGGCCCATTCAAATGAACATTGAAGTTAAAATATAAGGGATAATAATAAGGGATATATTAGTAGTATTTCTAAACTGCTTTATACAACACCGATTGTGTCAAAGCAGTGGTACAGAGCTAAACAGGTGATAATAAAAAAATTATTCATTTTATGAAGTTTCATCGATGTAATCAAGTTCAGGACATTAAGCAGTTTTGTTGTAGTTTTTGTCAGAGTAAGTACAATATTATCAGCACATAAGCAGCAAAAATCAACAGCCATGATTCAAATTTCAGGAGAAGCCAATCAGCTTTGAAGAAGCTAATTCATTATCAACAACATTCTATTATCCAATCAGCTTAAGACCAAGCCTCTATAAATAGTCAAACAAGTCATACAGTACCTCTGTTTTCTTGATTTCAGCATCCCTTCACCACACTATTAAACATGATACCTCATAAATCTAATGGGAAAGCGTGAATGTGAACACATGAAAATTCTGGTAAATCTACTCAAGAAATTCTAGTCCTAACAGAAAGATTTCAGAACAAAGTGCACTGTAATTTGTTGCGTATAGGGATGTGTGACTTTGGCCAAGTTCTTATGATGACCCCTGTTGATTGTATGTAAAAGTATGTGAAGGAAAGAACTGAACTATGAAGCTATATAGAAGATGTTTGCTTGGTTTGACATTTACAAGTAGATCAGGTGCAGGTAATTGTCTTGGGCCTCTTCAAAACAAAAGTGTTTTTCTTCTTTAAGGGTGACCCCAGAACAAGAGCCTGGAGCCTCAAATCCCAACTGATTCTCACTGATTATAATGAGGAGAACAGTATGTGAAAACAGCGGTGTCATTTTATGAACATATTAGACAAAACTAGCCAATTTGAAACCTAACTGGTTTTAAGGTTTACAGTGGTTTGGAAAAGTCAAGGTATTACAATCAAAAAAATGTTGTTATACCGTTTCTAAGGTATAATGCAGTTTTTTTTTTGTTTTTAAAATTTTTTGTAAGGAAATCTGTGTTTTTGAAGCTAATAAAGATAGTAGAAGTCAATGGTTTATTTTAATTATGCAGCCTGACATGTTTACTGTTCCAAAATATTATAAAATTTTCCTAAAAGGTAATATATATTGTGTTAAATGGGGAATTTTTTTTTGTTTTTTACCTAAAAATTTTAATAGGACATGTTTTTACAGCAGTAAACACAATACTGTGATACCGTGAAACTTTTATCCAAGAGTATCATCCCATCAGAAACTTAAAGCCCATGCCTAGACTAGTTACTACAAAATTGTGGCAAACAGTGGTGGTAAGAGTACAAAAAAATTGTACTCAATTACAAGTACTGTTACATTGCTGAAATTGTACTCAATTACAAGTAAAAGTACTGGTGTTAAAAAGTACTCAAGTAAAAGTACAAATTACTCTTCGTAAAAACTACTCAAATTACAAAATTACAAATTACTTTTTTAGCTTGGCGGTATTGGTGGAATTATCCATAAATGCGGAGTCAGACAAGATCAAGGCAGTAAAACACATTTTACACAACACATTTAAAGATACTATAAACACTTTTAAAACTGTGTAAACAGCATTAATTATAGATTATAATTATAGAGCACCTATAGAGGAAACCCACGCCAACATGGGGAGAACATGCAAACTCCACACAGAAACACCAACTGACTCAGCCAGGGCTTCAACCAACAAACTTTTTGCTTTGAGGCGATAGCAATACCCACTGCGCACCATGATTATTTTACAAAAAACAATGTTCTGCTATTTTGAGTATAAAGATAACAGAAATATGCACAAATGCACGACTTTTTATCATTTCAAATGATGCCTCTTTTATCTGTACGATCAATAGATGATTTAATATATATAAAAAAAAAACACTTGCAAATTATGGAGAAACATTGTTAATTACCTAATTCGCGAACTGAACCGTCAGAAACCACAGAACAACACTGCCTAGTGCCTAAACATATTATTAATAAATTAAATATCACACAAATTAAGTTATGTCTTCTTACCATAATGTTTTTTTTTTCAGATTATAGACTGAAGTCTTGTAAAAAAAAAAGGGTTTCTGCAGATATCATAATGTCAAATTTAAGACTTTTTAAGACTTTGTCACATCTTTAATATTGTTCAATTTTATTGTTTAATTTTAAAAATAATTATTTTTCATTATTTTTATAATTTATTATGATTACAAAGTTGGGTGACGGGGTGGGGCAGTGGGTAGCGATCTCGACTCAAGGCAAAAAGGTCGCTGGTTCAAGCCTTGGCAGGGTCAGTTGGCATTTCTGTGTGGAGTTTGCATGTTCTCCCCATGTTGCATGGGTTTGCTCAAGATGCTCCGGTTTTCCCCACAGTCCAAAGACATGCATTTTAGGTGAATTAGGTAAGCTAAATTGTCTGTTGTTGTAAATGAGAACAGGTTGCAGCTGGAAGGGCATCCGCTGTGTAAAACATATGCTGGATAAATTGGCGGTTCATTCTGCTGTGGCGACCCCAGATTAATGAAGGAACTAAGCCAAAAAGAAAATTAATGAATGATTATAAAGTTTTATAACTTTTCAAGATTTTTTAAATCAAAGTTTGATGCATCACTCACTTTTGTTTATATCTCGGACAGTTCTACCTATTAAAGTTAAATATCAATGACAACAGAACATGGGTTACTCCACAATATTTTTTTTTTTATTCTGGCAAGAATAATAGCAACAAAATAAGAATTTTTTGCCTACTCAACAATTGACACATTATTGTCTGGCTAGTTTCTGTCCTCTACTAATGAGCTGAAAAGGCAATAATGGTCCAACAATCCTGTCCATCATCACCAATAAAGCCTAGAAATTGGGCATCAGTATACTGTAAGCCGATGGGTTTATATATTATTTTCCAGTTATCAAATACTTAATTTGTTACTTAATTTTTGTTACATTGCTTTAACTTCAAAATGATACATCAGTGTAAAACCTATAAATGGTGGAAAAACATTCTGTAATCTTAAAACTACCTGGGTCTCCACTTTTGCCATGGCCTCTTTTTTGTTGTAACAAACTTATCCCCCAGGTTTTTCCAAACTTTAACAAAACACTTCCTTTCCATGGCTGTTGCAATTTCTAGCCAAGAATTGTTGGTCATCTGGTTATCTCTATGCTGATCACGCGTGGTCGGAGTTAAGATGTCTGTACAGCTGTACTGTTACAGACAAAATCTCTTCAAAGCGATTCAAATTTAACTCAAATCAAGCGCGGCGCCGCGAGAACTGTTCACCCGAAATCATGTCGCCCGCGTCCAAAGTGAACCTCCGCAAACACGGCGATGACGTCACATTCGCCGCGCGCACTGAGCTATTGCATGCTGGTATTATTTGTAGTTTTAATACTGCAAATTACAATAGGACTAGTGAAATAAAGAACTACACCACCACGAAACCAAGCAACAACAAAAAAATAATTTAAATGAGCATTAGAAGTAGCGTTACTTGTACATCGGAAAAATAAGACCTGTGCAAACATATTTCAGATCTAGAACAGCGAATTGAAGACTTTTTAAGGGCTAAAATTTAGATGTATTTTAGACATCAAGTGTTGTTTTGGTCATTTTAAACCGCTTCAACCATTTCAGTATTATATTATATTAATAATGACCTCCAGAATTGTCAAGAGTTTCTGCACTCCGTGTCTCGCGCCTTCAAACGCCAGCGCGCGTTCACTGCGTGCAGGATTGCCTTCTGATGCGTCACTTATTAAATAAAGATAATTTATTCACGCAG